TCAATTATATCCAAACAGAACTAAAATCATACAAAAATTCTAGGCTAACTAACCATATAAGAAATCATATCATACTACCTGGCAACTGCTACGGTAGCTGTAACGAGCGTCGCATAAAAATAATAGTAATAACACTATTTTTGAACGGGAAAAATAAAAAATAAAAAAGCCAAACAAATGATCTGTAGAAATAAAATCATTTAAATTTTTATATTTGTAATGGCACCACCACAGCGGCCGAAGCAAGATCAATGAGGAATTTTTTTTTTCTCTATATTTATATAGAGAGGTAAAGAGAATATTTCTTGAAGTCAAAATTTTATCCCATTAGGATGTAGTTGATCATTACTAATGAGAAGATTGAACATGCTAATAGGAAAGGAGTATATTTCACCACATATTCTCAGTTGATGATTGATGAGGAATTTGTTTATTTTTTTATTGTGGAGAAGCGATTGATTAAGAAGTCGATTGTCGTGGAGATGGAGATGAGTATTTGGAGTTTTTATGAACCGTGGTTTTTTTTTTTGGCGAAAATGAGAGGTGGAGGTGGATTTGGACTGCATTTGTTTTTAAGTCTAGGAAACTAATGTGTAAATAAAAATTTATTTTTAACATATGATGTGGAAATGCCACATGGCAAATGATGGTACTTTCTTTTAAGTGTGATTTTTGTTTCTAATATAGTAAGATATATATATATATATATATATATGATTTATAATTAAGGCTTTGCATACCTTTTATTTCATTTACTAGTTTAGTTTACTAGATCGCGGTACAAGTATGTTTTTCATATATCATCCAGACTGAATGACTATGAAGTTATGTCAATCATTTACTCTTCAGTTTTTTGTTAGATAGATAGTAGATATGTCCAGCGGAATAAACAATATATAGCCACTTCATCTGCAAAGACATCAATATAATTAGTTTAGACCCTCATATTATTATCTTGAGCAATGATATGCACCCTTCACAGTGACTGGCTGATGGCAATTATACTCCATATTAGAATAGTTAATCTTTCAAACTAAAAACTTAATACCATATAATATCATGTACCATTTTGAATTTTACAATAAAAATAAAAATAAAATAGATGATATAAATCTCACAAGTCCAATTTTAACATTTTAATTTCCAAAGTTTAACTTTATTTCCTGGATAGAAGAGAATAAGATAAGTTTCGTGATGTTTACAAGTGTGACGAGTTTTTGACCAAAAATATATTCTTCTAAGGTTAGACTAGACAGATCTAATTCTCTCTCTCTCTCTTTCCCTCTCTCTTTTTCTTGTAGAAAAAAGTAATTCTTTTGGATTTGCCAAATCTAAAAGTAGGAAATTTGAATTTCAAAAATCCAAATCCGAATCATGTATATCTATCCTTGAAGTACTACTACTTCAGCTAAATTTGGACTTTTAGATTTCTGAAATCCGAGTTTCTTATATAAATTGAACTTTCGGATTTGGCAAATCGAAGAGAATTACTTTTGTCTATACATTCTTTATTTCCCGCCATTTCATATCATCAATTGTGCCGTGGAACGTTGGTATAATTATTGTAAGGCAATGTTTAGTACTAAATCATATGTAAAAAATGAATATTAGAATCAAGCAACGAACAGCAATTTATTAACCCTGAACATGAAATGATGTTTAAGGTTCATAAATTTGAATCTTCATGTCAGAATCACTACCGCGTTTCACAACCAACAGATTACAGAAATGTCAAAAGAGGAAACGATTCCCTAACATTTCTCCCAATGCTTTTGAGCACTCACTAACTTGGAACACTTGTAATCAAGAATAGGAGACCTGGCCTTGAATCTATTTGTGAATTGTGATCACCGGCAAAGCAAAATCAAAGTAGAATCAGCGGCTATTGCTTAGAAGTTTGCTCCTAAGTTTTTACGTTAGCTGCAACGGTTATAACGAGAGAACTTATGAAGATTACGAGGAGAAAAAAGACTTTTGGGGGAGGGAGAGGTAAAAGATGTTAAAGGATACACATTTGAGGAAATTCTTCTGTAGCACCTTTACATGTTAGACTTTTGGGATAAAATACAGTTTCATGTGTCAAATACGGCTAATTTTAGCAACTATTTACAGATCAAAGGTCGATCCCGAAATTTTCTTAAATGATGGCAGTTAATAAGTTCCTTAAAATTGCTTCAAAACCATAACAATGTTAAAAGATTGAAAACAGCTCTTAACCTTCAAACTGTATACTTCATATTTCGTATTTCAGTAAATGAAAGCATACTTTTGATGAGTAGAACCATTTAATTAAGTTAATAAATTATTCAATTGACTTTTACATTCTATTATTATAATAATTTCCTGTCAAATCTGGTTAACATGTGACTTGGAAAAAATAGCAGAGAAGGAAAAAAAATGAGCCTCATGCTGCGTGCCGTGCCTTCGGGACTAAATGGGCTTTGTTTAGTTAAGAACACGAAGAGTACTTTCTTTGCTTTTCTAAGACCCGGTCTCCTACACATTTGTTTTTCGCGTTTGTTCTCTACGCTAGCTATCTTCCATTGTTCTATGAGAGGAGTTACATCAGACTCTCTATCTGTGTCCTAAAGCTAACTAATGCAAAACCTCTCTAAAATCATTCATTTTATAGCAATGACACATCAAACAGAAAAAGCTCTAGTTACCATTATAACAATTCACGCCCGTTAGTCATTGAAAATTATAGTCCAATTCAAATATGATTATACGGATCAAATCCACGGGGAATTTATGAACTGCTAGCCCTGTTACTTAACCATAATCTTGATCTCAATTCTCAACCAAAACATCAATCAAGTAATAAAACTAGGAACAATATCAAGCTATCTAAGTAGGCATTCTGTATGATTAATACTAGGTTGGTGAGAGAGTTTTTGAGAGAATTAGATCTACAATGGACATCAAATGTCATCAAAGAAACAAATTCAATAAAACAAGGGACCATATCTTCTTACATTACCAAATCCAAAAGCGGCTTTTGTTGTGGTGGAATTTTAGCTCAGGAAAATTTTGGGTCCTTAGCTGGAGAAAGGAGATAAAATCTGAGTGTTTTCCATTAAACTGCTCAGTATTGTGCAAATGGTGCTTGTACATGTGGATGTGTAATGAATAAGCTGAATCTGTGTCCTACAACTAACGAATGCAAGTTTACGAATGCAAGTTTTATACATTAGTATAAAGGCTTGAGAATCTGTATACAGTTACATATAAGGTTCAAGAATATACAATCAAAACAAATAACACAATCACACAAGAAGTCATAGGCAATAGAGCTCCAGACGGTGCATTTGCCACATTATGTTTGTTACTAACTAGTTGTGGGCCCGTACGTTGCCCGGATTGTGAAAATATTTCGGCATAATTAGTGCAGGAAAAAAACTTGATAAAAAGTGAATAATAAAAACACGACACATATATCTTTAAAATTTTAGAAAAAAAAAAGATTTCAAACAGTAAGTAAATACGAAAATTTGTAATGACCAAACATTTTTTCTTTATTATAATTAAATGTGGTAACACATATGTAATATGTTAGAACATATAAAAGGGCACGACATCATTCAACTTTTTGTTATTGATCAGATAACTTGGATAACTTGAATCCACAAATAAAAGGAGGATTAGCCAACTCGGGAATTTTTGAAATCCTAATATTGCGTTTGAACATTACCAATATTTTTGCAATCGTTAAACTTGTATATTAGATCTTCTTAAACTCAGTTACAGTTTTGTTACCCTGCAAAAATAAAAAATACATCGAAAAATAACATTAGTTAGCGGTCACATACTTGGAAAAACAAATGGTGTATGGTCTCGTTCATACATCGCTTAGCAACACGGTCATCTCATCAATCTGCAACAAAAAGTTATTGTAGAAAAAAAAAAAGGATGAACTATCTTAATCAAAATTACAATTAAGTGACTAATTCAACTTTCAAATGGGACGGAAATTGACTTTGCCACCAGACTGCTGTCACGGCCTCTAATTTGGGTTATTTATAGTACATAAGATAACTATGGTCTTAGGATTTAACATGTTATGAGATATTTTTGGTAAATATTTTATATAAGTAATTATATGATTTTGTGGATAGGTTAAAACTTTAGGCTTTACTGATAGAATTTGAAACAATTAATTAACATATTTGGGGAGTTTGTGAATATGGACGGAATATTATTCTGGTTAATTTACCCATAATTTTTAAAATAAATTTCATTTATTAATTTTCGGATGTGGGAGGGAATTAAGGTGATCAATTTAAATCTCATTATTTTCGAATTTTAAAATCATATCATGATGTGCCATAAACTTGGAAGTCATATTTGGAAATGATATTTATTGTGCTTTTTTGAAAATTCTGAAAGCGTTTAGAAACGTTTCAAAATCACGGATGATGTGTCATACGTCCGGACCTTGTTCAATGTTAACTAATTATTATTATGTTTTTTATTTACCTTGGTTAATGAAATATATATGAGTAAATAAGTTAAATTAAATAGTTACCAATTTTTTTTACTATATCTAATTAGGCTTGATTTTTATGATTATTTGATTGGACATCTCATTATGTGACACACGTGTCCGAAAAGCTTATTCTTTTAATATATAGGATTCTATCCATATCTACCTTTGTTATGATTTATGAAGCTATACAAATTAAGCTGATGGAATTCTGCAAATTAGAGTATGGGACTGCTACCACAGCTATTAGTTGAGCACTATAGTTGAGAAACTCTAGGTAAACATGAAACATGGTCGAAAGAAAGCACTATGAATCATGGCGGCATTAAACATTCAAGATTAAGTAACCAAACACCAGAAAAAACGAAGAAATTCTTCCAGATCATTGCAGCATTATGAATCAACTAGAAGAGATTCTCGCAGAGGTACCGCCCAACGGCTAGAAAAAACATGTAAAACCTGGAAGAGAACAAATGGTGAATGCAAAGTAGCACGGCGAGGTAGAATTTTAAAATTTCCTTGTTAAATTCTAAGCACTATAAATTTTTCTTTCTAATGTTATGCCTTGAAAAATCCATGGTTTGAATAACAAAATTACCTATTAAAACACCTATTGCCACTTATTTCACTGTCTCTCAGTTGTCATGAATTTTAATATCCAAGAGAAAGTTTTCATGACATCATCTCTGTTTCCATTATAGGTAATAGCAGTGTGCTCAGTCCACGTAGCCACTGATTTAAAGCCTAAACTCATCATCTGAAATAGAAGTGCCTCCATAAGAACTCTAGTAAAATCCAAAAACTCTGGGGAGCAAGAGGGATAAATTATTTGGTTTAAAAAGGCAAATCATCCGAAGGATTTCCACAGCAAATCTTATGCATATCTGCTTTATACAACAATATAATCTAGGCCAAGCCAACAGATCCTCTGCTTCACCACTCAAAAGTCCAGTGTGTCATCCTTTGCACAATCTCATACTAAAACAAGAGATGCAAAATGTTCTTGCGTCAATAACTAAGGCTTCAAACACAAGTACAAAATTAAGACAACACTTGCTATTTTTGATTATCCTTCCTTAGCATAATCTTTATAGTTTTCCTGAGGACCATTCTCAGAACCTTTTCAGATGAAATTTGCTGCAGCTTCAGGGTGATGGTATTGATGAATCTCTCTCAACATCATCTCCCTAATCGTTGCTTCATCCATATTCTCATCGATGTCGAGATTCAGAGGGAACTCGGCAGGAGGGTTGCAACTTGGATCATACAGACCAGATAAGTAAGGGTGATACAGGGCTTCTGTCACAGTGATTCTCTTTGTAGGATCAAAGACGAGCATCCGCTGCAACAAATCTATTGCAAGGGGATCAGCATGAGGGTATAGAGCAGCAAAGTTAACCCCTCTTGAATACGGGAGAGATAGGATGAATCTCCGAGCCTTTGGGTTGTCAATGAATCGAAGATTATCTTCCTTCTGGCTGCCCAGAACATCAATGATAAGTTTAAGCTGATTGAGGCACTCAGTTCCAGGGAAGAGTGGTTTACGACCAAGGATTTCAGCAAAGATGCATCCCACAGACCAGACATCAATTGAGGTTCCGTAGTTGTCACAGCAAAGAAGCAACTCTGGTGCACGGTACCACCTCGTGACAACGTATTCAGTCATGAACTGTCCACTGTCATTGCCTGTTCTGGCCAGTCCGAAATCACATATCTTAAGTGCACAGTTAGCATTGATAAGGAGATTTCCAGGTTTCAAGTCCCGATGAAGAATATTTGCAGAGTGAAGATATTGCAAGCCACAAAGAAGCTGCAAATTGCAAACAACGACAACAAAAATAGATGTAAGCATCGGGATTAAAGGAGCACCTGTAAGAAGCTAGTTCAAAATAACAAGTGGCTCTGACAGCAACAGAGTTATGGGTGACAAAATCATGTTTTCTGTTCCAAGCGGAGCTGGATGAACAAAATGCTGCCTCAGCTAAAATAACTTTGAGAGAGCAAGTAAAAAAAATCGACAGAACATTACTTCTAGTGCTAAAGCTTTTTCACATTCCCAATTGAAGATTCACCAGCAAACCACCAAAAATAACCTAGAAGTTTCTTCTTGGTTATCCAAAGAAAATGGTTCTTTTTGCAAATGTAATGCAAAATGAAGAAGGCTCTAGAGGAACTCACAGCTGCAACACCATTACTACCAAACTTCCAGATATAGGAAGATAGTTTCAGTTGTGCAGCTAGGATGTCATTTTCAAAAGTAAATTCTTCCACAAAAGATAATGTACGACACAGATGTTTATGGAACATAATATGTCTGAAAAATTTTACTTCAGCAAAAGCATCTATTACATATGAGTTCATCAAAGTTGTAATTAATCTCAAGAAATTTAAACTCTCAACTTCCATTAACCCACACATTGCTAATTAAGCATCATAGGAACCTCAAAATGCATAATTGAACTGAGAAATCTTGATGGTTCATGCTAATCTTAAATATGAACTAGTCAAAATTTACAATGGAAAACATCCAATCTATGCTATCTAATCCCCCCGATTAGTTTAGAACCTCCTTTACAATAGCGAGATCTCTGTTTGAGCTCTCAAAACAAAACCAATTGCCAAACATAGTTGTAAACTTAAGGAAAAATCACAATGACAATACACAAAATGTGTCAATAGAAACAATACCTGGAAGATGAAGTACTTGCAATGGTCACTAGATAATGGTTGTGATGACTTGATAATATGGTGAAGATCAGTATCCATCAGCTCATAAACCATGTACACATCCTTGAAATTACTCCTGTGCACAGGCATCAGAACATCCTTCAATGCGATCACGTTCTCATGCTTCACATGCCGCAAAAGCTTCAACTCCCTAAGGGTCCTCAAAGCATCAATGCGATTGTCAAAGACATTTTGTATCTTCTTGATCGCCACTTTCTCATGAGTCTCCATATTAACAGAGGAACAAACTACCCCATAAGCACCTCTACCTATGGGTTTGATTGGAATGTATTTCTTGTCCACTTCAAACAGGGTTTGCCCCATCGTGTAGTAATGCTTTTCTTCTCTGGGCCTAATTTCAGTTTGTGGCTCCACCACACTGGCCATTTTACTGTTAATTTCAAACAAGTAAGTTTCATTCAAACTCATTCAAAACAGACGATCAGAAGGGAAATCTTTCTATTTTGATGATTATGGCACTAGTGACAATCATAGAAGCTAATTCCCGAACGGATCGCACAATTCAAGATTAAAAATAACTCCTTCCTCGGTAAAGGGCATAATATATTGTGCTACATCATAAATAAAACTTCAAAGATGTAAAAATCTGATCTTACTCACATTTCGGCGAATTCAATCTTCTTGGGCCCTCTGAAATCTTCGATGAGAATAATTTAATAAACAGAATTTGCACTTTTCTTTCCCTTTAATCTTCCACAAATTCACAGCCACTTTTTTCAACGCCGCCCATCAAAAACCACCTGCATATGATCAGAAGTAAAGCTAAAGTCAGATAAAGCCATGATCTTTATTGCTAAAACACCCTACTTTGACAGCCCGAATCACCACTAAGATCAAAACAAAGAAAAGCATAAATTTTTAGACTCACCAGCTAATTCAAATTGATGGGAAAGAACCGAACCCGATGACATAAATAAATAGGAAGAAGGAGGTAGGACAAAAAGGGGCATATATATCACAAATAGATAGGAGATTCAATCCAAAAGGGAAGAAGAAAGTATTTGGAAATTATCCACCCACACTCAAACGGTGAGTTCTTCTTATCCCAAATTGAAATAAGTAGCTTGTTTGGATGCATGAAATTTTTATTTTTTTTTCCAACAAACAAATCAATTTAACTCGGATCATGCAAATCAATTTAATTAATAAACAAATAGGAGGAGTGGGTTAATTTGTTGCGAGTTGTGTGACTGCTCCATTACGGGGGGAGGTTTTGTGGTCAATGGGGCTAAAACAGAGCAGCTAGCTTGCAGGAGCGTGACTCCGTCACTGTGTGACTGTGTGCAAAAAGTTCACAAATATGGAAAAGGGGAAGCCGATTACGGAGCCTAGCCGAAAGTAGGGTAGGACAGCTAATAGGGGAGGATGATGCCATTGGCAATGACATTATACTAAATTACTAATTATGGTTTGTGATGGGTTTTTTTTTAACTTAAGGGATATGCTTTGGTGAGATTCGGTTGATGAATGGGGTCGTGATTTGGTTTTGCTTTGTGGGTTGGATTTGCAGATTGCTTTTGTTTTGTTGAAGAAATGAGGAAAAATTATTAATTAATTATTGTAATTAATGATGTTATAATCCACAGACGTGAATGAATGTTTCAAACGTAGAAGATTGTTATGCTTTCGTTAACTGAGAGAATGGGAGATTGCGTTGACGGCTGTTTAAGCGAAAAGAAAGAAAGCGGTGAAGTTTGGCTGTCACACGTGGATGAAGCACCGGCTCAGGCCGGCTAAAGGGAAGGTTTTTTTTTTATTTTTTTTATACACAATTACAATTACAAATACTTAATTTATTATATGTGGGGTGAAACCTATGGAGAATAGGTAAGTACTACTAAGGGGAAACTCCAAGCGCGCACTCGGAAACCTAAGATAATCTGCATGTTTTGTTGTTAGCGGGGTTTGAACCTGGACCCTTTGGGACCTCAGATTTTGATGTTATGCCCATTACCACTTAGGTAACTCCTTGTTTGCAAAGAGAAGCTTTGCTTTGTTGGCGGTGTAATTTTATCAAACTGCGTCCTTAAGATTTATGCGATTGGTCCATGTGATTTGAGATCATCTTAATTTCAGCCTGCTACTTTAAAAGGAAAGTCACTGTTGCGACTACGACCCATTAATGTATAGTATACTATTTTTTTTTTTTTTGTAAATTCTAGTATCAAAGACCACGGAAATTACGGATATAAAAGTGTGAACCAATAGAACTTATGGAAGAGGTAGGTGACTTAAAATTAGATTCTAGTCAACTGAAGAACTACTACTTGTGAATGATTTGTTAGTTTTCTAGAATAGAATGTATGTAGTTCTTGAGGAAAAGTTGCGCATGCATTTTGATTTTTGGCCTACCCCTTGTGTTTGGCCTACCCCTTGTGTATAACAACGTCAACGGAAATTAAAAATACGGAAAAGTTGAGGGGGTTTCTCCAAGACAAAGTCACCTTAATCTTTACTCTTTCTAATGCCATCTGGCAATGCAAATTAATTTTAGGTTAATTTTTTTTCCCCATAGTTTGTTGCTAATTAAGAAGAGAAGGCAAATAAAGGAATCTCGGAGTTTTGGATAATTAATTAGTCTTCCTTTTAACTTCATCATTACAGTAAACTTGCCAACTTGAGGAAGTTCGATGGAAGAATGTCATTGAAGATTTACAAATTTTAGATTTTTCTTTCTTTTACTAGTTAAACATGTTTAAACCGGTATAATGTTGTTCCAAGAAAAGAGACCATACTAGCTTATCAACAATATCCAACAAACGAGAGAGTAGTAAACTTATTGTCCTTGACTTGATGATATGCAATTGAGAAAGTATGCAAAGTTGTTAGCATCTAATATTTGGCATTTCGTTGATGGAATTTAGCGGAGTGCGGCACATTCAAGGTAGCATGTAGTTTGAAGCTTCATCCAATTTTCCCAATATTGTCTTCTGTGAATGTCTCAAGGTGAATGCCAGTTGTCAAATCCCGATTAGGCTCATACGAGTTATTAGATTAAAAAAGATAAGAAGGGATTGTTGCAATTTAATTTGAAATCAAAAATTTTGAGGGTGTTATAAAAGAGAAATCCTTGTGGCTGCTGGGATTCGAGCCCAGGTCTCCACGGCCACAACGTGAAATTCTTACCACTAAACTACAGCCACTGATATCTGTTTAAGTTATTAGATTGTTAATAAATCACAACACGAATGGTTACTACAATTTATAAAATTTGCTTATAACGAGTCACATCTGGATTTTGAAATGCACAAAGTCTCAAATACATTGTCCAATTTAAATTTTCGTTTTTATCTTATTTTTTACTAAAAATGATAAATCAAACTAGATAATAATTTCGAGACGAGAGAGTACATCATTTTATCATTTCATTAATTTGACAATAAGCGTTAATGAACAACAAGCAAGACAAATAAAAACATATTCCATCCGTCCTGAAATTATTGTTCAATTTGGATTTTTCACTTTTAGTATAATTTGAATTAAAACAAATATTCAAATTGGACAATAGTTTTGGAGTGAGGGAAGTAAAGTATAAGTTTGATCTTCTATGTAGGAAATTTACGCGAGTCTTGCCTTGATTTGTTATAGCACAAATTCCTGAATTAAACTTTCTGTGATTATTTTACTTTTATCCCAAAATAGGTCAGCGAAAATGACATTAATCGTCCTGGAACAAAGTAGTAATTAGTGATATTTACTCTAAAGAGAAAAAGAAGAAACAGTAGTAGATTATTGACTGAAAAATTGCAGCCGATGGATGATCATGGGATATAGTCTATAGATGCCAATAATGCAATGGAATATTAGTAATAACTACAATTATGTATAGTATACATTATTAACAAAGTTGCCTGAAAAGACTTATTGTGCTGAATTACACACCTTTCTTTTCTTTTTCTTTTCTTTTCTTTTTGAATTAATCCATGTCTTTAGGGTTTGAAAAGTGAATGCATCTCATCATAATTTGAAGATATTCAACTGGGATAAAAAGTCAACCTATACAACAATTGTAGATTTCCAATGTCTTTACTTTTCTTAAAACAAAGATAATAAATTACAAGCCATCACACAGAGGAAGGATTAACAAAACAAAGATAATAAATTACAGTTTCTTGTCACTCCTTCCATCCCTAAACGATTATCTTCTTTATATTACTTATGTTCAAGGAAAAAAATTTCATATTAAATTTTGAGTTTTGTATAAATTTTAATACAAACCTTAAAATTTAATGTAGATTTTTTTTTCCGAGACAGAAAGAGTATCAAATAATTGTATATCTCCGTTACATTTCTATTAGAGTTTGACAATTTATTAAAATATAAATCTACGGATTTAACACCAAAGTAGGTAATGCCGGATTGCAAATTGCATCAAAGCAGCCATCTAGTTTTTTTGCACGATTTTGTTTCTTCAATAATATTGTGCTCCACAAAAAGCAAGAAGATAGAAAAATTAGAAGGGCTGACTGTAGCTGAGGGGGTTGAGCTACTCAAATAAGATGAATCCAACTAGGATTCCATTTCTTGGCTGGGCCTTTCTGGGTGGGGGGTGGCTATGCCTATCATCTTAGCTGCAAGTGGTGATTGGAAAAGTATTGTAGTATGCGATAAGGGAATTGATCCTTAAAAAATTTCTTAAAATATATATATTACGAAACCAGAGGATAAAAGTATTCATTTATATATGTCCTGCAATCCCAAAGTACCAATAATTGGATGGTAATATTGTATTAGTTGAAATTACTACTATCGTATATTGTTTCGTTCACAATTAATAAAAGGTGATCCTTCTACTAATATTGTCATTTTTTTCCCCCTGTTGTCTTTCAACCATCTTATTACACCTCAACCGTTGCTTGGTTTCTCAGAAGCTCTCCAATACTTTTGATATTTCAGTTGATAATTCATCTCAAACTATTCGGGTTATCTTTTCCACGAAAGTCTAACGACAGTAACCCTAATTATAGATGCAATTACGCATACTTTTTTTATAAAAAAAATCTCGGCCATTATTTTCCATTTTATTGCTTTAGACAGAAACAAACTCTATTAGCAACCTAACTTTTTCAGGTGTAGATAACTCGTTGGTTCAACTTCTGAAAAATATAAAATAAATAGTTTTAACACGATATAACTAGAACGACTTAGTTTTAATAACATTGTATTTAAATTTTAGGCACCCCCCAGAAAATTAAGTAAAATAAAAATTAAGATATATATATATATATATATATATATATATATATGCATGTTTCATCTGTATATGCTCACGCGGGGCAGGGTTTGGTAAATCCTCTTTCAGTTTTGGCAATTCGACATCCACATGGGAAAGAAATGCATATGCAATTAATCCAGGAAATTCATGCAAATTTCTCTATACCACGTTTCGCATAGGACATTCATGATGCCAAGCTCATAGTGACATCAAAATGGCGTCAGCCAAGCCTAAGAAAACCTAAGTACGATGGGAGGTTCCCATCTTCAAATGATCTCACCATCCCTACTCAACTGGATGGTATCATTAAATTCTCGCAATCCATCATAGCTTCTGCTACCTTGGAGGTACAACGTACATATATATATACATTCATGATGGGCCAATTGTTTTTCAAAAAAAAAAAAAAAAAAAAGAAAAGAAAGGGACATTTTGCACATCACAAAACACCCATTGCCCATTATAGTCACACACTGCCCAAACAATGAAGCCCCCCTTATGTGTTTTCACCCCAAATTTTTATAATTCTTTTTTCCTGAACCGACAAAAGCTCTAGTGATAAAAAAGTGTAGACATGTGGCCTGAAAAATGGTCCCTTTTTTTTTTCGCATTTGATTTTTTTTTTCTCATTTAAATTGTTCCGTCAATTATATGAACACAGTGACTCAACTTATATATGCCCCCCTCCCTCTAACCTAATAAGCTAAGTTAGCTTCTGGGCAAGTGGTAGAGAAAGAATGATGTTGATAGGCATATTTATAAGCTCTTGAACACTTTGAAATACCAGATATGGTGATCTTCTTTGATTAGAAAACAAGGAAAAGAAAAAAAAAAAAAAAAAAAGAGGGTTTGTACATATATATGTTTCAGTTTTGTACACTCTTTTGGATTAATCTCAAATCTGGAAATTGAAGAATATCATCGTTTCAACATGGGCTCTGAGAATCTTTATATGCATCAACAACAACTGCAGCAGCAGCAGCAGCTTGTTTATCCATCCTTGCCATCTTCTTCATCTTCTGCTTCAGCTCCAAGAGCATTGACCCTACAGGATTGGAATAACCTCAACAACTCTGTCTTGTAAGTCTTATTAGAGTAACTTCAATTTTCAAGTTTTTTCATTTGTGGAAGAAGGTGGTGTAGTATATATCCTCATGACTCTTATGTAAGCAAAACATGCATATTGATCCTTCTTGAACTGGAAGTTAGTACATATGTTAATAATTGATTAAAGTCTTCTCCCTTTGATTGTTATACAATAAAACCCTGGAAGAGCTAGCTAGAGCTATATAAGATTTGAAGAACTGTGTTGATATTCTAGAGACAGTTGCTCTATACCTAATAAATGAACCAACACAAAAAAAAAAAAAAAAAAAACACCTTGAATATGGGAAGTCAAACAACAAAAACCCGTCATGCATAAACATATTCGAAAATCAAATCCGCAGCTTTATAAAGTCGAGAATTTATAATTGTATAAAATTATGGTGTAGGTTGCAGTAAGATTCATTAATTGAACCAAGAGTTTATATTTTATTTATTTTGGTGAAATACATGCTGAATGATATATTATGCAGAGGTGGAGATGAGCTGAATAGATACATGAATGAAGTCCTTCCAAACTCAAGGGAGTATTTGTGGCCAACCAAGTTCAACAATAATATTGATTCAGTCGTCCCTCCTTCATTGAAAACATCCACCCGGCCGGTTGACTTCATGACCAGCTATGTTCATCCCCAAAAACTCATGCAATTCGAAAACAGTACTACAACTCCTCCTCCTCCTAAAGGAATGATGATGAGCTTATCAGATAGTTTCCTTAAACTATGCGACACAAGTAATAGTGCTGCTAGCATCTTCAATATCGGAAACGGCCAAGAAGAACGAAACGGATCATTAATAGACCTAAACCAAAATCTTGGGTTCAATTCCATCGAGAATTGTCAACCTGAGGTTTTTGCGGGTTTAGCCCCTCCAAGTTACATGCCAACAGGCTGTTCGTCAGGAAATGTTACAGACTATCAATTTCCAAACTTTTTTGCAGCTACTAATTCGGCAGTTCAGTCTTCGGGGAATATGCTTCATCTGCCAACAAATAACATTATGGACTGTACACATTATGAAGATGGTGGTCATTCGGATGATCAGCCGTTTTCAGGAGGAAGACTGACATCTTCTTTTTCGGGATATTTTCACGTCCAGCACTCAAGTCATGATGATAGCCCCTCAAACAGCTCAAACAAGGTGGTTATTACCTTTTGCCATTGCTTGCTTCTCAATTCAAATTGAATAGAACCAAAAAAAAAAAAAAAAAAAGAGAGATTAATTTCCTGGTTGCATGAAAGAAATAGCTACTTCTTGGTTCACATAGAAAATTGCAAATGCATCAGCCATCCACTCATGCATGCCTTTTTTTTCTCTTCTCATTTCTTTGGGGATTGTGGGTTGGTGTGTATGCGCGAGGTAGCTAATTATGGGTTCAGTAACTTGGTATTAATGATACTCCCTCCCCGCCATAAAATGAAAAATTGTCCAATTTTAATTTTCATTTAATTCAAATTATACTAAAACGGAAAACCAAAACTAAATAATAATTTTGGGACATGAGTATATAATTATGTAATTCTAGCTAGTAGTTACATTGTTTTTTGCAATATCTAGTAGGCTAAAACATTTATGAACTAAATGTATCGTTTTGGTTTTGCAGACATCATCAACGTTGAGGAAAGATGGTGGGAGAAAAGAGAAACATCTCAAGCCAAATCATCCATCTACTACTACGACTGCTGGAGTGGCCAAGAAACCCAGAGTTGTACCACCATCATCATCTTCATGTCCGACCTTAAAGGTTTTGATTTGGAAACTTGAACATTCCTAATTTTTTAGTCCAAAATAAATAAATAAAAATGTAGTATATAATATACCACCTTGATATATAGCGATTCTTGAAACAACAACAACAACATATAACGCGCAGGTGAGAAAGGAGAAATTAGGAGACAGAATAGCAGCGCTTCACAGAATGGTATCACCTTTCGGCAAGGTAATAACTAAACTAATTATTGGGTACGTACGTGTTTTTTGCTGATCTGAATCCCACTCACACACACACATATAGTCACGCCTGGGTGGTACAGTGTTGTGTGCGCCTGCCTGCAAGCTGCATGATCTTTAATTAAAATGCAATATATCCCATATTATGTACATGATGATGATGGGCATCTCTGATCTAATTCTTTTGTCGTGTTTTGGGATTCATTCATTCAATTCCATCGTGGGGAACATTTTCAGACAGACACTGCCTCCGTTTTGACAGAAGCCATGGGTTATATTCACTTCCTCCAGGACCAAATCCAGGTAGTTTTTCATTCATTCATTCATTTTACCCTACCACATCAATCCCACTCTTTTTTTTTTAAAAAAAAATAAATTTATATATATATAAAAAAAAAACCCCTTACTTGCAACCTTCTTTGTTTTTCATAAATATTTCTTGAAAATGGGGAAAAACGATTCCGATTTTTTTTTTTTTTGGACGGAAAACATAATGTATGTTAGAGGTTCTCTTTTAGATTTTTTTTTTTTCAATTAACAAAAACTGATGGGGAAAAAAGAAAATATTCGTTGACAATCTTAATTTTCGTGCAACTATGAATTATATGTAACGTTGTTTTGCAGAGATTGAGTATGACGTACTTGAAGTCATCTCGCAGCAGCAGCCTGTGCCCAATACCTCGTGGGGTAAGCTTTCCTTTGTCTCTTTATATCTCATTAACAATGTTTTGACTCTTTATTTCTTCTACCTCCAATTCATTCGGTAGTGTCTCCTTGTTTTCTTCTCACCCGTTTTCTGTTATATTTTTGTCAAACTTGTCATCATTATTCTCAAACTTGAAGCCATCATGGTGGAACTTGATTTTATTCGAGTCATACTCTTCCGTCCTATTTTACTGTTAACTAAGATTTTTATTTTTATTTTTTTGGAATAAAATGTTAACTAAGATAGTACTATAACGAATTGTGTATTTTTCAACTGCATTTATATTTTTTCTTCATTGTCATCATCATTTTGACTTTGTTTACACAACTAGCCAACAAATTATTATTATTTGTTGGAATTTCATTTTACCGGAAGAAACAAAATTAATTAAACACGAAATTCCAACTGCGAATGATGTGAGTTTGGACTCAATTGCCGGCAGCATGCATGCATGATTTTGATGTTGATTTATTTGATGGGTGGATTCTAATTTTCCTGTGGTGAGGACAGGGACGATTGGGCATGAAAGAACGGAACGATGAAGAAGATCAAGGGGAAAGGCAAGATTTGAAGAGTAGAGGACTGTGTCTTGTGCCCTTGGCTTTCACTTCCTTTGTATTTTCTCACAATGGGACTATCTGCTGACCAAATTTACCACCAGTTTGAATAGTTTTGTCTTGTAATATAACTTCCACAACACAACGTTAATCAAGCCAAAACAAGTTCGTTCACCTAGCTTACAAGTGATCAAGAATTGAAGATATATAATCAATTTGTTGCCGAAATATCTTGGCCAGATTTGAATATTCAATAGAGTTATAACAAAAGTGTTACAGAAAATTGAGAGGAGACACGGTTGGGGATTACAACAAACACATGCTTTTTATTGTGCTAGATTCCTCTACAATTCCTTCTTCCAAACTCTTCCTCTAAAATCGGCATCTTCAATCGGGAAAGACTCAAGCTCAGGACACCAGCTGACATTCACTGGCATGGTTGCCATTCTGCAGTTAAGTCTGATAAAAACTTCAAGTTTTAGGCCTTCAGTTCTCCATTTGATATTTCCACTTCCCAAAAGCTTTCACTGAATCTCTCAAGATCTCCAGAACAGATACCGCAACATGGGAAGTGACTTGAGATTCAGCCAAACTGGACTTATCTTTCCAGGATAAAACTGGAAACTCAGCTCGCATAGTTGTTGAGGTGGTAAAAGTTCCCCAATCTTGGAAGCAAGTTCATCATGATCATGACCAAAGCTGTTAATTGGTAATTTTGTAGTCGTTGGGGATTGACCAATGCATCAACTTTATCATGTCCAATGTCATCACCATCTGGTGGTCGCGGCTCAAGTTTTCTCAGTCTTCAGATTCACTGCATATAGCAGGCTTGAAGCCCATCAATATTTTGAGGTTGGAAAGCTTCCCTAGTCCCTAATCAAGAGAGCCACAATTGCTGGCATCTAAAACCACTAGCTTTTCAAATATTACTCCCTCCGTCTTAAAAAAATAATCCACATTGAGTTTTGAAATTTGTATTGTTTTAATGTGAATAATTTTTCTGGGATGGAGAATGCACTATATAGGAAGTAAGAACGGTAAAATTATGGCAATAAGGTATATCCAAAATCTGAAGCTTAATTAGCTTGGATATTGAACTTGGGAGGTGAATCACTCATTTTACTAGACCTGAAAATGATTCTGTAGAGATTGATTTTGAAAGATCCATAACCTGCAGATGCCGGCATCTACAGATGCGCTTGGCCAAATCTGAACCAATTCTGTTCACCTCACTACTCTAGGTTGTTGTGAGCAATGCCCGCAATCTTTAATTACCTCTAAGCTGATGTGCATTTGGGTCATTCTTAATACCCAAATGGCGGCAGTTACCAATATCACGTGGTATGGAAAATGCATCTTCTTCTACCATTCTTTTCACCAAGTCATTAACCATGTCATGTGGTATAAGTTCACCTTACAAGTGTGTAGATATAATCATTAATCATTATAATCCTTATCAACCACCTCTATGAAACATCGATTTATTCAAAGCCGGTTCTAGGGACAAGATGGTGAAAGTAGGGCTTCAGGCGCCAGAAGTTTGGAAAGCCCCAAATTATGAAGTGTTATTAATATCTTTATTTTTTGAAGTGTTATTAATAAAAAAAGAACTATACATTTAAAAATAATACTCCCTCTGTCCCATAATTATTGTCCACTTTGTCCAAAAAATTTTGTCCCAAAATTATTGTCCAATTTGACTTTTTATGGATCCAGTTACACATTTGTCCTTAGTAAAAAATATTATCCATAAAATCTTAGTGGTTAAACAATTACTTATGCAGAGGTATATCCGGTTGTTTAAGGTAAAATATAGTTAAGTTTGAACAAAAATAAAATCTTTAATTTTAGCAAAACTGGACAATAATTATGGGACGGAGGGAGTAATAAATTTAGAGTCTAAAAATTTAAATTTTACCTCAACATTTAATTAGACGCCTAAATTTTAGTTTTCTAATTTTAACTCTAGTAAGACCTCTTAGTTGAATAGGTTTAAATATTAAGTGAGAAGTTAAATAATTAAAAAAAGAAAAGAATGTTGAAGTGATGTGAGCTTCAATTTCTACATTAACCAAAAAAAAAATGTTATTTTCAAATTTCAATTAAGTAGTAATCAATAATCAAGTTTCCCAACTACCAGTCTCTAAAATTTTAGTTTTAAAAGGCATCCCTATCTTTTTTCTAATTACCATACTTGTTTATTACAAATTATTTAATTTTATTACAGATCAGGTAAAGTTGAGAGATGTTCGTGATGTAATATAATATATATATATAACATAATATTATATGGGAAATTCTATGGTCCAGTCATAAGTTTTTTACTAGACCATTCAGTTAAAATCCATCCAATAAAGTTGGGACTCACCATATGTGATTGTAGGGTGTGCAACACCAGAACGAAATCATATTTATTAAGACTAATCAGAATTATTTTGTTTCTAAACAAATATATTTATGACAGTGGTTTTTTTTTCCATTTGTTTTTACTTTTTTGATATTCGGACTTCTGAAAAATCAGCTCTCATTACCATGATCTTCTTCATTTTTCTGAAACTTGTCAATCCCCCCTCCTTTTTTTTGATAATCAACGGCTTGGAAGCGCCATTAAAGCGATGAAAAGAAATCAACTACGATCAACAACTAAAATAGAATATCTTTTCAGGTTCACAGGGAAATCAGGGAAAAAGAGGGAGGAAGGAGTTGATTCTTCTCATCTTCATTCTTCTGCAATTTTTCTCGCAAAATTATACGAATCATCACTCTCTAATCTCAAACGAATTAATCCTCTAGAGCACAACATCCTTTTTTTCCCCATTAAATCATGAACAACTCAAAAAAAAAAAAATCACCTACGGAGTAATGCAAAATCCAGCAAACAATAACTTTTAAACTCTAATTGAAACCTCAATAATTTGGAACGGGTTAGTTCAGGGATGGCTGGAGTCAGGGATAATAATTACAGCGTTTAAGAAATCTTTTTTTTTTTCTGCCCCAGGTAATTCAATCTGATTGATATTTTACCAGTTGTAATGTAATTTCAAATGTGATGGAGTGTATTTTAATTTTAGAACACCTTATTTTGATCTAGTGGTTGTTGTTATCTTTAATCATCCAACGGCTAATAATATCCACTGAACCATTCAGTCGACTGGACTGTAGTCACTCCTATATTATATTATATATTATATTATATATATATAATATGATGTATTATAACTGATTCACATGTCCTCATGTCTCCGATGTGGGATTCACAATCCTTGCCACATGACCCTCAACATTCTCCCCCGTCATAGGCAATCTCCACATCGGGCTTCCAAATTATCTTAACAAGCCCAAATATGTACTCCACCTGAGTAACTGGGCCGCTCATCCCTACACTTCCGCTCGTAATGGACCCTTGACTGCCTGTATTTAGTCAGATCAACCAAGATAATTTGGGCTAAATCACCTACCCAACTGGCCCAACTTGGACTCCGATACCACTGTTGTGGTGGAAAGGGCATAAACACAACACACTACAGAAGCGAACCCCAAGAAAATCTCATTTCCTACTACTAATAAAATAGGACAACCAAAGAAGGAAAATAATTCAAGAACTAATAAAATAAAGGAGGCACACGAATTTAAGTGGAAACCCAAATCGGAAAAAACCACGGGACTATAACAACAGTCAAATCTCCACTATCACAATAATGAGAGACAATCTTCACCAACTGGTAGATACACAGGGCTTCAACCAAATGTGGATTACAATAATACTTTTCCACACACACCTAAACCACAAAGTAGGATTGGAAGGATCTCACCAAAAGAGAGTTAAAACCGAAAACTAAACCCTAATTTTTTTTCTTTTTCTCTCGTACAAAAACAATGCACGGCTGCTCAAACTTTTCTTTTCTTCTCGGCTGGAAAAACACACACGCACATGAGGTTGTGTGCAACCTTGCTTTTATAAGCAAACAAAACCAAAACCCAAGTCCATGTGAGTTTTTATTTCCCTCGGTCAAAACACTCAAATCCAAACCAAATTGAGTTTTTTTTTTTTTTCGGTCATGCTGGGCTACCAATAGTGGGGAAAGAAAACCGGCCCAACAATAACAAAACCATTCGTACCCTCAAGCTGACTGAGTTCAAGTCCTTCAGATCTATATTTTCAAAATCAGACCGGAAGGTGAACCGTTAGCGTGACTGGGTTGGTAGGTTTATCAGGTAAACGGGTTAATTCGTTCCTCGAAATCAGTGGAAACCGGTTAAAATAATATTAAAAAAATATTTAAAAATTAATTTTTTTAAAAATATATGCAAAAACCGGTTCAACCGGTACCGGTTTCTGATCAAACTGTAATTTTGTCCGGATTTGACCGAGTTTGACCGGGTTATACAGAATCCGGTTTTTTCTAGAAACCAGATTAGTGAGGCTTCTGGTTCCCGGACTAACCGGTTAGACCGCCCGGGCCGGTCCGATTTTGAAAACAGAGCCTCAGATCATTAAGTTTATCCGGTGTTGAGGTTTCCGGAAAAACTCTTAATTATATAATTGACAAATCCTATTTTCTTGAACATCTGGGTAGTAAGTGGTTCAGGATCGAGAGATTTGTCAAGTGTCATGGTTTGTGGTTCATCTCTAAAATATCTGGAGTTAACCTACTGCCGATTTCTAAAGTCAATCATTGTGCGTGATACATGTCTTGTCTCACTTAAGTATACGTGGTTGAGTAACTTAGTGCTTTAAAATGTTCCAACGCTTGTGGGATGTATGGGTTTCTAGATGGCAGGTCAGTCGGATAATCCATCAGCTTTCCAGCCTCCTGTCAAGATTGGAGGTTCTTACATTATGTGTCATGAGTTCGGATGGTAAAGAGGTCAGTCTCTACACTTTAAGAGTGAAATTTGGTGTAACACAAGTTTTCGTATTTACCTGTCAACTTATGGCACCTTCTTTTAATTTGTTTTGTCTTTTACTATCCCGGGATATTACAAGGGTTCTTGAAGTTCCCCATCTAATTGGGTTGAAGCAATTAATCTTAAACGTTCCAGCCTTGAAAGATGATAGCCTTCTTCATTTAACTTCTTCGTTCATGCGGTCATCCTCCAACTTGGAGAAGTTTTTACTGGAGGTGTGTCAATTTTTGTAATTCCTGCTGTTGCCTTGGGCTAAACTTTCGATTCCTCGATTACAGTTTGTTGGGTTTTCTTGACTAAATTACTTCTGCATGTTGTCTTTGTATCTCTAGTTGCGCTGGTTGACCTGTTGCAGAAGTAGAAGACGAGTAGAGAAAGTTCCAAGTGTTCCTCACCAGTGTCTTAAAGTTGTTGAGTTTTCGTGGGTATTATGGTCGTAAAGCGGACAATGAGCTCGTCATGTACTTTCTAGAAAACAGCACTGCTCTAAAGGAAATAATACTTGACCCTCGGTGCCAGATTTTCCTCTATCCCCAACGCGAGATGAGACCTCAGGAAGAGAAGATAGCCAGGATTTGTGCCCAGGAGCAGTTTAAGGGACTGATACCATCATCCGTTGAATTAGTTGTTATTTAGAGAATCATCGTATTCTGAACAAGTCCTACATGGAGAGCATCGGCGAGACGGGAGTCAGACGGCTGAACTACGGATGACAAGGGAACACTTGGATATTGGGAAGACACTGATTATATAAGTTACAGTGTTTTCACAGTTTAGTTACAACTTTTAACACTTTTTTCCCATGTGGGTAACACAACTTTTTTGTTTTTGTTTTCACATTTGTTAAAAAAATTAAAATTAAAAAATCCAAAGAAGCATCAAGACTCGGTCCTATTCTCTGTATATCTTCTTTTTTTTTTTTTTTCCATAAACACAAAATTAATGTCACAAATGGATGTTGCTTAGTCTGGTACTTTCAAAACCAACATTGAAGGAAAATTAAGCTCCACTCCTTGCGGATTAGGCCCAAAAGCTATGCTCCACAACCCATTTGGACCTTATATTTGCCTTTACTTTTACTAAAAGTGAATTAAAAAAAATATATATCACCACAAAATCGTTCTCCATTCTACAAATTCCAGCCCACTTTTTCAAAAATACAAATTCCAGCTCCAGTTAGGAATGCAGATGTAAACAAAGCATCGTTCATGCATCATAAAATTGTTAATATGATTACCTCTTATCCTAACACAACAACAGAGGTTTTCCGGGATCAGTTTAGCACTAAAGGTGGCTTCCTCCTCCTAAACATAACAGTGCTAGGTGCTATGAAGACGCAGGTCTTCCCATTCACCATCACTCTGAATCTGAATCTACATTCGCAGATGATCTCACACTCCGACGTCTACTTTCGGGATACTCATCATCGTCCTCATCTTCAGCTTTGTTCTCCTTTATAATTCCTGCAAAATAATTGCTAAGAGATTGGCCACAAAACGAAACAGAGGAACCAGTCTTTGGGGGGTACTTCTTTTTACCTTTCTTTAATAGTAGAGCTTCAAGTGTCCTAGTTGAAAAGTCATCTTTTGCACCCAAGTCTTGAAACCCTACCAGCCTGTCTACCGCAATTCCATTTCTGAAACAAATGTCAAAACGGATTAAAAAAATAGATAATTTGTACACCAGGAGAGCTACTTTTTAGGTTGCTAGGAACACTTTATATAAAGGCTCCAACGACAGAGGAGAAAGCTAGTGTATACTCTTTCTATCTTTCCTTTAAAAACTGAGGGTACACTAAGGCCTGAACTACGGTAATGTTCAATAGAAACTAGGACCCAATAAAGTTGAGATTCGAAATCTACAACAAAGCAACTGTAATGATTGAGCAGTAACAGACCCATGGCACTTCTTAAGAGACTTGACTACAAAGAGTAGCAGATTTGGTGGAGATTAATAAATCATCAACTAGGCAGATACAGTATGTTGCTCCATGGTAATGCGACACCAAACTTAATGTTACACAATTGTACAGATCCACGCATTCTCTTTTCATTCTGACATGACGGGGAATCCATTAAATCATTATCTAATCTTAAGTTTTCAGGACCCAGTTGTAAGATAACAAATGAAGACCTCCAAAGATATCCACAATCAATCCTCAAACAAACAAGTGAACACTTAAGTTAAATAGAGGGTAAAAAAGGCTTAGAAGGAACAAACCTGAAGAATATCACACAAGGCAAAGTTTTGATAGCTAATTTAGCAACAAAGAAAGGAGCATTCTGCAGTAGAAAGAAGAGGTTGGTCAAGTTATATCCATAACAAATGTGTAACCAGATAGATATACATCGTAAAACTGACCTCTGCATCCAATTTAATGAACTTTGTTTCCACATGCTTTGGAGCGAGAGATTTCAAATGTTTATCCATGATCCTAAGATAAATATGAAAATTAGAGCACGAAATAGACAGTAAGACATTTCATGCTGCATGATATAGCTTTAGCCACATTGTATATATGCTTAATGTATTTAATATCTTCGCAGAACAACAACTGGACAGTTTTGCAACTATTACAATTGCTGTGGTATCAAATTCATACAAATCAGCTATGATCCAGAACTCTCCTGGGCTAGAGTTTAATCAAGCAACAGCATACGAAAGTACTTTTAAGAATATTTGCAGAATACTTATCCAGTTTCTTCATCAGATGAAGAAATGACAATTACAAAACCATAAACAAAAGCAAAGCAAAAGCATTTCCTCCAACGAGATCTTGGAATTATAACCACCAGAAAGGAAAATTAGTATAAGGAAAATGTCTTTACTTGCAACGATAGAACTCTCGATGGTAAAAATGACAAATAGCTTTATCCGTGCCAGTAACTTCACCCAGAAAATCCCCTTCTGTTATCTCCCTATACTCTCCATGCCCATGCCGCTTCAACTCTTGCCGCTTCTCAGCTTCTTTCTTAGGGAGCAAAAATGAGAAAACAAAGCTCTTTAGCTATAATAGATACGGTATGAAAAGAAATAATTTTAAATTACGGCGCAAGTATCAGACCTTTAGAGCAGCGATCCTATCTGCATGTAATCTTTCCAGCTCTGGATCCTATATAGGTACAATTAGTAACCAAACACACACTAAGAGACGCAACATGTACTCAGAAAGGGAAAGCCATGAAGATCTTCTCCACTTACGTCCATTAACTCATCAAGATCAACTTCCTCATTCGCAGTTGCTGATGACTGGGCCTTTTCTTGAGCCACCAATTCCTACGAGAAAGAAGGCAAACAGCTAAGACATTACATATTGTAAATCTATATAAAACACAGCAACAACAAAAATACAAGGAAAAGTAAGTTTCTTAATTGAGCATTCTTGATGGAGTAACCATGCCGAAAATTTAAGTTCAATATTACAATTCGATGGCACCTTGTCCAATTCAAAAGAGTACACATAAATGAACGAGTTGAGCATGCACAGCAATCACAAAATATGCTCTCAACAAGCCTTGTTTTTCTATTTCATGACAAAGCTTAAGGTAGGTAAAGTGATACAATTTTCCCATGAGAGAGATAAGACATTCCACTAGGCTGACAATTCAAATCTTCTACCAAGTTTGAAAAGGTCCAAAAGCATAAATGTATTCAAGCTCGTACGGAATCTAACTTGACAACAACGCTACTACAGTAGCCCAGTGTCCAGCCACAAAGATGATAACAAAAACCAAAAATTTAACCTTTAGAAGTTCATCAATTGCCAAGACTACCGGAATTTTTTAATATTCAGCCAGAAGACATTATAAACTCAAAAAAAGATACCCAATAAATGAAACAATCGAAAAAGATGGTTAATGAGAAAACCTTCTGGTAATCACGAGCTGCCGCTGCCATTACATTTCCAAATGCCAAATTTTGGAGAGTAGATTTCACAGAATCCGGATCCATTCCTCCTTTTCAAAACTGGGGAGGCTAATGCTACAAACAAGAAGAAAACAGAAAAGTTCGAAGCTTTCAAATCATAGATTACAATACCAAAATCCTTTCTTATTAACAAAATGAAATCAATACAGATTTAGAACATTCGCATGACATGTACCTTAATAAGCTATAAGATTCTGGATTCTGGATCAAGACTTGGAATTGAAAACAAGATACTCGGAGCAAATTACCGCCGGGAATGCGATGGATGTTTGTTCAGCGGGTTCGAGCGGGTGGATCAAAATTGAATCCGATTTGGTAAATGTCTATGAAACGGGCGCAGAATGGCTTAACAAAACCACTGAGGGCCTCTATTTTCTACTATTACAACTTTTTCTATGTCAACTTTTACCATTTAGACATTTACCCTAAAAAAAATGACGTAGCAGGAGAATTTTTTTCTGCTTAAAAATCATAACCATATTGATAAACTACTAAACTTCATAAAATTCCTTTCAGATCATCTAACAACTGTTGATAGGAAAAATTATTTTCACAGTTTCTTTTTTTCCTTACAAAAAAAAAAAGCAAAAATAAAAAATTATTCCCTCTTTCCCAAAATGAATGTTCAGTTTAAATTTTCACTTTTGATTCAATGTGTATTAAAAATAAAAATCCAAACTAAACAATAATATTGGGACGGAGAGGCAACTAAGTTAGAATAAATGTTGATCATGTTTCATATAGCTTTTATTATAATATAATTATAATATAATGGTAACTACAAATATGCTGCTTTGGGCGGCAAAAGCAGACAGCAGATCGTAAAGGAGCACAGCTAAAAGTAATTAAAGTTTGGTTTTGAGTCATAGATCAATTTATTCTCTTTTTAGTGGGAAAAAAACCTTTGAATTTGTCATCTTTTTTTTTTTTTTTTTTGTAACTCTTGGACAAACGACGAGGCTACCCACTTTTTTGTGCACTTTTTAACTCTTGTTCAGAGTACAAAATTGGCAAAGACGTGATTTGAGTGTTTTCCTTCGGCCGTATTTTTTTGGTTCTTTTTCTTTTTCTTTGTGTGTAGGGGGGGATTGATGCTTTAGAGTACTGTGAAAGTCTGTGCACAAGGGAGAAAATTCGACTATAGAACACATGAACAATCATGGATTAAAGAAATCTGGCATTAAAATAAAACCCCTGGATTACAACAATTTCATTTCTATGTGCTGCAGTGAATATATGAAGTTTAACTGCAGAATTGAGGGGGACATTAGAACAGATTTGGGCACATATTCATTCACATAAATTTTCACAAGTTCTTAATCCTCTCATTACAGCAGAGTTCTGGAAGTGACAACACTTGCAAAATCTTGTCTTCCGTTAAGGTACATTACAATCTAGGATCAAAAGAGAACACCACGTAGTACACCAGAAACTGGTTAAGCGGGAGAACATACAGCAGCATGGATATTGTTCATCTGTATGAGGCCCCTAAAAATCTACTACCACCCCTCAAACCCCCTCTCCTCCTTCTTAATCCTCTCCTCATTGCAAAATCAGTTTTCATTCTTTTTGACTCTTGGAAATCTGGGACTTTACCTAGTTCTTCAGTAGCCTCATTTTCATCTTCTGGGGTGGAAGGACTTGGTGCATCATCGTCTTTCACTTCAGCAACTGACTTATTATTATTAGCCATTTTCTTCTTGAGCATGTTGAGTACTCCTTCCATAGCAAGATCAGCATCCTCACTTCTCATCAGTTCCTCTGCAACCTCAGCTGGAGTCACCTCACAACCATCAATCAAGCTCTCGATTTCGTCGAAAACCCCGGGGTTATAATCCCTATCGATGTCCAGATAATTTGAAACCAATTTCCTGAGCCCGTGAACTGTACAATAGGACATGTGAATATGCATATCCATCCGACCCGGGCGGAGCAGAGCAGGGTCCAACTTGTCCTTATGATTGGTAGTGAATATGATGATTCTTTCGTCTCCAACGCTAGACCACAGCCCATCAATGAAATTCAATAGCCCTGAAAGGGTCAATTTGGCATTGCTTCCCTCGTGAGAAGGTGGTGTGAAACCATGATCCAGCTGCCTGTCGTGCATCTCCACACTGCAATCAATATCCTCAATCACAATAATGGACCTGTTGGTGGTAGAAATCATGATCCTCCTCAATTCAGAGTTGGAGAACAGGCTTGTGAGCTCCAAATCATAAATATCAAACTTGAGATGATTAGCCATGGCTGCAATCAAGCTTGATTTCCCGGTTCCGGGTGGACCATATAACAAATACCCTCTCTTCCAAGCCCTGCCTACCCTCCTGTAATAATCCCTTCTCTTCACAAACCTCTCCAAATCGTCAATTATGGCCTTCTTCATCTCTGGCTCCATAGCCAGAGTGTCAAATGTCGCAGGGTGGTCCAAATTGATGGACCCCCAAACTCCATTACCGCCACCTCCATTATAATCATCATCGGAATAAGGACAATCCCTCGTGTAAAGCTTAACCACCTTGTCACTGTCCCTAATTTCCTTGGCCCTCTGCAACACAAAAGGCAGATATTCATCCATGACGGTGTCTCTGTATTTTTTGTTGAAGCTGAGCTCGAAGTACCGCCTCTCCGGGGTGTAAACTTGATTGTCGTTTCTGGGGTCGAGGGAGACGAAACGCCAGGTCAATTGAATCTTATCGCCGCCGCCGGCGGCAGCGAAGGTGTCGGTGATGGGCTCGTCCTTTTCGATGGTGATGTTGATGGACTTCTGCTTGGGGGTTTTGTTGACCTTGAAGCGGTCCGTGGAAGGGGAGATTTTGGTGCTGAGATAAATCTCGGCGGATTCGTAGACTTGGTTCCGGATCATGCCGGTTTGCTCGTCGATGACGATTGTGGTCTGGTTGGATTTTGGGGTGAATAAATAAGAGAGGAAGGAGTATAGATAGTCCTTCACGGATTGGGGGATAATGTCGTTGACCATTGACCTCATCAGCATCATGGTGGCGGCCATGGATGCGTACGCCGTGAAGAGAGACGTCGCCGTCGATTGCAGCTCGGCAAACGACTGCATCATTTTTGCCTGATTTACTTTTGGGAAGTACGGTGGCAAAAGGTTTTAAGGAAAATATTCAAAGTAGATAAGGAAAAAAAAAAAGGGAAGCCAGTCGGTTTGTAATTGGGTTGAGGGAGTTTTGGTTTGATGGAGCTTTAGTTAGTGTCTATTTAGTATTTATAGGCACATATGTGAAATGTAACTTGAGACCAATTCGTCGTCGGATTATTCAAATAACTAACCTATGAAATCCTTCCTCACCAAGTTTTCCTATGTTTAATGGTATTTGTTTGTATTAGATTTTTTATTATTCCCTCTGTCCCAAAATTATTGTCCAGTTTGAGATTTTATTTTTAGTATAATTTGAACTGTAAATGAAAACTCAAATTGGATAATAATTATGAGACGGAGTGAGTATTTTTTTGAGCGGGAACAAAGTGTTTAGTACGTAGTAGTATTAGATTCTGAAACAGCTAATCCATTTGATTATTACGTGTCGAGTATTGAATGGCTGATTTTTGTAATTTATTTTGCTAATGTAGTCTAGGTTGTAGAGGAGCAAAGCTGTGCTTGGTCACCACGTTTTGGACATGTGAACGGGTAGAAGTTTTTTATTTGTATTGGAAAGTCTCTGGCGGGGACGATTTATTAATTACAATAAGCGTAGTCAGCACGCTTTTTGTTTCCTTCAAAAAGAAAAAAACAAAATGGAAGACAGAAAAAGAAGAGAATACTTTTATAGTTTTAATAATAAAACAAAATATGGATATTTTGCTTTCATAGTTACATTCCTCCTACCAAAATAAAAAGGTTGTGTTATTCTATACACAAACGTAACAAAATGACAATGTTGTTATACACTAAACATAATATTTATTTTAATACGGATAAAAAAAATCGATAACATTGGTTTTAATAAAATACTCTAATGTAAAAATATACTATAATAAGTAATTTGTTGGACCTTGTTTGGCTAATTGGTGTTGTGTCTTATTTGTTCGGCTAATTGGTGTTGTGTCTTAATTGTCATCAATCAAATGATAAATCTACAAAATTATCCGATTTTGATGGATTAAAAGGTGGATGCACTTACCCGACATTATGACGGATGAATTCGTCAAAAGGCTATAATGATTAATCCGCAGCTAAATCGCAGGGTATAATGCTTTAGTTGTTATGAGACTCAATATGGTATCAGGTTTGGGTGATGCAAGGAATGATATGGGGAGTGGATTATGGTAAGATCGGAAGCCTATCCAGAAGTACAATTTTGCTGAGTGCTTAGGCATACCATGGATAATCATCGAGCTCTTTTGCTATTATGCTTTTCGTTCATGCGTTATATGACGATAGAAAGAGACAATGTCCCATCTTTTCTTTCACTTTCACCTACAAAAGGTGTCGCAGTAGTAAGTAGTAGTACTGGGGAATCACAATCCAACTCAACAGACACACTTGTCGATTCACAATCTCCATTTTGGTTTGGTGCTTGATTGCAGCTTTCCATTTGAGGTCGACACCCAAGGTTTCCACAATAGTTTAAAGACACAGCCCGTGTAGCCTCTGGGTTTCTGTCTCTTGGGTCGTCTTGGCCATCCCTTCAATAAATATTGTCCAAACTGATCTATGAGCTGTATATTTCATGTTTTTTTCACTAGTGACACAACCATTCTTTTCAATATACTATTAGTTTAAACATGTTATAAAAGAATCTAAAAAAGTATATTCCAGCTTTAGGATACTAGTCCCTCCATTTCAATTTGTGGTTCGTTTTAAGTTTGGAGAGATATTTTAAAATGTGGGTCGTTTTATAAATTCTAGTCAAATTATTAACTACTTTTCCAATTTTATCCCAATAGATGATGTCAATCTATTTTCATTTGGTCTTGTACTCTTGTTTATAGTCTTAATATAATTAATAAGTGGTAAAATAAAAATTTAACACATAAATTTAATTTTTCGATGATCGTCTCCTTAGTTTACTTACAAAGTCTAAAATGACTTATATTTTGAAATAGAGAGAGTAGTAATATTTTGAGACAAATTATCTCTTACACCTTGTCGGAATATTAATCGGCTTTCACTGAATGATCCCGGAGCCGAATAATAATTACTCCTACTCAAAACCGTTGATTAAAATAACACCGAGGGAATTAATATATCCCTAATTTAAAAAGCTCATAAACGCTACTGAGCTCAAAGATTCGCTAATAAAGTCTTAATTCTCAAAATGCTTGATGAGTAGTAGTAGTGAGGTTGAAATGGTTGATGATTCTCTAGCCAGAGGATCCGATTAACTGTTTTCAAGGCATGACTAGAGCTGGATCATCAAGACACCATTGCAACCTTCTAAGGAGTTCATCTTTCCCATTATCCAGCTTGAGCCTTTTCCCTTTTGGGCTTTGATCAGTTCCATGGCCCTCTTCATCCCTGCTGGATCCATCATCACCATTGACACCATCATCTTCCTCCATCTTCTTGCGCTTGAGCTTGAGAAACTGACATAATCCTCCCAGGGAAACATCTGGATCATCGCTTTTCATTAGTTCTTCAGCAACCTCAGCAGGGGTCACATTCATGCTCCCAATCAGCTCTTCTATTTCTCCGAACCTCCAATGTGGGTTGTTGATGTTCAGGTAATTTGTAGTTAGGGTCCTGAACCCATCTCTAGTTAGATAGGACATCTCAATGTGCATATCCATTCGACCCGGGCGAATCAGCGCCGGATCAAGCCTGTCCTTGTTGTTTGTAGTGAATATGATGATACGCTCATCCCCGCAACTTGACCACAGGCCATCGATGAAGTTCAGTAGTCCTGATAGAGTAAACCGCAACACATTTTCAAAATGCATTATTGACAGGGAAAAAAAAAAAGAAACTGGTGACTAATTTTACATGATGGAAATGAATAATTAGGCTTACTCCAACACTGTATGAGGTTGCCCTCTTGCTCATAACGTTTTCGGGGTTCTTGTAATTGGCAAATGGCTTGGTAAGATCGAGAGAGTTCCCCAATCATGCAAGAAATCAAGGGGCAGCATTGGTTAAAATTTAGCAAACCACAGAGTGGTGTATCCTAATGGTCCTAATTCTAATTTTTCTCCATTTTTTATAGTTTCTAGAGTCCATACTCATCATAATCACAGGAGCTGAAAGTAAATTATTGAAAAGGCAAAGCACAATGCAGAAACGAAAAAGGCCATGATCAAATTGAATGCGAAATGATGATGCTAAAGTTAACACTCTGTAGCAGCTACACTGTCACAACTCACAAGGATTTATCATTGAAGACTAACGGGAATGAAACTGAAGCGCCAATAAGATTGCATTGTGCCTTAAAGGTACCAATTGTGAATGGGAAGTAGTTCTGCAATTTCAACGTAATAGAAAGGCAGAGAAAAGAAAATAATACCTGATGCTCTTTATAATAACGTCCTTCCGCAAGCCCGGAATTCCCCTTTCTATCCGGCAACTCAACACTGCAATCAATATCCTCAATCACAAGGATTGAACGATTAGCAGTCTTCAGCAACAGTTTTCTCAAGTCTGAGTCATTTCTTATGTTTGCCAGCTCCAAGTCATAGATGTCAAATTTCAAATAATTAGCCATGGCGGCAATCAAGCTCGACTTCCCTGTACCTGGAGGACCATGCAACAAGTACCCTCTTTTCCAGGCTTTCCCAACTTTCCTGTAAAAATCTTTCCTTCTCACAAACCTATCCATATCTTCGATAATGGCCTTTTTCAACTCTGTGTCCATTGCAAGTGTCTCAAAAGTGGATGGATGTTCAAGATTGATGGATTCCCATATGAATGTTGATGAGTAAGGAAAGCTTGATAAAGTATGCAGCTTTACAACTTTCTTTTCGTCTTTGATGTTCTTAGATATCTGTAAGATGTGAGGAATGTAGGAGTTCAAAACCATGTCTTTGTTCCTCTTGTTGAAACTCATCTCAAAATACCTTTTCTCGTACTCTGGCAACACATTACCAGATTCATCATCTACAAGGTGGTTTGAAGAACCCCTTTTCCTCTCCTCACAGCTGAACCTCCAGACAACTTCAACACCATCATAGGTGTCAACAATTTTTTCACACTGAGCAAACTTGACATTTATGCCTTTCTCTTTAGGACTCTTGCTGATCTTAAGGCACTCAACGCTAGAGTCAATTTTAGAATAAAGATAAGTTTCAGCAGCAGTATAAATCTCATTGCTCGAAATCCCATCACTCTCCTCGATCAGAAGAACTAGATTTGAAGACTTGGCCTTGAAATAGTACCTGATTGCAGAGGAGATATAATTTTGCACTGTACGAGGTATGAGTTGATTTATGGCGGTCTGAACCAGCATAACAGAAGCTGATAGTGAAGCATAGGCAGAAAAAACAGAAGAGGGTGAAGGAATGCGCGAGATAGTGGCCATGTTTACCTAATTTAGGATTCAAGAAAACACAGAAAAAAAAAAAGCCAGGATTTTGAAGTAGCAATTGGGACAGAAGTGTTGGATGAACAAGGAACATAAAAGACGCTTAGAAAAAAGTAGTACCCTTCCTTTTTTCAGGGGAAAAAAATTGAGAGCATAATATTACTCAAACACAACTGTTCATCCCACGAATCCTTCGCCTGATTGGAGGAAGCTGGCTTTTGTGTGCAGATTGCAGTCTATAGAAGCCAAAAATTTTTTAAAAAAGGGTCTGCCATGGTTTTAAAAGAGAGTATAAATTGGGAAAGGGTAATAAAGGGCCAAAATAAGGAGCCAGGTGAAAGTGGCATTTAACGTTTCACAGAATTGGGAAAACTGAAAAAGGAGCCATTTTTCATCACTACTTAGCTGGGTTCTTGCTTCCGTGTGCTGACAGTTGTCCTGTATAATTGCTTTATTGACCAAAGCAGACTTGTTGGTATTCAATGATTCCAATCTTTCTTGATTGGCTGTATCTTTTTCGAGTTGATCTCTTTGATCTTTCTTGGCATCTAATCAGTTTGCAGACACTACATTTGCTTCCATCACCCTATTCGAGTTTGTTATGGCCTTCTCGCAGACTTTAGTAAAAATTGAACTGTTTGGCCATTAAAATTGGAAAAAGTGACAAATTATCATACATTTTGATGTCCGATATATTGAACTCCTACACCACGTTCACCAAGAAATGCAAAGCGAAGTTGGAGTGACTGGCATGAAGGTGAGTCATTACTTACAAATGAAAAAAGGGATGGGGCACTTTCTAATCAACTTTTTGTTTCTTGGTTTGAGCCACGTTTTCCATGTACCTATGATGATGACATGGATTTGCGTTCTTGTAATAAATCATAATCACCATAGCTTTCTGAAGTCATCATCATCCCATCCCATTCATCCCAATACTATGAATCTTTTTGGATGGTGTATTTGAAGGATGAAACGTAACTACTTTTGTGCAGAAATTTGGTTGGGCCGAAAGTTTAGACATAAGAGTGGAGAATGGCAACTTTGTGGGCTTTAAGGTTGATGCATTAGATCCTACGGAGAACGACCTGTGCCGCATAAAAACATAGTATGAGTCGTCCCATGTTGATGTACCTAAATAATTAACAAAGTTTTTTATTTGATTAGTTTTATATCTCTATTTTCTTCTACAAGCCGTGGTGATAATGGGGGTGGCGGCGGAATGCTAATTTCATTTGAGGAATTTTCCAGAACTTTTTCTTAGCCAAAAAAAAAAGAAAGAAAGAAAAGTGTAGCACACCTCAACTTTGTGCAATACATTTTTAGTATAGTACATAGATAATGTCCGAAATCATAACTTTTAGGCAATCATCTTATTGGTGCTTTAGCATTTAGAGGGCTTCAAATACAACAGTCACTTTTTTTTTATGGGCCTAAAAAAACAAACTCATTCAACATTTTCATTTTTAAGTTTAAAAAATTTGTACTCTAACTATTCGTTACTGGTCAAATATAATAGTTTATTCATCATCCAGAAAAAGCTACCGAGTTAAATAAAATTCTAAAAGCATGCATGATGAATACAGATACCAAATACATTTCATCCAATCTGTGGCAGATGGATTTGAAGGCCTGATTCAAAGCTATGTCATCAGACACCATTACAAGGGGTTAAATGTTCATCATGACCATTATCAAGCTTAATCCTTTTCCCTTTTGGGGTTTGATCATCAATTCCATTGCACTCTTCCTCTTTGGATCCAACATCAGCACCATTATTAACCTCATCCTCTTCCATCTTCTTGCGCTTTAGATTGAGAAACTTTGATAAATCCCTAAGCGAAACATCAGGATCCTCACTTCTCATCAGTTCTTCAGCAACTTCAGCAGGAGTCACATTCATGCTCCCAATCAAGCCTTCTATTTCTCTAAACCTCCAATGTGGAGATTCCATATTCAGGTAATTGGTAGCCAGAGTCCTGAACCCATCTGTTGTTAGATATAACATGGGTATATGCATGTCCATTCTCCCTGGACGAAGCAAAGCTGGATCAAGCTTGTCCTTGTTGTTTGTAGTGAATATAATGATTCGTTCATCTCCACAACTCGACCAGAGGCCATCAATGAAGTTCAATAGTCCTGACAGAGTAAACTGCAAGACATATGTTCAAAAAACAGGGGAAAAAAACTCGTTTTTTGTTCTTCTTCTGGTGGAGAAAAGGGAGAATAATACCTGATGACGTTCTTCTTTTTGTTGTCCAGAATTCTCCTTGTCCTCTCGATTTGGCAAATCCACGGTGCAATCAATATCTTCAATCACCAGGATTGAACGATTTGCGGTTCGGAGCAAGAGTCTTCTGAGATCAGAGTCTCTCTTTATGCCAGCGAGCTCCAGATCGTAGATGTCGAATTTCAAATGATTAGCCATGGCGGCAATCAAACTTGACTTCCCTGTTCCAGGAGGGCCGTACAACAAGTACCCTCTTTTCCAGGCTTTCCCAACTTTCCTGTAGAAATCTTTCCTCCTCACAAACCTATCCAAATCATCGATGATGGCCTTTTTAAGCTCTGTATCCATGGCAATGGTCTGAAAAGTGGATGGATGTTCAAGATTGATGGATTCCCAGGAAACAGAGGATGAATAAGGGTAGGATGCTAAAGTATGCAGCTTCAGAACTTTCTTTCCTGATTTGATCTCCTTAGACTTCTTCAGAACGTAAGGAATGTAAGAATCCAAGATCATTTCTTTGTACTTCTTGTTGAAACTGATCTCGAAGTACCTCTTTTCATGCGGCGAATAAACATTGCCGGAATCATCATCATCAGAAAGCTTGGAACCCCTTTTCTTCTCCTCACAACCGAACCTCCAAACAACTTCAACACCTTCATAGAAATCGACCATCTTTCCGCACTGAGCGAATTTGATGGACAGTCTAGCCTGTTTAGGCCTCTTGCTGATTTTGAGGCGCTCAATGCTTGAGTCAATCTTGGAGTAAAGATAGGTTTCAGCAGCAGCATAAAGCTCGTTGCCTGACATCCCATCACTCTCCTCAATAACAACAGTGATATCAGCAGACTTGGACTTGAAATAGTACTTCACGGTGGTGGAAATATAGTTTTGAACTGGAGCAGGAACGATTTGATTAACTGCTGTCTTAACCAGCATAATTGAAGCTGATAGTGAAGCATAGGCAGAGAAAATTGAGGATGCTGAAGGAATGCTGCCACTGAAATTGGCCATCTTCAACGAATTCCAGATTGAAAAGAAAGAAAGAAAGAGCAAGTGAAGTGTTTCAGTAAGGATGAGCAAAGATGAGCCAGGAACATCACATATATTTATAGCCTTCTTTGGAGGGCCCAGTTTTTTTTGGGGTTTTTGGGGGGTAAAAAAAGAAGAATAAACATCATTTAAGAAAAAAAACCCAACTCCTAAAATTGGTAAGGGGAAGAAAAGTGTGAATTGGGGAGGTGATATAGCAAATGGACAAAAAGGAAAAAAAAAGGTAAAAGACCATTATTGATGTTGTTGTTGTATTGAACTATTGGATAATTGAGTTGAATTAAGAAGACAAACAAAAAAAAAAAAAGAAAGAAAAAAGAAGACAAAAGTTACGAAAAAGAGGAAGGGAAAGGACGGTGTAATTTCTCCACAGTACATGATTTTACCTGTCATTTCCTCCTCCATTTTGCTCCAAACATTGCCCTTACACTTGTTTTATTGACCAAAACAAACGTGTCATCCGTTGATTCGACGTATGCAAATCTTCCATACGTCCTCAATTTGGTCACTGGATTTGGTTGCATGATTACTTCCCCCATGGTCCTCAGATGTCTTTCTCTGCGATTAGAATTTAGAATAACCTCCTGACTCAAATCAAATGGTTTCTTGAGTAACGTTCATTATATTCAACATTTTGATGACTAGTTACGAGTTCGATTTTCACCAGCTAAAAAAGAGTTCGTTAAAGCATCGCGTGTCTGCTTCAGCTGTAAATACTTATTTTAGAAAAAATAAAATCGATAGTGGTAAAAAAAAAAAAAAAACCTTGAAATTTCAGTATGCATTTTGATGTCAATACAATGCTACCACACAACAATCGGTTAAAGAAAGAAACAAGAAATGCAAGTAAACTTACACAAGTCAAGGTGAGTGACACCCAACTTTTCTTTCTTTTCTTTTTTTTCCTGATGTAAAGGGAGTTGGATCCTACTCACCATCCCTTCTTTTCATTTGTTCACAACTTGTTACGAGTACTTTTTTTTTTCCCTTGAGGACTTGCTTTTTTGTGGAGTTGCGTATGTTTTCCAAACTCCACACACATCTGACGTTCTTTCAAGCACTCAGCATTCATCCCAACTTGACGAATCTTTCTTTCCTATGATCTTTTTTAGATTTTCTGGGACGAACAATGGATATTAGAAGATGATGAACCGACATAATCAATAGTGCTCTCTCTCTCGGACCCTATACCATTAGGTTAGTAAAAGGCAGTAGTACTTAGCAAGACCAAAGACTTCGATGAAGGAAAGATTAAGTCGTCCACCACTAATAAACAAGTCATTAATTTGTTCCCATATACATGATACTCAGAATAATAAACCACCTTGAGCTATTTTGTTTGTATTATGTGCGTTAAACAGCCCGTTTGAAGCCTAATTTGGTCTTGATATATGTGAAGAGGTGACCAACTCACCGGAAATCGACCTTATGATAGTACTTATTATTAATGGACCATTGGGGAGAATCAAAAGGTTACTAAGTATAGCTGACGTATTGAGCTTGACATAGTTAAAGAAGACAAGAGTTGAAGAAGTTCACACCACTATAAGTTAAGCAGCTTCATTATCAAATCCTTCAAACACGCAAGGCTGAAAAGTGAAAACAGTAGCGGGCCAATGTGTGACACGTCGGGTCAGCCAATTTTCCAATTAGTCCAAAACCGCTTTAAGGAGTGACCCAATCTTATTCGACTTTCGGTACCTCCTCAAATTATTTTCTATTTTTTAGTTTGAAATTTTATTTATTTTTATTAGTATAAATTAACTAAGAATTAAAATTTAAAATGGACAATAATTTTATCTTAACAAGCAAATTTTAATCATGAGTTACGTAAAACAAATTTTATCGTCAACTATTAGGCTTGATAACCGCTCAAGGTTCTGGTAGAGTACAATAATTTGAGGGTTAGACCGTATATAATTGGGGTTTCTTATCCTAGAATGCACTCAATTTTTATGACCTTAATTTTCTAGTTTTTTCCTCCCTTCACGATATGACGGCTGGGGGCAATCTTTTTAAATTTGACATGGTAAGATATCGTCGCAGGCATCGGTGATGCTGCCCGGATACCTGGCCTTGCATCCTTCCCTACATTCCGTCGCATTTTGCGGTGTTATCACATTCTCCGCTTCTTCCGCCTCCCCTTTCACCTTCCCTGTTTATTTCTCTGGTAATAATTCATCCTTTAGAGGTATAGAAGATATACGGTGAGATCTTATCTGATGCGTATCATATTCAGATTGATGTCAGATTAGAATAGAATTGCAAGCTAAAGATTCAATCAATCACGACATGGATAGGAAATTAATGAAGGGCCCTTGAAAGTCTGGCTACAATTTGAACTTGAACTAAAAAGGGAATAAAACATGTAATGAATTAAGACTATTTGTTTATTGATCTTTTCTCAAATGAAAATGATGGAGGAGGCGCAAACGAGGATCAGCAGGCAGCTCTTCACATAAAAATTCGCCATATATAGAGTTGAGTGATGTACTAATGACTAAATTGGTGACTTGGTGTTTGCTGACAAAATAAAAAATTTCATGCTCTTTTAAATAAGCTCTACTTGGTCAATGATTTTCTTTAAAAGTTGGATCCGTGGCAAGATGTATAAAGTTGGTCAACGATTTATTCATCATATGTGCTTTCCCCTCCCCCAAATATAGGCAAATTCATCTAGTCGGACCGGATGGAACAATTTGTTAGTGAGACATTAACGCTCTCAAGTAGCTAAAAAACCATTATAAACCCAAAAAGTCTCTGTCATGCCTTATCTATATCAATGTAAACTTCAGCTTTGTTGCTGTTCCGCAACTTCTTTTGCTTCTTCTTTTTCGTCATCATCTTGCTTCAAATTTGCCACTTCAGTATCCTTCATCTCCACTTCCACTTGCTTAGCTTTGGTTTCCTCATTCTCTTTCCTCTTCACATGGAGAAAATCAAGCAGCCCCTGTAATGTGACATCAACCGCATCAGTCTTCAACAGCTGCTCTGCAACTTCAGCAGGGGTCACTTGGGTTGTTGCAATCAGCGCCTCGATTTCTTTGAACAGGATATGGTCTTTGATGTTAAGGTAGTTTGCAGCCAGGATTTTGAACCCACATGGAGTGCAGTATGACATGTGGATGTGAACATCCATCCTTCCAGGCCTCAGCAGAGCAGGGTCCAATTTTTCTTTGTGATTTGTTGTGAAGATTATGATTCTCTCGTCTCCACAGCTTGACCATAGACCATCAATAAAGTTGAGGAAACCAGACAATGTCACCTATATAAAATCGAGTCAAACACATTAATATAACGTGTTAATCCATGTTGAATGACGACATTTATATGACCCAATAAAAAAGCCAGTTTGAACCAAGGTCACTTTCTAGTTTCTACCAACTCCATCTTAGCTAAGACGCTATGACTGGAAAATATTGCCCCAAATTAGTCATAGACAACATAAAGTAATTAGTTCTAAAAGAAACACATTTGTCTTCTCTTGTAAAATGAGTTGGTATATCATGAGAAGAACAACAGGAAACGACAGTTGACTGCATAGTCTACACCGTTCCTTGTATCTTTTCCCTTTCTCTCTTAAGGAGGGGTGGAAAGAGGGAGTTCATTACAACACAATCAGAACTTTGATGACCATTTTCGTATAAATTTGATAGATTATTAGTCCTAAAGTTTGTCTCATAATCATTGTAGTTCATCTACCAGATTTGAAGGAAATATGTAACATCCCGAACTTGCATTTTCGTTCCAAACCAAAAACAATATACATTATGTGCAATTGAGAATTTGATATCACCAGACAAAAGACAATAAGGCCTAAAAAGGAATCAGGATAATGGACTTAAAAGAAATCAAGGGAAAAAAACATACCTTGTTTTCTTCCTGATGATTTCCAGATTCTGGATCAACAGGAACAGCTTTGTTGGATACTCTGTCTTGGAACTCAATGGTGCAATCAATATCTTCTACAACCAACACAGACTTGTTGGCTGTGGACAACAGCAGTTTCCTCAAATCAGAGTTCCTCCTCACCTCAGTTAACTCCAGATCATAGATGTCAAAATTCAAGTAATTGGCAATGGCAGCAATCAAGCTTGATTTCCCTGTTCCTGGAGGACCATACAACAAATACCCTCTCTTCCAAGCCTTCCCAATCTTCCTGTAGTAATCCTTCCTCTGCACAAATCTATCAAGATCATCCATAATCATAGCCTTCATCTCTGAGTCCATAGCCAGTGTATCAAAATTAGCAGGGTGATCAAGACTCGCAGAAATCCAGGCACTGTTCAAATCATACATCTGTTCATAATCCACTGTAAGGATCTTGATGGTCTTTTTCTCATGCTTCCTTAACTTGGCCTCATCCACAATAAAGGGCAAATACACATTCATCACAAAATCCTGATGTTTCTTGTGAAACGTCAGTTCAAAAGACCTAACCTCAGACCTCAAAGTGGAGTTCATATCCCTGGGATTGTAAAAATTCCTGGTTTCAACCTTCCTAGCAATCCAAACCCAGTTCAGCTTCACCCCATTGTAAACGTCTGTAATCTCTTCACCCTTTTCCATGGACAACTTGAAATTCTTCTCTTTTTCTTGCCGGCTGATTTTGAGCCTCCGAGTGGTGGGCGTAATCTTGGGCCCCAAATACACTTCGGCCGCCTCATAAATCTCGTTTTTCTCCAGCCCATCGAACTCGTCGATCACCATGGTCAACTGATTAGAGAACCTTTCAAGAAATCTCCAAATGCCGGAGTAAAAGTAGTCTTGAAGCTCTTGTGGGACGCATTCTCGGGCAACCGATCGGACCACCATGGCGGTGGCGGCGACGGAGCCAAGGGTGGTTAACACCGTCTTGGCTGTGGCCAATTTTGAGTCGGCTGATTCTGACATTTTCTTTCTGGGGCTTTGGAAATGTACAATGGCCAAGAAGGTTTTCTTTTTAGTTCTTTTGGGGAAGGGCGTATATGTGAGTGGAAATTTTGAGCCAAAATAGGGGTGAAGGAAGACGATGACTTGTATGACAGACAGTTGAGATGAAAAGATTGGAGAAGAAGTCTGCAACAGTGAAAAAGTGTGGACTTGGGCTCCAAGGACTTGTTATTTATGAAAATTAAAATAATTCCATTGAAAGTTTCCTTGCAATTTCATGGACCGGCCAATTTAGACTAAAGCATTATGTATATTATTTTGAGAAATTGATATAATTTATAATTACCAGAGGAAACTACCAAAACTTGAGTTTTGTACTTAAATTTGGTTTCATATCAAACTAACAAAGTCATTTTTGTACTTAGTTTTTTTTTTAAAAAAAAGAGAACTATTACTTCTCGGAAATAGATATACTATGGTCATCTGTCCCACCTATCCAGTGGCGGAACTAGCTACTCAAATTTGGAGGGGCTGACTATATATACATAATCAAGATCGAAGATCGAATATGTATGACGTAAGGTTAACCGTAACTACTCTTAAGGGATTTTTTTGCCGGCCGGAGCCCGAGTCCCTTAAGAGTTCCGCCCCTGCACCCATCGAGGTGCCTACAATTTAGCGAGGGGGATTAGTTACTATTGACGACAGTGAACACCTTGCAAATATGTCAAAAAAAAAAAATGAGAACTATTACTTCTCGGAAAAAGATATGTCCGTTGGAATCTAAATTACTACAATTAATAATTTCGGATATGAAAGGTGTAATTACCAAAAATTTGTTACCCTCTAAAGACCGTCGTTGGCTCAGTGATATGAATGAAGCCTTTTGCAGCTTTGACAATTCAATGTAAACCGAAAATGTGTTTTATCAAAAAAAAAAAAAAAAAAAGAAAACGTGTAATTTTGGCATTTGCATATTTGCTAATAAAGTCTCCACAATACCCTTCTTGAGCACCACGCCTCACCCACCGACCAGAGGAAGGTTTGCAGATGACTCAATAATCTGTATTTGTTTATCCAAATCACGTTTTTAAAGAATCTTGGTTAGTTTAAGTGCAAATGTGGGCTGGTTTTCTTTGTCATTTTTTATCTATCTTTTTCTTTTTCAAAAAAATAAAATAAAAAATATAATCAAAATAAAATACAGTCTCTGTCCCAAAAATAAAAAAATAAATTCATATTTAAATCTTTATTAGGATAAACTAGGAATTTCATGGCCCCCGCGTGGTTTGCTTATTTTAATTTTTAAATGAGATTATAAATTAAATGGGACCATTTTATTAGATTTAAAGATTATTTTTAAGCGTTTTTTCTCTTTTGCATTTTGTAATAAGCGAAAACAATTTTTCCAACGAACCAATGTAAGTATCATTCATGGCCACATTTTTATGGCCAATTTGGAAAAAGAAGGTTTGGTAATCATTTATAACTTTCATGGCCATATTTTTCGTCCACATTTGTCGCCATTCAGCCGAATATTTCAGGCAACACCTTTATAGTATGCACTCTTCTATTTTCATTTCTATATATAAAAAAAAAGGATAAATTATAGATGTGTTGTATTAAGTACTGTTAACACGTGTGTAGAGTAGAGGAGTAGAGAAGTCACAGTATACTCTGGACTTTACAAGGATTGTGAGATGACAAACTTGCTCCTAAAACAACTCAACTCCTCTTTCAGCTAAGAATGAGAAATAGACGACAAATGACAATGAGAACCTCTGAGGAGGAATACTTGTGAAGAATTTTAGTGGCACGAACAGGAATTATGCTGCGGGAGTGGAATTAGTGGTGCAAAACTGGTATGCTAAGTTCATCGATGCAGCAAGTGATAACCAAATTGGGTATATATATATATATATATATATATATATATATATATATATATATATATATATTACATTGTCTGATGATATAAGATACATTCATGCAACCATTAGTTCTCTTGGTTATTATATCAAACACATGAGAATCACATACTAAATGCACACTACAACCATGCTTTTTCTTCCAGATTTACGCGCTACTACTCAATACTGAAGGAGAGTTACAAACTCCATTTTAATTACAACAAATTCAAGACATAATTAAACAGTGAAACTAAAAACATTGGATATGATATACTCCTTCTGTCCCAAAATTATTGTTCGGTTTGAAATTTCACTTTTAGTACAATTTGAACTAAAAATAAAAATTCGAACTGGATGATAATTATGGGACGGAGGGAGTATAACCAGATAGATTTGCATCAAAAGAAGTCTACTTTATGCTTCAAAATCCTCCAACTCGCACAATGACACATCCAAAAATTGATAGCAAAAACAAATCTAAAGTCAAGGACATTCACAACTGAAGAGTGACCAATGAAATCAAATGATGTACTTCAAAAGCCTCCAATTCGATCAAGAAAAGACTTCAATACATGTAGTTGTCAAAGACTAACACACGATGAGCGTTTAAGAAAATTGCATGAATCAAAAAAATTCTCCCATCTAAGAGCAATCCGGCTGCGGTTCCCAAAAAATAACAATCATAGCAAATTGGAGCTTTTACTCCCAATTGATTTAATTTTTTAGTTTTGAAAATTCAAACCAGGCGGGTTATTGAGGAGAATAGAGGTCAACATTAAACGAAAAACGGCAATAAAGGGTTTAGATTGAGATTAAACTTCCTTATTCGGGGAAGTAAATTTGGAGAAAAATATGAGAGATACATATGTTTTGGCTATCTCCACACGGTTGAATGCTTTCTTTCTCAGATGCGATGATGGATGAGAAGGTAATGCAGAGGCGGAGGTGGAAGGACTGGGGAAAAAGGGTGAGGAGGGCAGGAGGACTTTGAGAAGGAAGAGGGGCAGAGGTGACGACAAACCAACCAACGAAGTTACTGTAGAACTTGGGCTTCCCGCTTTATAATAGGAAGAATGGATTTGGTATCAAATAGTGTATGAAAGATGGACTTGTGGTCCTTGTGGAGAATGGGTTGTTATTGAAGTGATTAAACCATTATTGTTTCAAGTATTTCTAGCTTTGGACTCGAGCCTGCTCACCAAAACTTGTCTTGGATTAATGGAATTGCATCACCATTGAGACTTGTGCTAATCCCGTTTGTGCCAAATATAGGTGACAATGACACAGTCAGTGTTATGTAGTACTAATTTGTTAATGTCATGCGTAGCTGGGTTAGTTTTGTTGCTCAAAATTAATCATTCTAACAAAGGTGGAATCATATTGTAAAATTCTGCCACTCACTTTTGAGTTTGAGGTTGGTCTCCACCGGAACTTTATAAAACTCTATGAAAAGGCTGGAAGACGTCCATAAATTAATATATGCATGCCGGGGATAAGGGCTTGGGGAAAGATATTCATTTCCCAACAAAAGCCAACCATAATCATACTCCATTTCTTGATGGTTGATCCACCCATGATGAATTATGATATCTTCTTCGTTACCTTAAGCAGGATGAATCTTTTGTGTCGCCTAGGTAGAATCTGGCTGGGACTAAAGATCCCGTCTTCAAACATCTCTTTTTAACTGATCAGTGATCGCCGCATTACTTCTTTCATTAATTCCTATCAAATTAACGTGCTAGTTCAATCTCAGTGCCTTCTGCGTGGTTCCGATCACCATATTTACCATTTTTCCTCCATAACACAAATTCAGGTGGTCGAAGCAGCCCTGGAATGGATTTTTTGGTGTCAGCGAGGGAATCGTTTTAGCTCTTCCTTGTGCTTACTCGGGGCTCCAAATCTCAAAGGAAACTTCAGTTTCCTTGTTCGGGAACTTGGTCTTTTCTTGTTTTTCATCTATCATCTCAACTTCCACTTTCTTAGCTTTAGCTTCCTCATTTTCTTCCTCTTCACATGAAGAAAATCAATCAGCCCTTGTAGTACAACATCAACTTGGTCATCCCTCAACAACTGCTCTGCAACTTCAGCCGGTGTAACTTCCGTTGTCGCGATCAAATTCTCAGTTTCTTTAAATAGGAAATGGTCTTTGATGTCAAGGTAATTTGCTGCCAAGATTTTGAACCCACACGGAGTACAATATGACATGTGGATGTGAACATCCATCTTTCCTGGCCTCAACAGAGCAGGGTCCAATTTTTCTTTATGATTTGTTTGTGAAGATTATGATTCTCTCATCTCCGCAGCTTGACCATAGACCATCAATGAAATTGAGGAAACCAGACAATGTCACCTATATATATAAAAATTGGAACAAAACACAAAACTATAACGTGTTAGTTCATGATCAATTGAGACAAAGGACCTGAAAAGGGATTGAGAAAACGGATCAAAATAAAATCAAGAAGTCGCATACCTTGTTTCCATCCTGATGATGCATATCGTATGGATAATTAACAGGAGGAGGGTTGAAGGATAATCTGTTTTGGAATTCGATGGTGCAATCGATATCCTCGACAACTAAGATAGACTTGTTGGCCGTGCTCAGCAACATTCTCCTCAAATCAGAGTTCTTCCTCACCTCAGTTAACTACAGATCATAAATGTCAAAATTCAAGTAATTGGCAATGGCAGCAATCAAGCTTGATTTCCCTGTCCCTGGAGGACCATACAACAAGTACCCTCTCTTCCAAGCCTTCCCAATCTTCCTATAATACTCCTTTCTCTGCACAAATCTTCTCAGATCACTCAAAATCATATATTTCACCTCTGACTCCATTGCCAATGTATCGATGGTAGCAGGATGATCAAGAGTTGCGACATTCCACGTCCCATTCGGATCATAAATGTATTCACTTTCCAATTTATGAATCTTGATAGTCTTTTTCTCATGCTTCCTCAACTAGGCCTCATTCATAATGAATGGCAAGTAGACATTCATCACAAAGTCCTGATTTTTCTTGTGAAATGTGAGTTCAAAAGACCTGACCTCTGACCTAATCAAACTGGAGTTCATATCCCCTGCAGGAGCTGGATTGTAAAAGTTTCTTGTTTCAACCTTCTTAGCCTTCCAAACCCACTTCAATTTGAACCCATTGTGAATGTCTGTGATCTCTTCAGCCTTTTCCATGGCCAGGTTGAAATTCTTGCCCTTTTCTGGCTTGCTGATTTTGAGCCCGGAGTAAAAGTAGTCTTGAAGCTCTTGCGGCGACGGGTCACCATGGCTGTTGCTGCAACAGAGCCCAGTATGGTTAAGATGGTCTTTGCTGTGGCCAATTTGGAGGATTCGGCTGATTCCGACATTTATTTGGGTAACAAGGTTGACTTTTTTGATGTTTGGGAAAGAGAGGGAAAATGGGATTGGAATATTGGAGGATGGTTTTTGGTGAAAATGATTTCAAAGACGATGACTTACTTTATACAGTGATGAAAAAGACAGCAGAGGAGTTTGACTTTTGAAAAAGAAAGACTGCAGAGGAAGTCTGCAACAACAACATTGATGATTGAACTTGGGCACCAAGGAGACTCGAATGTGGTCAAGTGGACAAAAATAATTTGAGAAAAGAGATTCCTTGTTACTCGCTCTCTCCAAAAATTATTGTCCAGTTTAAGATTTTACTTTTAGTATAACTTGAACTAAAAATGAAAATTCAAACATGACAATAATTATGGAACGCAGGGAGTATAATTTTCCTTGCTGTTCAAGGAACCACTAGACGCAGGAACCAAAGGTTATTGGGATATAAAAACTACTATTATTTGGAGGATTCATACAAATCATATTAAGAGCTTATTGGGATATATTTATCAAACTTTACTCAATAGCAAACACACAAGGAATCAAACTGAAATTTGAGGGGGACAAAAGCAGAACCGTGATCAACTCTCCATTATATGCCTCCAATATTACTCCTTACATACAAAATATCGACTCAAAATAGTGTTATGTATTTCATACATTTCATACTAGTGTATTAGTAGAGTATATAATAATTTCTTTCTTAAAAAAAAAAAAACTAAACCAAGAATACAAGGACGGACCTATCTTATGGTTTATAGGGTCCGCCGTCCATGTGACCGGCCGGAGGAACCCATAATAGGTATTTACTGTTATGCTCCGATCAGAGCCGGCTTTAGGGCCAAGCTAGTGAAGATAGGGCTTTAGACTCCTAATTTTGAGGGCCTCAAATTTTTTCGGTATTATTAATAATAGACTATTTTTTAAAAAAAAAAATTAAAAATTAAATAGATTAATAGTCTTAGTTGGAATTTTTAATAAAGGTTTAAATACTTAGTGAGGCTTTAAAAATAAAAGTAAAAATTTTAAGGAAGAAATTCGATATTAAAAAAAAAAGGGGATGTTTATAAAATTTGGTTTTTTCTTTTAAAAGACCCCAAATTTTAGATTTGCATTAGGCCTCAATATGTCTTCAGCTGTTTCTGGCTCTGATGGTTCCCTCAAATGCAGTTTTAGGAGATTCGGGCTTATATTCCACCTATAGCCCACTGCCCTAGACTAATATCTTTCAAAAAGTTGATGGGTTGGACTTGCCTATTACCGTAAGAAATAAGAATGGTTTGAGTTTTTTTTTTTCCCCCTTAAACTACAATTTACGATTCACCATTAATTTTTAAATTTATTTTAATATATGTTAATATTTTTCATTTGTTACGCTCAAGAAAAACCATTCGTATTAGTCCCTCAGAGTTGGCTAGGTCCGTGTCCGTCAGTGCATGCATATCGTATCTATCATAGTGTGCGGGGCTAGTTGTATAAATGTGGTTGTCATGTAAAAAATACTAATGCCCGATCACCTTGTGGCTCTGATCTTATCATTGCTAGCATTAGGACTGGCACTTTTCTTCCTAACTTCCCCAAGGAAAATTAGCAGAATTCCAGCAAAACTGGGCATTCCTTTCTTCCGCGAAACATTTTCCTTCCTCTCAGCCACAAACAGCCACAAAGGTTGCTATGATTTCGTTAGACAACGAAGATCCCGGTAAGTTCCTGTCATTGTTTTGACATTTTTTATATACGATGCAGCTACTGAGAAGCTAATGGAACTATATATGTGTGCTGATTTAATATAAGGGTTTAAATGAAAATGATTTCAGGTATTGGAAATGGTTCAAAACAAGGATCTTTGGCAAGATCCATGTGTTTGTGCCAAGTGTTGAAGGTTCAGTAACCATTTTCACCAATGATTTTTTGTTGTTCAACAAAGGGTACGTTAAATCAATGGCTGATGATGTAGGAAAGAATAGCTTGCTCACTGTTCCACGTGAGAGTCACAGAAGAATCAGGCGCCTTCTGTCGGAGCCATTCTCTATGAATTCTATGGACAAGTTCGTTCAGAAGATCGATCAAATGGTGTGTCAAAGACTCGAGAAATTAGAGGCGGTCCTATAGCGGAAAGGGTATAAACACAACACACTATGGAAGCAAACCCCAAGAAAATCCTCTTTCCTATTACCAATAAAATAGGACAACTAAACAAGTAAATAATCAAGAAACTGATAAAGTAAAGTAGATACACGAATATACGTGGAAATCCAAATCGAGAAAAATTACGGGACTATAACCACAGTCAAATCTCCACTATCACAATAACGGAAAACAGTCTTCACCAACCGGTGGATACACATGACTTCACCTAAAGGTGGATTACAATAATACTCTTCCACACACACCTAAACCACCTCAAAGTAAGATTGGAAGGATCTTACCAAAAGAGAGTTAAATCGAAAACTAAACCCTAACTTTTTTTCTTTTTCTCTCGCATAAAACCCTTGTGCGACTGCTCTAATTTTCCTTCTCTCTTGGCTAAAAAACATGTACAAATTGTGCACAAAGCCTTACTTTTATAGGCATCAAAAACAAAACCTAAATCCATGTGGCCTTTTATTTTCCTCGGTCAAACCAAAAAACCAAAGCCAATTAGTTTTTGGTTTTAAAACCTTGCTGGCCACCAATTGGGGGAACCGGCCCAACAGATGGCCATAGTTTTGTGGTCTTAAACTTCAACACGAAAGTACAATTTATATGCTTAAACCATAGGGATAAATCAAAGCCTTATATGAAACTAGAAATCAATACAAATATGAAGTTCTGAATACTGTGTATCTGATGCAATAAATGCAGTTGACATTTGATGCGACGTGTGACATTTTGATGAGCATAACAGATGCTTCCTTACTAGAACAAATTGGGAGAGACTGTACTCGGCTGTTTCAGATGCAATGTTAACCTTCCCTTTCATGATTCCCGGAACTCGATACTACAAAGGTATCAAGGTAAGCCTAACTTAATTAGGAACAGTTAGCAGATAATATTTCATTTCTGTGGTGACTAAATATGAAGATGCATCACAATTCACAGGCACGCGAAAGACTCATGGTGACAATCAGAGAGATGATTAAAGATCGAAGAACTGAAACCGGGAACAGCAATCTGGATGACTTCTTGCGATCAATGCTGCAACGTGATTCATACCCTGATGATGAAAAACTCAGCGATGAAGAAATTGTGGACAATCTCTTGACACTCATAATTGCCGGGCAAGCTACTACATCGGCTGTAATGATGTGGAGTGTCAAGTTCTTGGATGATCATCAAGAAGTTCAGGATAGGCTCAGGGTAAGAGACCAAGCTTGTTTCTTAAAAAGCCTTTTTCCTGTTAAAAAATAAAATAAAATTAGAATGCCCTGCCTTCTTCAGCATTACGGAAAAGAAAGAAAGAACACCTATGACACAATCATGACTATACTTTGTTTCATTTACAGGAAGAACAATTGTCCATCCTCAGAAGGAAGCCCAACGGTGCTCTACTTACACTTGAAGATCTGAACAGCATGCCGTACGCCTTAAAGGTTCGAAAGACTAAAATGTAAATTAGGTTACACTGACAGGCTTTATGCTTAAAATTTCCATGTTCCTAGGTTGTCAAAGAGACGCTGAGAATGTCAAATATTTTGCTATGGTGTCCCCGAGTGGTACTGGCTGATTGCGAAATCGAAGGCAAGATAAACACCATCAACAGGCCTAGTAAGTTAAAATTTCCCCGGATCAGAAAGACAATGGAAATACCTGATTGAAAATTTTGCCAAGCAGGTTTTGAGATGAAGAAGGGGTGGCATGTCAATGCTGATGCCACCTGCATACATTGCGACCCAGAACTATTCGAGAATCCCATGCTTTTTGACCCTTCAAGATTTGATGTAATAATCCTACTTTTCTCCCACTTCATTAATTTATGGAAAAAGTTCTGTTGACAAAGTTAAAAGCTTCGAGTACTTTTTGTTATCATCACCAGGTAGCGCCAAAGCCATTCAGTTATTTACCATTCGGATCAGGACCAAGGACATGCTTGGGAATAAACATGGCTAGAGTGACACTGTTGGTGTTTCTTCACCGACTCACGGGCGGATACAGGTCAACCCCTAACTTTCCTTCACCATTTTCATAGAATTTGGGCTTCCATTTACTCTTCTCTGTTTTCCATATTTTGCAGGTGGACAGTGGACGATCCAGATCCTCGCCTGGAAAGAAATACTCATATTCCTAGATTGAGAAGTGGGTGTCCAATAACCTTAACAGCCCTCCCCAATGCGTGTTAAGAATTTGCAATTTGCATACATACTTTAATTCCATTACTTTAAACTCCTTTTTCACCAAATGCATCTTGAAGTGCACAAGACAGAGGACCTTAAATGTTCAGATTTATTTTGATTCAGTAGCTGTGTGCAAAGAAATCAATAACATGTAACAAAATGTTAGTGTTAATCATTCATGACACCATAAAAAATGTCAGGTATCAAATTTACTTAATCGAGATTGCTTTGTACTGCTGGACTGTGGATGTTATAGCCTGCTCTACTGGAAGCCTCTCCAAACTTGATGCGCCATAAAATCCATGCACTCCATGTGTATTCTTCAGTACATACTCGGCCTCTTTAGGGCCAGATATAGGACCTGAAAATTGCACCGTTAGCAACATCTCATATCGAACATTTTCTGTGAGGTTCAACTCAAAGATTTTCAGTGGTGAAGCCTTTTTATATTAGCGATATGAAATGCTTTTCTACTAAATGTTTTAAGGAAATGTTACCTCCATGGCATAGCACAATTGCGTCAGCATTAATACTGTGGACAGCATCTGCAATAGCTTGGACGCGATCAACGCTTTCATCCATTGACAGAGCAGTTTTTGCACCAATTGATCCAGATGTTGTGAGCCCCATATGGGCAACCACAATGTCAGCACCTACTTTTGCCATTGCCAGTGCTTCATCCACATTGAAAGCATAGGGAGTCGTCAAGAGTCCTATGTCATGAGCTTTTGCCACCATTTCCACTTCCAAGCTGCAAATGTTAGGTGGTGAGTACTATTCTCAGCCACATGTAGCATACAAGATAACCACGAGGGTAGTAGATTGCTACAAACCTGTAACCCATTCCAGTTTCCTCCAGATTTTGCCTAAAATTACCATCAAACAGCCCAACAGTGGGGAAGTTTTGCACCCCACAGAAACCAATAGATTCCAGCTGCTTGAGGAAATATTCAATTCTGCGAAATGGATCAGTTGCACAGACACCAGCCAAAACAGGAACCTTCGACACCACCTTAATATTACAAACAATGTTAATGAATTCACAAATACAAGGGGTCACTGAGATGCTCTCCCTTTTGAGCAATAACAGCTAACTAATGTGCTTGCAAGAGGAATGAAATCATTTGTAGAACATATCATATTTGTTCTTTTAATCCATAAATTTTTTATTCATCTAAACCAACAGTACTTACTGGCAATACTTCATTGGCCATCTCAAGAACTATTGCATTTGCATCAGCGAAAGGCAGTAGTCCTGCTAAGGAGCCTCTTCCTGCCATTCGGAACCTCCCTGAATTATATAGAACTATGAGATCCACACCACCAGCTTCTTCAAACTTCGCAGATATGCCTGTCCCGGCACCAGCCCCAATAATAGGTCTACCCATCTTTATTTCATGTTTCAAATATTCTAGCATGTCATACGTTCTCTTCAAAGTTTCTGTTGTCAAGAAACAAGCTTTTCGAATCAAGACATTGGCTAAATATGAAACCTTAAAATAATCATTTCAATTAATTAATATGAAAAAGGTACTTTGTCTGTCGGAAGCCTAGTTATTAACATAGGTTGAGAAAAGAATGGAAAAGTCATGCTAAATCCTTGTTTTGTCTCCCGACTCCAGCTGATATACGGAGAGAGAAAAAAAAAAAAAAAAGACTACACCTAAGATAATTTATTGAGCAATTAAGTTTCTAAGTTATACAAGCATGTACATTACAATTTGACTATGTCACAAGCTGTCTTCAACAGGAGCCAGAAGAAATTAAATGAATGTAACTGGCACGCTGAGATAAGGAAGCTACAAAAACAGATCACATCACCAACCTCAACTTTCAGCAGAAAAGAAAAGGAAAAGACCTGGTTTTGCATTCGGAAAGTTGCTCAGAGAGTAAGAAATGGAAGGAACGTCATCTTGGATATCTCGAATAGATTCATAAGATGCTCCACCATGCCTATCATCTTTAGAATTCTCACAGATCTCCAAGAATGAATCAACCAGAGCATTTGCGAATTCTTCGTCATTAATGTGGTACGGGAAAACCTTGACCTATAATTCCTCATTGGGATTATTGGATGAACAGTGTCTTTACACAAATGAAAATTCAGTAAGGTACTATTTCTTGGAATTCTCAGAAATTATCTTGATCTGTTACCTGACGGTCGTCATTGGTTTGCACAAGCTTTTGTACTTCATTTATAAGCGTCCCCGTAACCTCACGATCATAAAAGGCCTTACCCGGTGCATCCAGAGCAGATATCCCTTTCTCCGGCAAGCAGATACGAACTTTTGATGATGACTTATTTAACTTCTCTGCCATAAATGCAGCAATCTTTATGTTTTCATCTGCTGTAGTTCGCATCAAGGTGACCTGAAAATTGACGAAAATTATGAATAGAGGTCCAAAAACCCAAAACCGAATTCCAGTAAGGTTGAATTCACGCTGGCTTCATTGTGTCAGACAAGAATTACGCAGAAACAAGGCAAATCATCTCATAGTAACGAATAACAAAGTCAAAAGTCATGGCATGAAAGTATGTGTTTCCGTCGGCTGCTTCTTCCTTAAGGAAATGGGCAATTAGTGCCGGACTCTGTGGCACACAATTGTTAGCAATAAAATAATCACACTCATATTGTAGATTTAACAATGATCTGTGTACGGAGGTATCTTGCAAGAAATAAAGATTCCTATTGCATGCACCGAATAACTGAAGGACAGAACTGAAAAATTTCACCTGCTTATTATGTTCATAGATTTTCCTTTGCTGGAAATGAGAAGGTACAGAATCTCGGGCTCCAAAGTTAACCATATCCAAGGCTCCCACACTCAGAACCATTGGAATCTTCTTCTCTATCATGGCATCAAAGCGGGAACTATCGCAAGCCATAACACCTCCAACTATATAGTCTGCAACTTCAGTTGTAGTAATGTCCAAAACACCCTGAGCAAAACACCCTGAGGATTAAGATCACATAATCTGACATTGGCATATATTATTAACTGCCAATTGTTCAACTAAGGTTTTCTCTTTTGAATGTCACCTGACAGGTTTGTTCTTTTTATTCATCAATTATTTTAAATTTGAAAAAAGATAAAGAAAGTGCTCAAAAATATTTTTGACTTAGATTATAGGCAATACATGTTTCAGTAGCTAGAACATTATTGAACAAGATGACATGAGAAGCAACCTGTATAAATCCTTGCCTAACAAGATCTTCCATAGCTCTGCCACCGACACCTGTGGCATGAAAAACTAATGTCTCGTAACCTTCTTTGTTCAGTCTTTCTTTGACAGCATTAACACAAGGAGTAGTAACTCCAAACATTGTCAAACCCACTGTAATGTTTTCGCTTTTCTTGCAAGACTCTTGAGACTTGCCAAGCTTTCCAACCACCATTCCGGCAAACGCTCCACCAGCATTTGATAAGATAGGCCTGCTGACATTATTAATCCCACAAATATCCACTACTGATGGAAATAGCACCAAATCTGATGTTCCAATGTACGATTCGGTTTGACCACTAGCCACAGTCGATACAATCACCTTGGGAATTCCAATTGGAAGAGATCGAAAAGCAGATGCAAGCAATGAAGTCCCTCCACTACCACCAAGCCCAACAACTCCAGCCAAAACTTGATCCTTATGAGATGTCGTAAGGAAAATTTCAAGTGCTTTGCTCATCACTGTAAGGGCTTTTCCTCTGTCATCAGGAAGCTGGACAGGGGATTGTTTATCTGTCCCAGAATAGAAAGAAAGGACATCCTTCCTTGATATAAACTTAAAATCACCACAACTATCTACCACCTTCTCACCAACAGAAACATCAACCACTGTAACTAGTACCTGTATTTTTAGTTAAAGGTAAAAATCACAGCAATACTGAAAAATTCAATTTCTTCAGCATTTTATCAATATAGAAGTGACATTTGAGCAATAAGAACATCAGGCAGAATAATTAACGTTTTCATCAAGCAAAGTAAACAAAAACCACCCAGTCCAACTGTCTTTGGAGACACATACCGCCTCGGGATTGCTCTTTTGCTTTTATGCGGATTGTAGACGGAAGATTGCAGGATTCAGATAGACAATATTGTAGCAAGCATGAATTTAGATTCCCCATCGGAGCAATTGACAATGCAGATAAAAATTGCCACTAAAAGCTTCAATGACCAAAGTACTTCTGAAGTATAAAAGTTGTCTTTGTTCAGAAATCACATTGAAACAGGGTAGGGGGACAATTATAATTGATTTACATTCAGATACGAGGATCATCCATTTAAAAATCCTTAACCATCACAAAGAATTTGAACTCCAAATTTCGCATTGCAACAGAAAATAACCATAAAAAACTAACTGTTTCCTGAAGAAAACTGGAAAGTAGAGAATGCGGTACCTTATGAGAGGAGTTAGTGGAGAAGTTTCCGATGTTGGAACGAACAGATTCGGACAGAAATTGAAGTTCTGCAAGCTTTGTATCAGCTGTTCCGATGCAAAAAACTTGCATAGCCTCATTCTTCTGGGTTTTATCCATATTTTTTCTTGAAATTCAAAGTTTTGGATTTTCAGAAACGAATTCAAAAGAAGTCACAATGATCGCTGAGTCATGATTTTGTAATCGAAGCTACCATTGAGATCTTTCCACGGTCACTGATCGATGATGACTCAGTAGCTTCGCAATTTAATGTTAGTTGAGATTTGCTGAGGTGAGTTGACGCCGGGCCGGGCCAGGCTGGCCGTTGCGGATGATCATCATTGAGATGGTGGAGGGCAAACACGTCAATAGATATCTGAACACCTGGCGCAACTGGGCTGCACAAAGCCTAAAAGCCCATTTAGCACATGCAAATTTCCAAACAACAAAAAACCCACTTTCAGCATGAACATACCCGTATAGCTTAGAACTGGGCTTTTTCCAATGGGTTATTTCGGCGTACTTGCGAAAACAGATTATTAAAAAGAACTTTCGAGAAACCAAAATGGTTGTGATAGAGTGGAAGGAACTCCTCAACCCTTGACCATAGGTCAAAGGTTCGAATCTCGCCATGTACATGGAACAACCTTAAATATTTTGACCAGCCTACAATTTAGCAAGGGGAATTATTCACTGTTTCCCACGGTGAACACCCTGCAAATATAGAAAAAAAAAAGAAGAGAACTTTCGAGTTTACGATGGACGTGTCCAGTTTTCGGGAAGTGATCGGATTCAACCTGATCCGACAAGTAGCATGGCAGTGGACGTGTCCAGTTTCCGATGGCGGCGTGAGCGGCGGCGTTGTCGTCTCCGCCTTTGAGCACTCCGTCGAATCTGCAGCAGCCGCTGTCATCATATCAAAAGGCGATGATGATGGATTGGAGTGGGATAATGAACTTCCCTGAAGTTCCTCCGCTGAAGGATTTTGCCAAGTTATACCTGGAAGACTATCCATCGATGAGTGTTTGCCGTGCATGGGGAGACTTCATGATTTCAGGAAAAAAACTAGAATCTTAATATTGGTGATGTTTCCAAGACTGTTTCAAGGATCCTTTAGGCGTTGTAGTGCTAGAAATTTGTTTTGTGTATGCTATTACGAGAGACTTCAAGGTTAGGTTTTCAATTATGTGTGGATGTCACAGTTACTACTACCCACTTCCTCGGGTAGTCCGATTCCCTACTTGCAACTCTTTTTTTTTTTTTTTGACACTCAAAAACCTTATGTTATTATATTAGAGAAACAGGGTCTTGATTGCATGTCTTTGCTAAATTGTGTACTATCATCAAACTATTTCTACTACCTTTTCTAATACGATAAGCGTTATACAATTTCTGGTAATAAAGAATATCATCCAAAATATCTTTGATTTTCACTGAAACTTTCTCCGGATTACGAAGAGCATGAACTAGATTGCTTGAATCGGTACTAATAATGTCCATCGTGATTTGGTTCTGATTCGTATATTTGATGGCTTCCAAACAAGTGTAGGATTATGCTTGAATCACAGAAAGAGCCATGAATTTTGTTGTTTTTGTGATTGGAGATAAAGTGTCCGGAAGGCATAATTCCCATGCTCCAGCTGCTTGGAGTGTATCCTGATTAAATGCCCCATCAAATATTTAACGGCAAAATCTCTTCATCATCTGATAATTGCTAGGAAGCTCTTTGTCTTAAATTATCTTGTGGGGGATCAATATTCCAGCTTCGTTTAAAAATTTGGTATTCCGCCATGGCATGACCTAGAACTTCTTGAGGCGTATCTCTCTAATGCTCCCAATACAGCTTACTTCGACTTTTCCAAATATGACATAATATTACTAAAGACTCTTCCAACAATTCTCTATTTAGTGAACCAAATTCGTTTTGCTTTTTCACATTCTATGAAAATGTGTGAATTGGTCTCTTCAAATTGATTGCACTCCCTACATAGAGTGGGTATCAAAATGCCCTTTTTTCGCAATTGTTCGGAAGAGGCACATTTTCTATGTATAATCTTCCATATGAACTTTTGTATTTTGGCTGGTAATCGAAGAGTCCATAACTTCTTGCATTTTTTATTCTATATACCTATTGAAGAGTGATGAGCTGATGTCGATGAAAGAGAGGAAGCTGTCTGATTTGTGGCCTGGTGATACCCGGATTTCACCGTATAGTGACCATATCTTTCTAAGGTCCAAATAAACTTATCTTTGGCATTTGTAGTAATTTGCGAAAGAAGAATTGTGAGAATGCGTTTGATATGATCCTTTGGAAAATAAAGATGCAACAAGGAAGTTTTTCAATTCCCCGTGATATCAATGAAATGGCATACTCGAAAGTGTATAGGATTCGGGGAAGGGAGAAATCTTAAAGGATTTGTCAACCTGTAATCCAGACTTTCTAAATTTCAACATCTTTCCCACTTCTGATCTGCCATTTTAGCTCTGAATGGATTAAATCTCTTCCCCACAATATACTTTGCCATCTCCAATAGGCATTTTGCCGATTTCTGCTTCTAGAAAGTTTGTTTCCCTACAATATATTGCCATTAATAATTTGGCTAATAAAGACTGAGGCTGGTGAAAAAATTTCCAAGTTTTCCAATTTTGCCAACAATGCTTGGTTCATCTCCCTTGCTCTCCTCATTCCTAAGCCGCTGTATAGTTTCGATGAGCAGACTTTATCCCAATCAATCCAATGAATTCCCTTTTTTGTTTCTGTTTTTGTCCAGATGAAGTTTGCGAGAATTTTATCAATTGTTGCTGTCGTTGCCACTGAGAACTTGAAGACCCCCATAAGCTATAAAATTGAGGAAGACAAAGCATGACTTTGCTAAAGTAATTCGCCCTTGTGTGGATAAAGAAACCGTTTTCCATGTTGAAATTTTCTTCTTCAGCCTAGATACGATTCCTGTAAGTGCCGCATGTTTAGACCTTCCTAAGTCCAGAGGAGGTCCCAAGTTAATGATCTGTAAATATTTAGGGTAATCTTGACCCAATAAAGCATCCGTATAATTCATTATGGGGCTAAAAAAAATACTTTATTTATGAAAATTAATTCATTGGCTGGACCACTTAGAGAAGCAGGATAATTTGTTGGCAAAGTCATTTATTTATTGTTGAGAACATTCTGTGAAGATAATGGTGTCATCAGCATACATGAGATGTGATATCCTTGGGGCTTGTCGAGTTATTTGGATGCCAATAGGTGCACTGATTTCATGATGATTGAGCACTGATCAAAATGCTTGCTGGCTGATTAAAAACAAATATGGGGATAAAGGGCATCCTTTTGCAAACAGCTTTGATTGGAATAAAGGATGGTGAAATCCAATTATTATGAACGGTGAATACTCTGCAAACATACAGGAAAAAAATATAATAGTTTAATAGTATAAATCTTTTGATTAAACTCTCAGCACCAAAGTACCTTATTATTCACTGAATTGACGTAACTATCATTAACGAAAAAAAAAGTTTCTATTTAATCTCGCAAACACCATTGATATTCGTTTCTTCTATACTTATATTGGTGATTGTTGGCAACAGTAAAGCCGTGACATGAGATGATATATATAACTAATGAATCGTGAAAGACAAAACTATAAATGCACGCTTCTTTTTTGTTGCATGTATCATGGTGGTTAAGGTGATACGTGTAAATATAACTTCTCACGATTAGTGATATGTATAGTGAGAAAAAATAACGATTGATGTGACATGCATATAAAGATATATAATTAAGTTGGTAATTACTTTAGTCATACTTGATATTTCTATTTTTTATATTAGTTACTATTTATTTTCACTACAAAATTTATGTGTCTGTACCAATGCTTTTTCTTTTTGTACACTCATAAATCTCTATCTCTACTCTCCCAACAGGATCCGATTTATGAACCTCTTAAATATCGGCATATAGTCTTACACTCGAATGACAACATTGTGAGGGATATTTTAGTATTTTACATATGACATAGCTCAATAACGTATCTTTTTGTCAGTTTTATCGTTTTCCTAACAGATCCAATGAATTTTAAGTGATTTAACCTAATATTTGTTTAGAAGTAAGTATTACACGGAAAACCTAAAATATACTAGTAGTTTCCATGCCATCTCGTTGGCATTCCAATAATGAATTTGCTTGTCTAATTTGATAATCTTCTCAAATACTAGCGCCACTGTTTTGGCTGTCAATTTTGCAATTAAAGCTAACCCTGCCCAACATTAACAACCCCATAATCATTACAAAGATAGGAGGCAAAATGAGCCCTCCCTTTAAATTAATATATACGTGTGTTTTCAGTTGTTCCTCTTCAAAATGCTCGCTCACAAGCAATTGATTGTTCAAATAGTTCACGCCACTACAAAGATACGGACTAATTAAATTCGTACCCAATTTTTTAAAGTTGTAAGTGGAATTATTGGAGTCGATGGATCGACTATGATTAGTGAATTACAAAGTCAAACTCGAAATGAAAGGGAAGTAATCACTGGCTAGGACCATCCGCACTTCACATATATAGTGTAAGTAGACAAGAAAGTAGAAACGACACAATTGCCCGACCACATTACATGGGAAGGAGCAAAAAAGTCATAAGGCGGGATGGGAAAAGACAAAAGGCTAATAGTAAGGAAGCGGACGACAAAGGCAGAAGTTTGAGCCCGAGGCAGAAGGAAGAAAGCTAGTGACAATGGCATGGGCTTCTTGTGATATTGCCTAAATGCCTAGTTGGTTCACTTTCATTGTTTCTTCTTTTTTCAGTGTCGAATTTATTTTCACTCCATCATTTACTACATCACATCGAATTATTTTCTCTGATAAAAGCACTGCTCAGTGAGAAGCATTGTTGACTTTTAGCACATACTTGAAAATGGAAAGCGTGGATTAATTTCGCATTTACATATTAGCATGATCGATCAGTTGTCTTGTCAAAGTCAAATCCTGAAATTAGTATGAGAAACAAAACACTGTTACCAACTTACAGCCAATTAGAAGGCAGGTTTGTGGCATGCATGCATTTACGGGAAACCTATCACATAGTTTTGCAAATTGCCATTAACCAGTATCTTTGTTTCAATAACTAATGAATTTGGTAAAATTCAAATGAGACGCTTAACAATTAACATAGATTACATGTCAGAAGATCGGATGTATCTTATTGAACATTGTGATGTATTATTAAGTAAATCATGTATAATTTTGATTTTTTTTTCCCATCATTTCTCTTGGAATACTATATATGCTAGTAAATTATATTCTTCCTCCGGTTATTAGTATAAGGCATTTTGATTTGTATTAGATTTCGGCTAATATGTATTTTTAATCAAAAAAAGTCTTTAAAAATATATTTTCACATTCGTTGTATTCTCTTGATTGTTAGGAATATTTTTAAGACTTTTTTGTCAATTAAAAATATGTACTAATTGAAATCTAGAAAAGATCAAAATGTCTTATATTAAGTACTAGAGAGAGTACATAGTAAAAAATGGACACATTTGGAAATTACGTAAATGCGTGATATTCTTCCGAAAGAGGCTAGCTAATGCATGCAGCTATAAGTAAAGTGGTGAGGTAGCTACGCACTTAGAAGGCTATTGTGTGAGCAAAGGTTTCACTTTAATTTGGCGTGTGGACTGCATTATTATTGTTGATTTGAACCCAAAGGCCATTCCTTTTCCACTTTCACAAACTACTCATCAATCATCATACCTTGGAGCACTTCCAAAGTTCAAAGAAAAACCCCTTGGCTGACACTTGGCAAAAGCTTGTGATTCGAAAGAAAAACCTTAGGGCAAATACCGGCCGTATGAAGTCCACTTCCGACATGAGTAAAGAGTGATTTGATCGACTGCATGAGATGGTCGATTTATACATGTAGACTTATAGAGTCCGCTAGGGTTCCCTTTATTAATTGGGAATATCGGAATATCAACCCGAATCTGGTACTGAAAACTACTACTAACACACTTGTTGATTCTTTCCAGTTCTTTCAAATAAACGTGAAAAAAGGTGGCCTTATTCCCACGGGCCACGGCTCTGTCCCATGTGAATTCGAGGCTATGTCTGAATTTTGTTTTATATGTGTTTTTAGATATTTTTTCTAATATAAATATAAAAAAAATTATTTGAAATGTAAAAAAGTATATTGATGGACAATTATTAAAATTTTTTATGAAAAATGGTATATTGAAATTGAACAATTATTAAAAAAATTATGAAAAAACCGTTAGAAAAACAAACTAAACAGACAAGTTTTTATGCGTGTGTGTGGGGTTTGGAATAATCATCCAGTCACAAATAAATGAAGCGTTGTATCTCATAGATAACTGTACTTAATTTACCAAAATTGTGTACAACATTTCGTGCTTTGGTAGTTCACAAATTCAGCTGATTGTGACAAACATCCAAATTTTAATTTGGCCAATAAACATTTGAATGTGATGTTTTGATGGTACTGCCCAACCAAGGCCATATAAGCTAGTAGTGGAGAGATTAGTGGTACTATTTTTACTATTTTCAGCAAGTCACACCCCCGTGATACCTTTTTGTGCCAAGAAACAGTAGTGACCAATTATTTTCTAAAATTCCATCTTTTTCATCTTCTTCCCATTCATGCCTCTAATAACGAAATGGTTTAGTTCAAATTCATTTAGTTTCTTGATTATTTTGTTAAATTTATATTTGTTCGATCATTTAGAAGTTACGAATTAATGTTGGATACTCCCTTACAAAATAAATTTTAATCGGGAAGCTGATACTCATTGTCATTACGTTATTTGTCTTGACATAACAATATTAACTAGATAGAATCTGTTGAATATACTAGCGTAAGTGACGACAAAAAGTACTTTATACTTTCTTTGAAACTTTCCTGGCTATCTTGCCGGCCAATAAAAGCACTTGCTCCATCTCATTTTCTTACCGTGTCAAATTGATAGAAATAAAAGAAAACAACCCCGTTATTTTCAGTGTAATGAGTTCTAAATAAAACACTAATACTTTAAACTTTATAAGGGGTTTTTGTTGGATAGGAAAAAGGTCGAATTGAACCAATCAATGTCCTCAACTTGAACATCAAAATCGTGGCAGTGTCACTTATTTTGTCTTTAGACTACAATTGAGGCTCTTTTGCTTACACAAGTAAATCATTTAACGACAAAGAATTACAGTTATCCAACGATTTTTTTATGAACATTGGTGCTGCAATGTTTTGTTGCCTAATCAATCCAACTTACACACCAGACAAATGTTTGACATGAATCCGGGAGTAACACTTGGACTTTTCAGTAGGGCTGTCAACCAACCGAGCACTTCACGAGCAATTTGCGAACAGCTTTGTCAAAACTTAGTTTGAATTCGGTTTTGACCGAACTCGAGCCGAATTCGAACAGTTTGATTAGACAAACGAATCGAACACGAGTATCAAAATACTTGATTTGAGAGCTCGTCGAGTCTATTCGAGCTTATTATAAATAATTTTATTTTTATTATGAATAATACTTAATTCGTAGATACTTCTATTTGTATTCCCTAGAAATTATTGTCCTTTATATTTTGAAGATGTGATAATGGGATACACATATTTATTTTTAAATATTAAAATTAATCGAGTTCAATCTTTAACGAACACTAAGACTCGAGCTAATCGAATCCAGCGAGAGCTATTGATTTCTATTTCGAGGTAAGCTCAATCTTCAATTTTGATGTTCGATCGAGTTCGAACTCGAATACGAGCTCCAAATTTTCTATCAAATTCGAGCTCGAACATCTAATTGTTTGGGCTTGACTCGGTTTATTGACAGTCCTACTTTTCAGTAAGTATTGAATCGAAGGGTCACAAAGGATATGAACACGCGGAAATGAAAACTATCTTTTGGGTTAAAAATTTCTTGTTTTTTTTTGGTGAAATGGGTTGAAAATTTCTTCACGGTTGCTTAATTATGTACCCAACTATTATATGTACTAGTAATTTTTCACTAAAGACTGTACATATATCATATTAAAATTTATACATATTCGATTCCAACCTCTTTGAAAGAAAAAAAAAAAGCTATTGTAATATTGTTTTTTTTTTTATGTACATATTCAAAATACCCAATTAGAGGGGACTAACTCCTTATATTTAACCTCACTATTGTCGGTATTACAAGTTTAAATTTTATTAAAAATCAATAAGACACAAATTTAGGGAAAAAGGGTCAAAATACCCAATTAGAGAGAAAATTGAGGGGTGAAAAAAAAAAAGGAAAAAAAGAAAGAGAGAGAGAGAGAGAGAGAAAATATGGACATCCCATTATTCATTTGTCTATAAAAGGACATACCGAAGCTACAAATAGTAATCGGTGACAAAAAAAAAAAGCATTCTTCAATATGGACGTTCAGAAATGTTTCCACATGAATGGCGGAGTTGGGGAGACTAGCTACTCCCAGAATTCTTCTCTTCAAGTAATTCTTTCTGTCTCTGTCCTCTCTCTGTTTTCTTTCAATCTCCTCTCTTCTAATATGTTATCCCATATGAATTAAGTTGGATTGATTCTAAATGATTCTGCTTCCTGTTTCAACCGCAGAAGAAGAACTCCGACAAGGCGAAATCTATAACCCTGGAAACAATCCAGCAAATCTACCTAACCACGACGCCAAAGAGCTTAGGGATTGCGGATTTGGGTTGTTCTTCTGGGCCTAATACATTGTCCAACGTAAAAGATATAGTGGATGAAATCGAAGAGATTAGCCGGAAGATTTCGCAACCAGCTCCTGAATTCCGAGTTTATCTCAATGATCTTCATACCAACGACTTCAATGCCATATTCCAGGCCTTGCCCAAATTCTACAGCGACCTGAAAGATCAAAGGAGTCCCGGAACGCCTCCTTGTTTGTATATGGCCGCTTCCCCTGGATCTTTTTATGGAAGGCTTTTTCCGGATGAATGCTTGCACTTCGTTTATTCCTCAAACAGTTTGCACTGGTTATCCAAAGTCAGTTCACGTCAATGCATCCTTGAATTTATTTATTTGTTTTTGCTTACATTCTTTTGGCAACTATCATATATGCTCTGTTTTTTGATGTCTTAGGTTCCTCCCGGAATTTATGACAAAGAGGGCAAATCAATCAACAAAGGAAGTGTTTATATTACGGAAAAGAGCCCTCCAGAAGTGGCACAAGCTTACACTCAACAATTCCAGGAAGATTTCTCTTTGTTCCTGCGTTTAAGGTCCAAGGAGCTCGTCTCCGGAGGTGGGATGGTGCTGATTTTTCTGGGGAGGGACGGTCCAAATCATATCGATCGTGGGAACTCTTTCTTCTGGGAAATTCTCTCTCGATCATTTGCGGATTTAGTCCAAAAGGTTGGAACAATTTATTTGCTTCTTGATTCTGTCATAGTAGTAGTAATTAGGCCTGTTGATTGAAATCTAAGGCTTTGTTAATATATACAGGGGAAGGTGGAGGAGGAAAAACTTGATTCATACGACGTTCATTTCTATGCACCATGGAGGGAAGAAGTGGAAGATTTGATAAGAAAAGAGGAATCTGTGAAGCTGGAGAGGATTGAAATGAGTGAAATAGAGACAATTGGTGGAGCCGGAATCAGCTATGGAAGAAAGGTGGCTATGGCGGTGAGAGCAATCCAAGAGTCGATGATTACCCACCATTTTGGAGAGTCAATCTTGGAAGATTTGTTTGAGGTGTACGGGAGATTGATTGATGAGGAAATGATGAAACAAGACATTAGAGCTTTTACTACTGTTGTTGTAGCTCGGAAATTATGACCCCAAATTCGGGGGTAATATTTATTTTTTTTCCAACTGATGTGGTATCTACGTGCTGGCAAGTTTTGATGGAACGTTGGAATTGTTTGTTGGGTGTGGTCCTTATTACATATTCGTGATTTGAGTTTGTGTAATGTGAACGAAGCTCAGTGATAACTGATAATAGTCTTAAATCGCTTTTTTTTTTTTTTTTTTGCAAACTTATGTTACGAGTATCATATATACAGGGGATCGAAACATGGTCATTAGTCCAAAAAATTCCTATTCAATCCCTTTCCATCAATCTCCCATTCCACAAAGGCAGGGAATGGAGATTAAAGAAGGTTTCTCGATTAAATAAAAAAAAAAGAAAAAAACCTTCATTCACGACATAAACTCGAAACGTGTTTAAGGAATACAATCTCAAAAGTATGGTCAAATCCCCCAACGTAAACGACATTCATGAGGAGTCTTTGTTGTCATCGCCTGCCACACTTATACCACTAATTTTGTATCACAAGGAACGATTTTTCCAAGGACATGGAGCAGGATCCTACCACATAGCCTTTGGTGGCGAAATATTTTATTCCCTCGGTGCTCTGTACTACGATCAGAAGCCATGGCACGTTTGAACAGACCTCATTACAAACCATATCTGCACCCTAAACGCCCATTTTGGTTGGTCTAATAATGGCTAACCGAAGATTAAAATAATTGTTCACTTTGAATTTTTAGTTTCAATATAAACTTAACTAAAAGTGAAAATTGAAACCGCACAATCATTTTGAAACAGGAAGAATATATGACCTTTGTCAAAAGGTGAACTGCCTCTCTGGCCTGTCCATTTCTTCTAGAATTATACTACCAAAACCCAGTTCCCAATACTGTTTGAACTTCGAAGTCCAAATATGGTCCAAGCTGGTGCCAGTACCTTGCTTTCGGCCTCCGTCTCCCAATGCTATCTCGGAGTGGTAGCATTTTTGGGCTAAAACATCATATCAGCAGACTCTGGCCCAATTGGCGCAGATCCTTTTTGTTGCTAAAAAAATCCTAAACAGAAATTGTGGACCCTTTTTCATTCACGATTGCAAATTTTCAATTTAACTTCTATGTAATTATAATCAGAGAGATGGTCGCTAATTAGTTTTTGGAATTTCATTTTTATCAAGGACGCCATTGTAACTTGTAAGTTGATGTTATATGAATTCTCAATGGTGGTTTTTCTTCTTCTTCTTCTTCTTTTTTTTTTTTTGTGTGTGTGTGTGCGGTAGTCTGTATACTTACAGTAGAATGAAGGGCAGAAGAGAACTCCAAGGTCTTATATACAGCATTAGATCGCCTCCGTAATTCTATTATTTCAAAAAAATATTTTACTTTATTATATGAGAAAAGTACAACCTCGAGTTATGTCCCAAAGACTAATACCATCCCAGTTTTACTATAAGGACAATTACCCCCCTTGACCGTCAGTCAACTCCATAATTAACCCCCTTGAAAGTTAAAATGGCAAAAAATATGTATGTAATAATCCAAATACCCTTTTCAACTAAAATCAAATTTTTGTAGATAAATTCAACTTTTTTTCAAAAACATATTTTGTTTAACAATTCGTCAAAAGATTTATTTAAGGATAAGAAATTTACAAATTTTTCTTAAAAAATAATTTTTTGAAAAAAAATTAAAAAAATTTAATTTGAGTAAAAAACAATTTATCTATGGTTGAATTTCTTTTTTTTAAAAAATGATAGACTTTCAATCATATCCTACATTTATTTTAATAACAATCGAATTATTCAAAACATGAATAATTTTGACATTATTCTATTTTTTGGACAAATTATATCCTTTTTTCAAAACGAAATTCAACCCTAAATAAATTAATTTTTTACTAAAATTAATTATTTTTTTTTAAAAAAATTATTTTTAACAAAAATTGGTAAATATTTTTATTCCTAAATAAAATATTCAACGACAAAATAAGCCATTGAAAAAAGAAGAAGATAAAATGTGGATCAAAAAATTATTTTTAGGTGAAAAGGGTATTTTTGTCATTTTGATTATCAGGGGGTCAATGCAGTTGACTAGCGGTCAAGGGGGATAATTGTCCTTATAAGAAACGCCGGAGTGGTATTAGTTTTTAGGACATGACTCGAGAATTTTTGTCCTTTTTCTTTATTATATTGTTTCAGCACCAAACACTATTCCGTCGAGATTAAATAACGATGATTCTCAAGACTCAAGAGTAAGGGCCCATTCAGATAAAATGGTCGGGACAAACTTCTGATAATGATGAACACAAGAGGCACCAAACGTAACTAGGTAGAGGTAGTATATTACGACTTGGGTACAAAGGATACTTGTCAATCTTAATCTAATGCTAGCTAGATAGGGAGTTCATCCTCGCTCGCACATGAATGAAGTTTCAGATTGTGGTAGATTCTTAATGCACACCCATATAATTCATGCATGTTCCATTACTCCACGACATTTTTAAGACCCTAGCTTATGGGGTTGATCTGAGCATTCCATTCGTGCGAAGAACAAGTTGATCTTTACGTACCGCATTTTCTTTTTATCCGTTTTTGCTTTGTTCTGTTTCGTTACGTTGTTCTGTTTTTCATTTTTCCAATCTAAGACAACATGAATTAAAGCACAACCCACATTTTGGAACCCAAAAGAATAATTTCTTAATCTTATTCTTCCCGTATAAACGACGGAGAGATGGTATATGGCACGTAAGCTTAATTCAGCTTTTCCAATCGAATATTAACGTAACAGTTGTTATATAATGTCATTTCTTTTTAGTCAAAATACGATATTATTAACTTATTGTTAATAGCTGGTATACAATATCTTTTTTCCTTTCTCAAGACACATTAGTGTTTGTTCATCAAAAAAAAATAATTGTCACTGATTTGTATCACAAATATAGTCCATATTATAAGTTATAAGTTTTATTAAAAATAGTGTATAACTCTTATTTTACTATATAGACTATTTTATGGGAGTAAGAGAGTGGTATTTATTAACGAAAGCATAATTGAGCATTGTCACCCAAAAAAGAAAAATAGTAGAGTGAATAATCTGATAAGAACCCCGTGTTCATAAAGTTAAATACAGGCTTAACTAAGTGCACATCGTCATCAAATAGCTCTATTTGTTTAGGTATCCCATAACACTAGAAAACCCTGAGCTGATTAAACATTACCAGAATATATACCCTTCGGGTTACTTTGAGTTCGAGACATGCACCACATCAGAACCCCTATACATGGAATTAGATGCCCCTGATTCCGAAATTTACTTAGATTTTGTTCTCTTTCTTTAATTTCAATCTATTATAAATTACTCTACTTATATAGCTAAATAGTTTATTAATTAGCAAGGTGTGACTATTTCACTAAAATTGAAATGGTCGTGTTCTTTTTGGATAGATTACACTCCCTAAATTCTAACCGAAAGAAGAAAAAGAAAAGGAATACAATTCTTAATTCTGCACAGTTTCATTTTTGTTTGATTACAAAATGATCAAAAGGGCTTCTTAGTTTAGGATTGCTGCAAGCTGTACATCTCACACTTTTAAGGAATCATTATCGCAATAAGTTTATTTATTTATTTAGTGAAGACATGATTATAGTTGTAGCACCCTAATTAAATTACGGACAAAATAAAGATAGGCATCGGGATACGTGCATCTTTTGGATTTAAATCCAATTATTATGACCATTTCAGTCGCTTATCAATTTAATTCTCTAACTTTTTTTTTATTGAGAGGAAGCAAAAGGAGAAGACCTAAACAAAGCAATTAGAGAATAATCAATGTAGTTCATCGGGCGTTGGCCTTTTTGTTTTTTGGTACCCACCATTTCACTATCCTTTTAGAAGGGGAAAAAAACACCTTCTACTAATTCTTTTACTATTGATAAAATGTAATTAAAGGGGGAAAAAGGATGAAAAATAAAGCCAAAAAGAAGAAGAAAAGAGGAAGAAGAAGTACACGACCCTCATAAGAACATTATTGTTAGCAAAAAGTAAACCCTGTGTGCTTCTTTATGGATTTCCACAAGGACGTAAATAATTAGGAAAATCTCATTAGTCATTCATGGTGGAAAATGTAATCATGATGCGCCCCCCAACAAAAATTGGAGGAAAAAGGAAAAGCTTAGAAGATTTATTAAAGGAAAAAAAAAAAAAAAAGAAGGAAAGAAAAAGTTAGGTTATAGAAGAAAATCAGGATTCGTTTACAAAAGAATCTTTAGAAATCTTTTACTGCTTCTATAGTGAAAAGGTCACCTTTGTAGGACTAGGAAAGAGATATTATTATACACTTGGAGATGGAAGAGGGCGACTATTTTCAAAATTACAGAATGAATATAAGAAATCTTTTTTTTTAATTGCTGATTATCAGTTTGCATTTTATCATTTAATTATTCTATTATGCGTAGATTAATCACTTTGTTAGAAGAATTGAATGCAATAATTATCTTCTTATTGGAATTGACTTCATAATCTCGTCCTACTCTATACACATGTTTATATGAGAAATCGAAAAAATTAAGACACGAACTATATCATGCGATTTTCCAAATGATGAGATGAGCCGTTGATATGAAGGACTGAGTTAGTTGCAAAGGAGTAAAATGCCAGTCACCAACCGAAAGTGCTACCAATTTGATTGTTAACTACGTAAATGCTTTAGTTCCGAAATTTCATGATTAGCCACAACAATCCGAATCCCGATACCCCAATATAAAAAAAAAAAAAAAACTGTATGAAAAATCCCTCGTCTTCCTTTCAATTACACTAATCACAACTTTGAATTTTGCATTTTTCACTAAAAAAATAAATGATCAAGGTGCCATTTGAAAAAGAAAGATCTCTCATCTAGCACAAATGAAAAAAACAACAAAATATTCGCCTGCAATTGCGAACAAGTCAATTGACCTTTGAGTAATACTCCCAAACAGATCGTAGCTTAGTAGTAATATAATGCTCAAGCGATTTCTTTGAGTTAAAATGTAAATGGTGATTTCAGATATGAGGGGTTTTTGAGGTTTTTTTTACCCACAGTAAATACAGTAAAAAGGAAAAAAAGAAACCATCTCGGATGTCACAATTCATCCAGCTTGCAAAATTCTACTACTACTACTGGATAAGAGTGGGCACTGATAAGAGAAGGAATAAGATGCCAATTTTCTGGTTATGGCGTGTTTTCTTCAGTAAAAGTGAAAAAAAAAAAAGAAAAAAAAAAGAGGATATAACCATACAAACAAGTCCTATCATCCCTCCAAAACGAAAGTGACTTCAAAGTCTTCAATGATGACAACCGTTCCCGTACAAATCCATGGAAATTACATGACATTTTCCATTAATCAATGCATATTTAAGTCTAATCAACAATAATGGTGGAAAAAGAATTCAAATTCAGCAATTTAGTACGATAGGTTTCATTATTTTTTTGCATATAGTAGTAAACTCCAAAATGCACATCAGGGATAAACAGAGTCAACAATTTCGTTACCAAATTAAAATTTGAACTATAATCGACGGCCTAGACTAACCTTTGCGTCCCAAAAATCATAAAAAATCAGCCGCCCAAATTAATCTCCTTTCAAAAATATACACTAATTTATTTATTTTTACTAGTATTATTATTTTCAGATGAAGAAATTGAAGCGTTGCTAAGAAGCAGAAACAATGGCTAACTTTTCTTCGCGATGGAAATTGATTTGCCTGGCGATGAATGCCTCAATTGTCTGTTGGAATTCCTCGTTGCTCAATTCATCAAACACGTATACCGTATCAGCTGGAATCTCGCCTGGATTCGCCACTTTCCGGCACTTCATCGTTTCCCATCGCCTGAGCTTTCCGCTTTTCAGAATCTCTTCCGCTTCCAAACTCTGCATCTTCGCCTCCAAGTTCTCCGACAACGCTCTCGAGTACATCTTCATTTCGGAAGGCATCTTCTCAGGAACTAAAGCGTCGTCGGAGCTTTCGATGTTGTTGACGGAGCTGCTGCTCTGTTCAAATATAGTCTGTTTATCTTCATATTCAATTGCATCCGGAACCAACGCCGGAACTAGGCTCGTGAATTCGGTGCTGCTGTCGCTAGTTTTGATAAATTCTTCGTACAAATCGGTTTCCGTCTCGGCGTCGGAGCTAATGTGAGTGGAAGAAGATCGGCCGCCGGAGAGTACGTGGCCGGCTTTGAGAAGCAGAGTGACGACGATGAGGTTTCCGAGGAGGAAATTAAAGAGCGGACCGATGATGATAGTGAAGAGCTGGCGCAAGTACTCGCCGGAGATTTTGACGGCGAACGGCAAGTAAGAGGAAGTCCATGACAGAAAAGCTAATCCGAGGAAAATCTCAACGATCCGGAAGAGCTTGGTAATGCTTTTGAAATGGTGAGTAAACATTAAGAAACCGGCGAGCGATTTCTCCGGCGACGGCGAGGATGACGTCGATGACGACACGGCGTTGTCAAAATCGAAGGCCTCCATTGAAATTTTGAATTTTTGAGAGAGAGAGAGAGAGAGAGAACACGAAGGCCGGGCTTTTTTTTTTTTTATAAAAAGAAGAGAAATTGTGGAGAAATGCAGAGCATTTGAGAGGGAAGTTGTGTGGGGTTTTTATAGAGAAGAGGAGTAAAAACAGTGGAAATAGAAAGCCTGAGGATGGGCCCACAAAGATAAACATCAATCTAAACCAGTCATTTTCGTTAAACCCATATTATAATTACACCCAATTTCAATTTTAACTACCATATCCAGCAGACTATGCAGAGAGACATGTAATCTTTGGGAGGCGTGTTTTTTTTTAAAAAAAAAAAAAAGAGTTCAACCGAATAGAGAAATTTCAAGGAGATGAATGAGAATTAATTCAGATGTAATATTCTTATGTAGATTTTGCATCGTGAAATTGGCATGGGAACAAAATACATATGAGAAGATGGTAGATGGTTTCAAAGTTTTGAAATATGGCTCAAAGTATATGTTGGCACTGTTTTAACCATATATGTATTGCATCAGTAACTTCTTCCATCTTTTTAAAGTGGTTGATCATTGATGAATTGGGGCTGTGAAATTCAACCGAAAACAGTCAATGCAGTTAATGTTACTGCATTTACCACACCAAAAGCAATCATATTTTACTGGTAAAAAATCATACTCTCATCATGCACATACACAATACTACTTCCGTCCTACAAAAATAATCCACATTTGATTTTTGAATTTTATACTCCCTCTATCACAAAATTATTGTCCAGTTTGAGATTTCACTTTTAGTACAATTTGAACTAGAAATGAAAATCCAAATTGGACAATAATTATAGGACGAAGAGAGTACTATTTTTTAATATAAATTTAAAAACTCAATGTGAACTATTTTTATGGGACGGATGGAGTAATAATATAGTAGTAACTTTTAAATTTGGGGGGTAGGCACTTGAAATTCGAAAATGGTAAGCAGTAGCTCAATATATTTATATCGTCCGTGAGTTATTGAGTTGGGAGGGGGGAGTCTTATTTTTTTACGTATTGGTCACACTCATGAGACTGGTGGAATTTTCACGTGAAAATCTAGTAAATAGTATCAACTGCTCTTCCTCCTCCTAATTCAATTTGAAACTTCACCGTGTTATTAAATCGCCTTATTTATATAGGCTACTTTTCGTACCATCGTTCTGATCTCACACAACCCATACCAAAATGTTCGTTGCTTCTCAATTCGAAGCTCTCACTTCTTACTTCTTGAAAGAAATGCCATTGACGCTTGTTTTGAATGTGTTAAAAAGGCACGTGAAATAGAAGTCCCAAAATGTTTGTGGATGAGTTCTAATCATCTTACATATAACGTTCAATTTTTAGATTATTATTATTATTTTTTTTTAAAAAAAAAACAGTTTTTACACAAAAAAACGAACCACATAACAAGTAGTAAGATTAGAATCGATTTTCTTCACAAGCGAATCAGACTAGTAGTAAGTAAATCGTAAGTAGGTTTGTGGAGGGAAGAAAATCGGTTAATAAAATTAAAAAATTGAAGAAAGCACGTGAGAGAGAAGTGTTGAATTTGGGAACCAATATTTGGATTGGCGGAGTGTTGGATTGAAGGACACACACACACACACACACACATTTTGGTATCAGCTTTTAGAAATAAATGTTGTTGGGATCTCACTGTGTGGTTTGGTCCTTCACGCCAATGCGCCCAAGCTAGCTTGGTGTTTTTCAACAGGGCAGTAGCAGTAGTAGTACCAGTAGAACCGTACGTAGCAGGTATAGATAGATACAGATAGCCATCAGGGGCCATTTTTGCCCACTGTTGGCGTGTTGTCATACCCACAATACGGAGAGATTTTGCCATTTCCAGGCCCTGAAAACTATGCATTTGCTCTCTTCATCATCCCCCAGCCAGCAACACCAACTCAACTCTATACCATCTTCTCCTTCTTCACCTGAACGAAAATACTAGTATAAAACTACACATTTTTGGTTTTCCCAATGTTTGACCGGTTGTTGCCCAATTCACTCACTACTTCCAATTTGTGCGTAATCCTATCCCATTGGCCAGCATTAACATTAATTTATTTTCCGCTTTCGGTTCATAGTTCATACATTCGTGTGCATCCCTTTTTTTAATCTGTAAAACATTTGTATTGGAACCATCAAAACTTTGTATTAAATTAAAGTTGCTACTTCCTTACTACCGCTACACTACTAACTATTTGAAAATACGGTGGACAACTATACTTGGACTTGTCACTTGTCAATTTATGTTTACAACTGTTCCTAAATTAAGTTTTTTTTATCCTTTGGTGCAGGAACTTGGGAGATTATGGAACCGATTAATACACTTTTGATAAAAGAAAATTTGGTAAATCATACTATTATTCGATCATTCTTTGTTACAAATGATGTTACACTGATAACCATTGATTCAGGATAACGCCATAGGTTAGTTCTTTTTTTGCCTATACTCATAAGATTTTAATAAAAATCATTACTAGCATTAAATGAAGACCACTAAATTATATGCCGGCCACTTGGAGTTGGAGAGAATTAGGCTAATGCAGTGTAGTTGATGGTGTTTGGGATTCCCTTTTTTTTTTTTTTTTGAGTAAAAGGAAGGGGAAAAAAAAAGAAAGAAAAGAAAGATGGTCCATTTCAACTGAAGTGTATTAGCTGATGATCCTAAACTTGTGAGATTAATCAATATGATAACCCATGAAAGAAAAGACACATACTGCCTTTTTCTTCATGTTGTCGGCCAAACAAGATTTATGTTCATCGAATTGAACAACATTTGACAGTCTGTTAATAGTAGTTTAGAGTTCCATTAGACAGTGACATACTACAACTTAAACTAACCAGGCACATCCCCACATGCCCTCCTTATTACTATGACTAAAACTCATGAACTCCCTTCTCGAATAAGATGTAAAAAACGCCGACCTTAAACTTATTAAAGTCGATTCTTCTTGTGAAATGTGGGGATTGTACTTTAGTTTCTCTTTAAACCTGTTTGGTTTCATAATTTCATTCGATTTCTACGGCATTCTTTAGTTTGGTTATGTGAGGTTCATATCACTAGCTAGCTAGGGCAGACGGTTTCTTATTTTTGATCAATCAAAACCATACGTACAATAAACTTAACTCATTGCTTAGCGACTGACAACTGTGAATGTATTATTGTGGCAAGCCGCACTTTAACCAACAAGTTGCATTATTCTTAAGCCAACGATATATCCTCATAACAAATCACTAATTAACTTTGCCCGTGAATGAATTTTGTGTTACGCCATTAAACACTTAGTTAAGGTAATAAAAATCTCAGAGCTTAAATAGGGATAACTACAAACAACTCATGCTTCTTGTCTTTAGGAAGAGTGGATAAAGTTTTATATCCTTCCAAAGAAAAATAATTATCTACATTTGTGCGACTGACCACCCACTCCCATTATAGAAGTTAGGAACAGTGAGATTATGGAAGCGGTAAAAAAAGAAAGTGGAGAAAAATGGAAGGAGCAGAGCACCATTAATTGCATATCATCAGCCAGCCATTTGTTGTAGTTTATATAATGTTTCCAATCTGTACGTTCCATGTCTTTCATTCAACGTCAAAATTCAAAATCATCACATGAAGGCTATATATATAGCTCTATATCTATATACCCTCCTAGCAGAAGGACCGCAAAAGTTCTGTACCTTTCTCTCTATACTACCAAAAGAAAGTGAAACTCATCTTCATCAAATATGAAATATCTTTTAAGGGTAGAGAGATATCTGGATAGATAAGAAATAATATAAATTGCTTCAATTATCGCTTAAAACTATTAGGCCACCTTTTTTTTTTTTCGGCTTGGAAATTTCACAGATTCATAGAGCACAGAAGCTACCTAGTTGTTCATCATCTGCACTAAAAAAGTAACATGCTTTTCGACTATGAAGTCATATTGTATAATATTTGCGTGCCCATTATTGAGCTAAAAAATGTCTTGTCACAATTACTGGACATGTTTTGGAACTACTTCTTTGATCCAATTGTTGTTGCATTAAAAATGTTTGCTCAGTAGATGGAACTGCTTTCGCTTCATTTTTAATTATTTCAATGAATGAATATGCAATTATGCATGACTTTTTTGTAAGAGTCATTCAGAAGTTAATTGAAGAAAGCAACCAAGAAATGGTGACTTCAACTGCAAAGCTTAAAAGTCTCTATTATGGCTAGTATCGACCAAATGTTATGTTTCCCCCCCACATATTTAATTCCTCCATAAATTAAATTCAATCCAAGAACAAAGGGCAAATGCTGTAGAGAGTTATAAACTCTCATAAATCAAATTTGACAGCTAGCATTTAATGGTTTTGTGTTTGCCAATTAACTTTCTTTAAACATTCATTTATAGAAGTAGTTGAATTTGAAACGTAGAGCAGGGTTGTTCGTCTGAGTGTAAAAGTGACGTGAGTTCACCTATGATTGTCTTATGTAAATATTTGCAAAACAAATTGGGACAAAAAATGTTAAGGATACAGCAGACTTGGCTTCTTGCCAAGTCATGAGTCATGACTCGTGACACCCCAAAAGTGGAGGGTCAATGATCTAGTTTTGACGAACATTGAGCCAAAAGCAAGAAAAAGATGGGGGAAAAAATGGGACATTCTAATCCGACAATTAAAAAACGCACGAAAATCCGACAATTTGTTCCCCGAAAAAAAAAAGAAAAAAAAGAATCCATCTCTTTAACATCCGTATCAATATCGAGTTCCGACGGATTCATGATAAACATTAACTACGTTATCCAAAATAAAGCTAGAAAACAAATAAATGGCTATTAATTAGTGGAGAGGAATCTGTGAAACTGCAACCATTGATAATGAGAGTGTGTACTATATATTCTCATCCCTCCGTCCCATAATTATTATCCAGTTTGAATTTTTATTTTTATTTCAACTAGACAATAATATCTTTTTTATATGTACCGGTGGGTTGAGGGAAGCCAGTTTTTCAATCACTTGTGGGATTTTTTCCTTTTATTATTATTAATTTTTTATTTTTTATTTTTGGATTCCAAATGGTGCCTTTTTGGTAGCCCCCTAAATTCAACCTGCTTGCCTGTAAAGTGACCTTTAAGAATCTTCGTTAAGGAAATCCTAGTCATTATGTTTTACCTCTAATGGCGTACTGTTTTTATGATGCTACTACTGATTCTTCTTTCTTGCCTTTCGGGAAATTTTTGATAGCTCGCGGCTTTTTTTTTTTTTTTTTTTCCTTCTCCTTTTTTCTTTTTAAAATATCGTGGAAGAAGAAAGCCGTGCATAAAGTCATCAAGAACTACTGAAAATAGTGAAGTGATTTTCCTTTTTTTTTTTTGGTTTAAGAATTAAGATATGGCAAAGTGTTCGCAGATCAAATGTAGGAAAAAAGTTTTCTTATACTCTCTCTTGTCCTTATTACAAGGTATTTTGATTTATCCGAAATTTCACTTAGAATGTCTTTTTAATTGAAATAAAAACCTTACAAACATTTTCTAATAATTAGGAGAACACAATGAACGTAAAAATATATTTTTAAGATTTTTTTCCCAATTAAAAAGATATCTTAAGTGAAACAAAATCAAAGTGCCATATAATAAGGACCGGAGTGAGTATATAATTGGGAAACCAAACGCTTAAATTACAAAAGAGACCTATCAAACTCTAAAATATCAATGATTTGGGGAAGAGGAGTTGACAAAATTGTAGCAAAAAATAAATTGAACTTCAAGTGGGCTGAGTGGCTAGCAACAAGCTCCTGGGCTTTTGAATTAATGAGCCTCTTAGATCCTGATCCATAGTCAGCCATAAGCAAACTGATCCACGGAATATGTGACATAGCAAACTCTTAAAAAAAAGGCCATTGGCCCCTCAATAGAGCTACAAGACAAAAGGCCTCTGTCCATGATAAGAGTTTAGACTTATTTGATTAGGATTGGATTACCAACCAAATTGCACGATTTATTGAACTCTTTATTATTATATCTATAAGGAAACGACTAATTCGGAAATGATGACGGACTAACCCTGATTATTTCTCCCTCCGGTCCTTATTATAAGTCATTTTAATTTCGTTATACGTTTCACCTAGAAAGTCTTTTTAATAGAAATAAAAATTTTAAAAATATTTCATAATAATTAAGAGAACACAACGAATATGAAAATATAATTTTAAGATTTTTTAATTAAAAAGACATTATAGGTTAAATCTAAGACGAAATCAAAATGCCTTATAATAAGGACCGGAAGGAGTATTAGAGTATGTGGTTTATTTTATTATTGTCAGTAATGTTAAACAGAAAGAGAAATAAAAATAGGTGCCATTTTATAAGCTTGCAAATGAGATTATCAAATCCTTGTGAATAGACTCGTGGAGATTTGTTGAGAAAGGATTGTTGGAAAATCACTTCATGAAGATATGTTCAATTCAAAACCTATTACTCCCTCCGTCCCATAATTATTGTCCAGTTTTACTAAAATGAAAGATTTTATTTTTTGTCAAACTTAACTATATTTTACCTTGAATAACCGAATATACCCCTACATAAGTAATTGTTTAACTACAAAAATTTTATAGATAATGTTTTTTACTAAGGACAAATGTGTAACTTGATCCATAAAAAGTCAAATTGGACAATAATTTTGGGACAAAATTTTTTGAGCAAAGTGGACAATAATTATGGGACGGAGGGAGTATTTAACTAAGAAAAGTTTGAAACTTTTAATTCATATGGAACTAGTATAAATGTTTTTTTTTAAAAAATTAGCTAGCTATTAAATTTTATTGTGAATATATTGATGCAGTAACGTGTTGGTGGGAAAGCATATACAATTAACACATGGTTGTTAATCATTAATTTTCAACAAACGTTTTTAAACACATTTATGTACTCTCCCGAAATAAAAACTCAATCAAGCATGGTACACCCTAACTGACATTTTTTTTTTTTTTTGGGTTTAGAACACTAAAAAAGACAAAAATATAAAACACTGAAATTAATATTACATTCATAAGTATCAGTCACGGATTTACGAAAAAATAATGAAAATTTTGCAGAAAATTTTAACAGAAAATGAATATAATCGTTCATATTTATCATTTCTTTAAAGATTAGGGTATAATTAAGATTTAGTAACCTCATTCTTGGTAAATTTTCTTATCAAATCACCACACTTCCTCTTTTAATCACACAGGAAAAAAAAAAAAAGGCATTCAGAAACAGAATCTGACAAAACTAATGTCTCCAAACAAATGCAACCTTTTTTATCCAAAAACTTCTGATAGATAAGTTAAGTTCAAAATCATACATCTCAGAAACTGTCCTACCCTCCAAATTGTAGATTCTTTATATATAATCCTCTCAGAATTTTCCCAATGTTGTTGAATCAATGAAATTCATAGTGTTTCGCACCTCACGATGATCCTCGCTGTTTCTACGTTGTTGTCATTATAGGCCATTTCGTAAAAAAAAAAAGAGATTGATAGGACACTGAAAGAAATCACACCCCATTTATAGTATTAAAAAAGTGTTACTTGCAATAAGCATGGATAAAGACTTTGCAAACAAATGAACATAATACTTAATTGGGTAGGCCAAATTGTTTGATTTGGAATCATCTGAACAATCAAAACGGGATTTGGTCATTTTTTATGGGTACAGAATATGCTCTGCAGTTGATGACAACTTATCAGACTCATCCAGATTAGGCATTAAGCGATACCTCCATTGGAACTATCCTGACCAAGTTTCTGTGGTTAATCACTTTTTCATACTATAAAATTCCAGACGAAAAAAACGAATTAGTACCCTACTTTTGAAGCTATAAATCAAATGCTTCAAAAGTCAAAACTAGATGGTTTAGTAGATTGCGTGTTATCTTCGTTGTATTGGATTTTCAATTTTCGCATTCTATCCTTAATCTTTTAAACATAGTCCATAGTCCACGAGGTTAAACCTGCAACCATTTCATTTATTCAAAGGGCTTGACGATGATGTCCATTGACAGTCAGTTAGAACTTAGAAGGGTTAAGGTTGTCATCCTCTGACAAAATCCACTATATAAAAAGGGGAGGAAAAGGGCAAAGCGAACGATGTATTTTGCAGCTGCCCTTTTAATCAGACCCAATACTATTGCGACTCACGTCCTCACGCAACGTAAACCCAGACCCAAACGGGTTCTTCTTACTGGACCAACATTGGTGTGGAACCATTGTCAGTTCAGTGGACCTTATTTTTCCAAGGATAAGGTATTCCGGTGCCCGACCAAAATGGCTGAGCCGATTAGAATCCGAGCTGGTAATGGTGGCGATGACGAAGGAGGCATCAGAGCTATTGAACAAGAACCTCTCGTTAATGGGTCGTCCTCCGATTCTGCTTTCAAGGGGCTCGAAGCTATTCTTAATAATCTGGTTCGTTCTTTCTTTAACCCTCTGTCTCAATCTCTTAAACATTCTATTGATTATGTATATATACTGGGAAAGGGTTCAATTAAAGAACCCTGTTTTCTTGTCTTTATTGACTGGGAACTTCATAATTTCTTGATTTTGAGCAAAAATGATGCCAATATTTTCTGTCTCTATGTGTTCTGATGATTGACTATTTTCTTGATTGGTTTACATTAACATGGAATTGATTGATTTTCAACCGCCAAGTTGTAGGCATTTGAAACCGAGAAAGTATTCTGATTTAGTTTCAGCCTTAACCTCAGGCGGTTTAAATGCTTATTGTGAAGGCACTCACTGGAAAGATTTTCTGATGCCTTTTACGCATTTTATGCAGAGTAAATGGGTAGTTGCTGTACTATTTGGTTTACTGATCCTCTGGAGACATGATGCTGAAGCACTGTGGGGTGCTACGGGGTCTGTTATAAATGCTGGCTTATCCACTGCATTGAAGAGAGTCTTTAACCAAGAAAGACCTGTTGCTAATTTGAGATCAGACCCCGGAATGCCATCTTCCCACGCCCAATCCATCTTCTACATCACTACTTATGCCGTTCTGTCAAGTAATTTCTCGAACCAATTGCTGCATTTACCCATTCTGTTTGGATATTATTCATTTGCATAGTGTAATAGCCTCAAAGACATGGGAGTTGGACTGAAGAGAAAGTTGCAAAACCTGTGTTTTATCTCCCATTAATGGCTTAACTTCGATCTGAGCATTTGACAATCGCTAGTAGACAAGATTTAAGATGAATTATTAGACCAAGTGAATCTTTAGGGTGAAGCAACAGGCCTCTCTTTCAGTTGTCTGAATTCCAAGAAATTTGGAAGAGTAAGGAAGAATCATTTGACTATGGAATGTAAATGCTTAGTTAAGCAACATTAACTCGCCTATACCTTTTTTGAGTTCCTAGACATTGAAGATCAAAGACTTCCATAATGTCATGCTTATGTGCATCATGTTGCAAGTTCATCTTTTGACGTTTGAATCAGAGAGTTTACTTCATGAAGCCTTGAATAATTTGAAGCATGAAATGGTTCTCTAAAAGTGAATGTGAATTACAGAAGTGCTTTTCTTTTGCAATTTGTATCTGTGCTCAGATGTCAGATGCAATGCTGGTTGTTGCTCTCCTCATGTTATGCCTTTCTGTAATCTTTTGTTGCAGTGATACAATGGTGGGGATTGAACGGATTTACAACCACAATTGGTGGATTTGTTTTTATAGTTGGTACTTATTTCGTAAGTATCCAGCACAAACTTGAAAGTAGTGATCAAAATCTTGAAAGTTTTGTCAAACATTGTAGTTGAAATGGTGTTTACTTATGTGCTTCTTCTGCTGCAGACCTGGCTTCGAGTCTCACAGAAACTTCATACAATCAGCCAAGTAGCCGTGGGTGCGTTGTTGGGAACGGTCTTCTGTGCGTTGTGGTTTTGGTCCTGGGGAGCCATTGTGCTAAAGGCATTTGTATCCAACGTGTGGGTTCAGATCCTAGTGACTTTGGGTGGAGCAGCATTTTGCGTGACATTTGTGTTATATGCTATTCGGTACTGGATAATGGAACCACTGACTGTGTATATATCTAGGAAAATTTGATGTAGTAACGTTGCATTATAACTCGTATTCTTTTGTGCATATAACACGGTCAGATGAATGAACTAACCCCATATTCGTTATGTTAGAAATTTGTGTATATGATGACTGTTTCATATCGCTGCAGTGATTTGAAAATGCATTCAAGGGTAATCTGGGAGGTTGCACATAAAGTAAGCACAAGGATTGAAAGATGTAAGAACTTGTCAATATCCAAGCTATGGCTGCAGGAATTCAAGAAACTCCACTTCAACCAAAGGGACATAGGAGTTGTTAAAAGCAGTTTAACTATTTGCGAAACACAAACTTCTAAGAATGCGTTCCACAACAGCTTGCTCTAATTTTATGATGTGGGCTAAGGCAAAGCTTCAGAAACTTTAGCTCTCTCGCAATGTGCAGTTAAAATTTGTATAGCTTCATTATTAGTTTGTTCATGGTTCAATGGTATGGGGCGTTCAGATGTTCTGCCCGCGAGGGCTGGAGGTTGGAAACAAGGAAAAGCGTGTTTTTTTTCGGTTGATAAGAATACGTCGATGTAAACTCCATTTTACTCCCAAGTCTCGTCTATTTTGAAAAATAACAAAATTGATGATTTTACATTGTTTGCATCCACAATAAACATTTTTGAAATATCGATTCTCGACAAACATTAAAGTCAAACTCAAGATTCCCCACCAAAGGCGTGGTAAGAGTCTTCTGAGTTCAAAGTCCAAACCAAAGGCTATATAGTATAGTACCAGACTTTGGTGCTGATTCCGTCAGTCACGCCTTCTGAACAGTTCAACAAATAGAAACACAAAGCCATCAAAGAACAAAAAGAAGATACTGTAATAAAACAACATTTTGCTCTAAAATCATATTCTATTGCACCTTGGTTCTCCTAGGAACCGAGTGAAGTTGTCGAATTTAAACTGCTCGACCCACTAAGATGAACCAAGAGTAGCAAACTAGAAGATAGTATTAAATGGTACTACAAATATTTTGTAGACTGTCTTGAATTAGTAGTAGAAATAATCCTTCCTCCTGGATGAACACCCTCCATTCATCTCTAAGAGACTTTCTACTTCAACACACTCACAAAAACATTAGAATTAAAAAAACACTGAGGCTTTCATGAATATGTATGCCAATAATGGATGCTGCAATGAATCAGTTCCCAATACGCCTCCCTTTGTTCCTGTCAATCCAGGGTGACCTCCTAGCATCCCTCCATCTCTTCCACCTCTCCACATTTCTGAGCCTGGTGAATATCTTCTGCAGCAGATGAAGCTTGTAAGACTGTTGGGCAATCACATTGGCTGTAGAACTACCCTCACTCAAAATTATCTCATATCCATCCTTCATATTATCCATTCCTTCAGTTAGTAGCTGCCAGAACAGGGCTCCGGCCGCCGGTCCGCCGTGTTTCGCCGATGAGTATATCTGGAAATACACGTCGTTGAACAAGGCATCTCTCTTGTAGCTGTTGAAACCGCTGTCTTTCCACGACTTCCCGAATTCTCCCACCATGATAGGCTTTCCTATCATGTGTTGAGCATCTTGAAAATGTGCGCCCAGCCATTGATTCATGAATGAGATTTGAGTTTGATCATCCGAGCTGGATAACCTAATAATCACAGCAACAGATGTTTCATTATTAAGAAATAATCACCCTTTACCAGTTTAACAGAAGTGACATAAGGATTTTACCAGACGTCTGGATATGAATGTACAGTAGCAAAATCGATCCAAGGGATGCGATTGTTAGCAACAAAATCAGTTCCTACGCCATATCCAGGATTTAGTTGTGTCCTCTGAGGAGTTGATGGACCATAGAAACCTTCCAGTCCGGCCTCTAATAAATGATTTCTGTCTATTGATTTTACATAAGAAGCCATTTCCGCTATCCAGGCCTACCACCAGACAAGAACCAGGAACCAAGTTTTTTTAGTTTGGAACTATGGAAAATATATAGAAGCATTATATATATATATACTCCTGCAAAGACTAAAAGGGTAGAAACCTGGATAGTCCTTCCTGAAGGATCTGAAGTGCATCTGGGCTCATTCATTAGCTCCCATGCCATGATAGTGGGGTCATTCTTGTAAGCAATTCCAGTGAATGTGTTGTATCTATTGAGAACCGTCTGCACACAAATGTCTCCATCTCAAATTCAACAATGAAACAAAGAAGAAGCTTCACTTTTTGAACAAAATAAAACCATTTTCATATCTGAAGTAATACAAACTCAAAAAGAATGGAAATGGCAAAAATGCTATTCCACTTACTCTGATATGATTCTTGTAGAATCCCCTGGTCACCGAATTCCTGAAAAAGTCATCCTCAGATGTCAAGTATTGCCCTCGACTTCTAGCCCAGTCCACATACTGTTTCTTGCCTCCAAAATTTTCATAGTTATTTGCCAAACTTAATATAAGCTTAATTCCGTATCTTCTGGCCTCTGCTACAACAAAATCCAACCCCTACAAACATGCAATAAAGTCTATAACTTAGAACAGAAAATCACTAAACCAAAAAGTTTAGCAACACAAATTTATGTGGCAGAAACCTTGAAAGCTTCCTCATTGTAAGCCCCAGGAGCATACTGCAGAGCTCTGTATCCACCATCATTAAAAGCCCAAGTTCTGGCAACAGTAAGGCCATGGCTGGAGGCTTGTCTAAATGCTTCAGAAATTCTGGATCTTTGAGAAGGGTCAGTAGCCACATACATCAACCAGTAGGCATTGAAGCCATTGGCATAATAAGGACTACCATTCAACTGAAAATGGATTCCTCTGGTCCTGACAAACCCATCCCCTGCCTCAACCTGGACAGTAAATCCCTGTTCTTGAATCAAAAAGACAAGAAACAGGACAAATGCAAAATGCTTCATTTCAGTTCTCTCTCTGTTTTTTTTTTCTTTTTGGTTCTCAATGTGGGAGAGAGGAGGGAAAATTTCTTGTTTCCCGTCTTGTTTATGGTTGAATTAACAGGACAAACAAGAAAATATAAAAAGGAAGAAACTTCTAGAGAAGGAAAGCAAGATAATGTGGAGTGTCGGAAGATTTTATTCGTTCTAGAGGGAAACCAAAGTTATTGTCCCACTGATGCTGCTACAAAAACTAAAAAAGAGGGAAGAAACTGTCACTGTCATCAATGTAAAATGAATAATGGTGAATCTTTTTATGGAATATACACGTACTTATTTAATTAGTTGAGCTTCTTGATCAACTTTAATTTGCGCCGGGCTGAACGGATGAATTACAGTTTTAGAATCACAGTAAAAGCCAGCTTTGGTGGTTGCACTTAAATCCTAAGAAAAAGATTTCTAATATTTTTGATACAATTTTTCAACTCAATATTAACTAGTACTCACTTTGTCTCAAAATTATTATTCGTTCTGAGAATTTCATTTTTAGTATAATTTGAACAAGAAATGAAAATCCAAATTAGATAATAATTATGGGACGGAGGGAGTATATTTCTTTTAGTTGCATGAATTACAATCTCATTTTTATAGTGAATTAGTAGAGGACGATGGGTGGTAGCATTTTGTGATGCAGCTAAAAACACTTGTGCAAAAAAAAAAAAAGGCAATTTGATGACATCCACCATATTAGGTGAGCAAATTTGAAGGAAAGGTGAAAAAGCTTAAAAAGTGGGTAAAGAAGAAAGTAGAAAAGAGTGGAATTAATTGCCACTTCCGACAAGGGGATGATGAATGGGTGGGCATTCGGTCATTTGGCAATTCGCATTGGGGGAAATGAACACCATTATTTAGGTGATTTTTATTTTTTTTTTTCTCCATTCCATATAGGAGTAGTATTTTTTTTTTCCCCTTTTTCGTGGGAAAGGAAAAGCATGAAGATGAAGATGAACCCCGGGAAAATCATGAATTAAAACAAAATTTTAGGCTGGGTGGCCCAGTAGAATGGCCAAAGTATCAGAATCTCTCCCAGATTTTACCAGTATCATTTTACCACCCCCTTCCCATAGGAATGAATATTATAGGATCAGTCCTTCCTTCAATTTTGTGGCCTGGGTTCACAATTCATCATGCAATCTAATTCCGGTGGTCAAGAAATTGGCACAACGGCAAAGTACACTAACCAGGATGTGGGGTTGATTGATTCCCCATGTGATTCAGAGATAGCATTCTAATTTGCCCTTCATTTTCGTTTTCGGGGAAATGGGGAGGGTGTTTGAACACCAGGATGTGGAGTATTTGTTTACCTCCACCCCCACCAGTGAACACTGAACACACAAAATGCCATTGTCCCCCCCCATGTGATTTCATTAAATTCAGCATTTTCACCAGCTAGTTTATTTACCAATCTAACGTTTAAAATCGAGTATTTCATTGATTTGTAGTTTCATGAACGGCCAAAGTTACGTAAAGTACTCATTCCATTCCACAAAAATAAACTACTTTATAATATGTTAATTTGTACTGTCTTCCTTCCGTCTCATAGTTATTGTTCAGTTTGAGTTTTTATTTAGTTCAAATTATACTAAAAATGAAATATCAAAATGGACAATAATTTTGAGATTTTTAAGTATGGTTCACAAATTTATAATGCGACCTATTTTTATTTTTTTTTCAGAAGATGCAAGCATCACTTTATTTCAAGATTGTACTATATCAATAGAGTTAAAACAATCGATTTAATAACAATAAATATACTATACCGAGAATGAAGTGGCACGTAACTCTTCTTTCCTCCGAATAAGTTCCGGATCGAAGGAGTAACACATTTGATGAGATATTTCTGAACTCAGAACCAAGTTCATGACTACAAAAAATATGTGATCCCCACAAATTTCAAGATTAGAGATAAGAGTTTGTGGTGATTTATGAAATGAAATATAATACACAATCAATCAGGTGGTTCGTGTTTAGTCGGGATCAAACAATATAGTACTCCTACTACTATCTTGATTTATTTATTTATTTTTTTTGTTCTTTGAAATTGATGGTGGCGCTGGAAGGAAGTAGTAGCACCACCCAATTTCTTGGGACAGATGGGCTTACTGCAATGTCCGGGAGCTGCGCCACCAAAAAGATTGATTCATCTCCCCCAATTTAAGTCACCTGATTCACACGTGTCCCACTCCCCCCAATATGGACCCCCTCCTATCGACATTGTCATCTTCTTCATCCCTACACTCGCCCAACCTAACCGACGAAAATCCCCCCCTCCCTCTAAAATCATAGTACTACTGAAAAATTTCACTGTCGGTACATCAATCTCCAACACTTTCTTGTGTCCTATATTAGTCATCGTCTTTGGATTGAGGTATGTTTACAATAACAAGTTAGTGATTTCATGAGTTCTTTCCCTTAACTTTTACCAACACCAAGGTTTTTTTTTTGTTTTTTTTTCACAATGAGTGTGGCTTGATCTCCGGCGGATTATATTGGTGGACCGATTCCAAAGGCTTCAAAAAGCCCTCCGCGATTGATGGTTAAAAGTGGTCAAAACAAAAAAAAAAAAAAAGAGAAGAAAAGAGGAAACTGAAAACCCCTGGGAAATTAAAGCTTGAGAAAATGGGGATAAAAAGCCCATCTCCATCCAGAATTAAGATTTATATAACCACAAAAGCGTTCAACGTGAGATAATCCTGCTACATAGATGATCAAATAAATGGTAGTCCGTAAAGTAAAAGCTTTCATTTTGTGGTACAAATTCCATCCCGCGGCAGATTACCGGAGTTCATATCCTAAAACCCTAAGCAGGTGATTTTCAATAGATTTCCTGGATCAAAAGCAAATCTGACTAAGATTTTGGGTAGGAGCAGTGCTTTTACCATCCCACTCATGCAAATACATTTTGCCCTATTTGCAGTTAAATTATGTACACAAGCATTTTTAGTCTACCGACCATCTTCAATGCATGAGCCAACAACTATCAGAGCACCTACCGAAGCCACTGCAGCCTACTAATCCCCTGCAAAAAGATCTCGTCTTTACGACGTTTTGATCAAGGCAATCTCACATCACAATACCTGTATATTCCCTGTATAGCCATAGTGCCTAAGCAGCCCTTCATTTTGCCTCCAGTTCTCTTTTACCTTCACTTCAACCTGCGTCATTCCCAAATGACTTGAGAATTGTTTTTCCTATTTCATAACCTGAACTAATGCAGAACTTTGACTTTTCTTTTTCTCAGCCTGTGATTTTTGTTTTTTACAGGAAGCGGGTGGGGAATTTACCTAGACCATTGCAAATTTCTCATAATGCAGAGATTAAAAGAAAATAGTGAATTAAGTACCTCTAGGAAGACTTTCTTCTGCAAGAAATCTTCTATATCTAGCCGGGCAGCAGTTGCAAGCAGCTTTAAAGCTTTTCCCTCCTGGACAAATTATTGATAAGCTTTAGAAGAATACTTATATATTCAAATGCAGCGGACTTTGAAGCCCAGCCATCTGGTTACAGTCAGGAATCATGTAAAGTTTACAAATAACTACCTACATACTGCAAATGTTTCGTAACCAAACAAAGAGACGTGAAAAGGTCCTACGATGAATGAAAACTGAAAATAAGAAGTGAAGTGAATGCAGATCAAAGGAATTACTCTCCAGTTTAGCACTTTAAACTTCCTGTAATATTAGCAATTTTCATAACTACGGAAGGCAACTGTTGAACTAGATACCAAGTCAACCAAGTTACTTTTTCAGAGACAACAAAGCACCAGTAGGCAAGCACTATCAAATAGGAAAGATAAAACATAACATGGCAAAGCTAAATAACTAATAGAAAATGAGAAAAACTCAGCAAGCATACGTTACTTATTTATGTAATAAAACTAATGGGAAGAATCATATTACCTTTCCAATGAGGATGGCCTTTTGAGTTTCTTTCTCCACAACTACTTCAACTTGAATAAAATCTTTTGCATCTGGTCTAGTTTTGTAGCTAACAACATTAACCTGTAGAGTTGACAGAATGAATAGTTATAGTTGGTACCATAAAGCTTCAAGTGTTGAGTAATAGCTGTTCAGTCAAGCTTCAACTAAAACAAATAGAAGAGGAAAGATCATCCAGAGAGAAAAACTGGTCACAATTCATAGATTATTTTGAGACAGATATGAAAACTACCTGGCATGCATAAGGAACTTCATTGCGGTACTGCATGAAGATCTTTTCCCTAACAATTTCAGCCACGAAAAACCTCTCCGGGTGCTCACTTGCAATATCCTGAGGAAATAGGTTTTTCAGTAGAACCAATTCTATGATTCCAGAATCTAAGTAAACAAGTTGAAAGTACACAAAAGTGAATTCATTGTAAATTCTGAATTCACCAATTCAGTCAGTGCATTAACTTTGAGTTTCTAGTTTTGCATAACAATGATCAACGATAAACAATCCCAACTACTTGCAGCCATCATTATGTAGCTCAGGCAGATACATATTCTTATACTTCGAATCTGAAGTAAAATTGTACTGATGGGCCAACATGGAAGATAATCTAGTGAATTATAAGCCATCATTATGTAGCTCATGCAGATACATATTCTTATACTTCGAATCTGAAGTGGAATTGTACTGATGGGCCAACATGGAAGCTAATCTAGTGAATTATAAGATACACAAGTTGTTTGAGAAAAGAAAGAAAGATAGCATCGTATAAAACCAGTAATGAATAATACAGATAAAATCCGAACCTTAGGATAAAGAGCCGGACCGCAAGGAAGTTTTGATAATATCCAGTCCTTTACATCATCCACTCCATGACCGTATTTAGCACTCACAGGAATGACCTCATCAACATCAGTAAATTTCTCGTACCACTGCAAGATAAATGATTTAGAATCTAGCAGCACATGTAGCTATGGTACGACTTGAGAATGCACGAAATAAAAACTAAGACTGATGCAGATGAAAGGATCGTTATACCTCAAGTTTCTTTGCTATTTCACCCGGTTTGATCTTATCTTTCTTATTCAGAACCAACAAAATGGGCACTTTGTCCTTGAGGTTGCAAACACCCTCTTCCAGCACTTCATCAATCTGAGGGAAACAGGAAATGAAGCTAAGTGGGAAAAAGATATCCAAAAGTTAGTTAACTATAAGTAATACCTTTTGGGGCGGCTTACATGCATCAACAACTACCAGCACACAGTCTGCATTTATGGCAGCACTACGCACGTTATTCATCATCATGGCATCCAACTTATGCATCTTCTTCTCAATAACACCTGGTGTGTCATACAGTATCATCTGCAAGTAAACATGTGAGCTTGAGTAACATCATAAGTAGTCTCCCTTCTAGAAAGAAAAGCAGAAGTGGTGTTCATTCTTTCCTAGCAAATGATTCTTCATCAAAATTCCGAGTGAAAGTCACTTCCAAATGCCAACTTAAAACAGTATTATTATGGTAACAACTCCCTTGCATCAGATTATTTGCACCATGAAATTCTATAAGCCCCCAATTTAGTTTATTTTTCAACAATTCATGCACAGATGGGAATGCTTCACGAATCCTTGTGACAATAAAATCAGTATAATCATCTAGCATTTCAAATCTATAAAATTTCCCGCCAATAAAGAATAAAGATCCAATGAGTCTCAAATGAAGGTGAGGTAAAATTGGAGTAACCACACAACAGACAAACGCCATCCAAATTTTGGGAAGAAAATTTTGAAACCTGATAATCTTCGCCCGAACATATACCAAGGATGCGATGCCTGGTAGTTTGAGGCTTATCTGTGACAATGGAAAGCTTTTGCCCAACCATTTGATTCGAAAGGGTGCTTTTGCCCACATTGGGCTTCCCAACCACCGCCACAAATCCTGTGTGTTGGCAGTGACGTCCATTAGTCCAAGGTCTCAAACTTCATCCAATCAATAAGAATCAAAATATTATAATGCAATGATCATTAAAGTAAACCCCACACAGCTGAATAACTTTTCCAAGGCTGAATTATACAGACTTACCACTACGATGGCCAGTGACATCAGTAGCAAAATCCAGCTCCTCTAACTCGTAATCATCAAGCAGAGCCATATTCCTGTCGGGCTTTTCACTAAGAGACAACAAAGATAGAGATGCTTCATCTTCAATAGATACTTCTTCGTCTTCATGTAAAGACCCCATCTTTGAACTTATTGAGGACATATAGTCATACTCTTCATCATAACCTTGTTCCTCTAGTACTTGGCTTTCAGCCACCAAAACTTCACCATCCCGAAGCTTGACACCAACCCACTTGCCTTCATTCGCGGAATTCGTACTCTGCCGCTTCTTAAAAGCTTTTGGAATTGAATTTCTTCTGGGTCGATTAAGGGAGAGAGCATCGTGATGACTCTGGGAGAGTTTCTGGAAATGAGGATAATAACAGCAGCTGGAGAAGCAGTAGAGAAGCGGATGATTTCGGGGTGGAGAAATGTGGGATATATGAAGGAAAAGCCCCTCCAATTCCATGCGAGTGCGTGTGTGTGTGTGTGTGTGTGAAGGGATGGGAGTAAGGAACACTATCTTCTTCTATTCCCCCATTTTATCCTAATCTCTCATAAAACACTCTAATTTTTCCGATTAACAAATTTGGGATTATTCCCAAACCCAATATCTAATTAGTTCTGCTTCCTAATTCCGGTTCCAATTCTAGGGATTTCACAAAATATCCGCCACGTCAGCACTAAGTGTTAGTGGGGACCCACATGCCACCTATATTAGACTATCTTCATCTAAGTCCTTAATTTCTTTCCCTTCACGTTCAAAACTCCATTGTTCAAGACCTTCCATTGATAACATTCTTAGCAGACCAGATTTCCTCTCATACTGGGATTAGTGGGTGTTTTTCAGTTTTGCTACTTGTAGCTGCAATAATGTCATACGGTTGTTGGTCTTTGCCTGCTGTTATTCTTGCATGTTTAATTGGTTACACGGTAATGTATCATACGCATCTGACAATTATATTTTTTATCCTAAACAGCTTGGCCATTTGTAATTTGAAAGATAGTTTCATGATTATTCACCGTAGTCTCCTTCTGGCCATATCTCGGTAATTTCAGAGCATCATCCTGTTGGCAGCATAGCATGAATGTATGTATTATTATGGGCTGAGTTACTGCATCGTGCATGGTTCTCCAGACCGTATGTGGAACCTAAGGATTGCCAAAACCTGTGTCTTCGCTGATGTAAACGTCTTCAATGAAAAGTATCTGATTGATTTTTCCTTAACTTCAATGAGCTCTTTTGCTGGGTGGTTATACCTGAAAACAATTTGTTATGCAAGCAGTCTAATCTAAAGACAATATAAATATTTCTCAGAAGAAACAGAGAATTTCGGGAACGCTTTGGCTGCTGTATTACGTGTGATAACTTGTTTAGTATTAAAGTTTCAGCTTTTAAGCAATTTTCGTACTGCCAGCTAAAACCACAACTGAGCACAAAAATTTCTTTAAAGGACCTATACATTTCCTGCAAAACCGGAATAATATGGGAGCAAACTACATGTTAAATATGTTTTGTATTCACAATTTGACATATTTGACCACCCCTTGTTCCTTGTGGCAACTGTACCATCGCATAAAGCGCATTTGAACTCAATGAGATGATTCAGAGTCACCCTCGGACGCATGAGCCAAACTGGCGGAAGAATGCCCTTTACCACCTGGGAAATAGGACCACGCTAAGACAGCAGCACCAAGGGTCACAGCGGTAGCAACTGATCCCCAGATCCACCTCTGCCTTCTCTTCTTCATTTGCCTAAGGCGCCTTGAAGACTCTAAACAAAGGCAAATCAAAGGAGGTTTTAATAACACCTTTTGGCAAAATAGCCTCAAAATAAACATACATCAATGACCTTGGAGGACTGAAGGATACAGAAAATTAGTATGAAGAGAAAAACAGAAACAAGTTGCCTCCATCATAAAAACCAATTTAGATAAAAAATAACTTAGGGAAGAACTTTTTCAGCGCCATATGATACATCAGGGAAGAGTGTTTGTGCTACTATATATCAGGCAAATATAGGAGAACTGCAAAAGTTGCAATCTACTGCCCCCATAAAAACCATTGCCTTACACCAATCCATTTCATCAATGAGAGATATCAGGCAAGTTCAACGCGTATGCTCGAATATGCAAGTAGCCCTTCGCAAGAAAGGCAACTATGCTCAAGGAATCAATTTAAGCAGTTACATTTCCTAAACAAGGATAATGGCGGGCAATGTTTTCCTTCATCCCAGAGAATTACATCCTCCAAACATGATTTAATTAATTAAACATGATGCAATACCACAATTCAATCATGGCAAAAATTTTAACTTTTAAGTTCCAAGCAACTGGAAGCTAATATTCAACAACCCACAACAGAAACATATCTAAACTACCATCGTCCACTCATTATTCTTTCCCAAAAAAATAAAAAATGCTATCATGTAAAGTTATATAAATTTACAAAATGCTCAACGTGGCATAAAATGCTTAGAAACTAACTGCACACAAGTAAAGCCAAAAGCAAATTATGATATCCATTCAGAAAATAGAACCAAACAGCATATTATGCTTTTCCCGGAGGGAAAAAAACATAACCATCAAAGGCAATCTTTTATGCTAGGAAAAAGGACATATAGCTGTCAAAGGTGCTTACCTATGGTCTCCTGATTCCTCTGAGACATCTCCCGGTTCACAGCTTCATAGTAATGTAGCCTGTCTAACAATCGAGCAATCTCAAAGTTCTTCAACTCCATTTGAGCCTCCATCTCTGCCTCAACCTCAGCTTTTGCAGTTCCTCTTCCAATTGAATTTGAGACAAACCGCACAACCTCCATTTGTAAGGAAAGGTCTTCAGTAGACTCATTCAATGGTTCGTCCTTGGAATCAGCAACGAGATCTGCAGGCACAGTCAACCCTACAATGGACAATTCTTCTCGAATCTTCTGCCACTGAGCTCTGGTGCTTCGTAATGTTTCTTCTGCTTGCTTTCTTTTTTCTATCTCCGTCATCAAACTCAACCTTATTTCGCGTAGTTCAGCTTCAATGTCTGGCACAGGAGGCTGGGGACCATTCTCAGAGGATAATTCTGAAGAAGGAGATGCAGCTTAGGAACTAAAATAACCAAGTATAAGCGAAAACATGGTATAATGACTAAACCTAATTGTAACCATTATGTGGTCATAGCTTCACACGATCTTCCAACCAGTGAACATGTTGACTGGATGATACCAAAAATGAATTGTACAAACAATAGCTTAACATGTTAATATAACTGAAGAAGAAAAACCTAAACCAAGTGGCCTAACTATAAGTGCCATATGGTTATGGACAACTCCCAGAAAAGACTTGAAGCTAAGCAAAATACCTTCCCATGCATCATAGAATTCCGCCAATGGGGTTGCTACATATAGAGATCGCTCTCCGACATTAGTCTCACTCTCAGCATTGCTCTTGACACTCATTGATTCTTGAGGGTCACAGAAATCATCAGCTTCAGGGTCTCGTTGGAAACTAAATGTGACAGACTTAGAGGCACCATTTTCAGCACTTAAACCATTAGACAACCCATTGATTCTGAATTCCCCATCAGCGTCAGCATCAAAACTCTTGTCCCAGAAAGGGTCCCGAGTGGTAGTAGAAACATCTTTTACATTATCAGCAATCTCCTCTGGGTGTCCATTAGTTGCTTCTTCAATCTCATTATCAACATCTTTTACATTATCCAACTTCTCTTCATCCGAAGCTCGGTTGCGGATTGCAACATCATCCTCGGAGTAGCTCTTGAGAAGACGAGGACCACGCCGCTTGTGATTGATGATGTAAGGCGAAGGGGGAAAGGAAGATGGAGAATCGGGAAGAGGGGTTGGCTCAGGAGTGGCATACAATGCAGGAGATATCTGGGTCCAATGATGCTTCCTATCGATAGTCACAGCTGCTGTACCATTCCTCTGTTCCAACTTCCCATTTGGCACGCTAACGGCCTTTTCTAGCTTAGTCCTGGGAACAGTAGTTCCTCTATCAAATGTGGAATTAGTTCCTCTATCAAATGTGGAATTAGGAGAACTATTACTCCGGTCAAGTTTCTGATCAGAACCCTTATATCCTGCCATAGTCTTTTGGGTTCCTGCTTCTATTAGTCTATCCAAAGCTATAGCAGTAAACGTCGGCATGATTTTAGAACATCAACAACCTGTCCAAAGGGCAAAAAATAACCCTTCAATATACAGTACAAAAAAAAAAAAAATCCACGAACAGCTGATCTATGGCTTTACAGACAACCCAGAAAAATAGTAGAGACTAAACCCCCAAACCAACTGGAACACAAGACAAAAGCCCAGGAAATTTTAAGAAATTACGAAATGATAGAATTTTAAGAGATGACTCACTAATGGGTTTCCTTACGTCTAGAAAACTCCAGAGTTTGTAGCTCCGGAAGAAAAGACAGAGTAACAGTGAAATTAAGCAAATCAACAGTATCAAAAAAAATGTCAAGTTAGTCAAAAAAGTTGGTGGAACATAGAGACAAACTAATAAATCTAGTCTGGTAAATAAACAATTAAACAAACAGCCCATCTAGAATAAACCCTTTTAATTTGCCAGTTTCTAAGACCAACATAAATCCATGTAATTGGAAATCCAAAACATACAAAACGAAATCCAATTAGCGGATGCGGAAAAAACTAAAAAACAAAAGTACAGGAGAGGACTTACCAGAAGAACAAACCCTACAGCGAAGAAGAGATGTGGAGGCGGGGACGGAGAGGAATGGGGAGAAAATGGAGACGAATCCCGATGCCGATGATATTAATGGACAAAAAAACACTAACGACATGATATAAAGCTATAAGCGTGAAGAAAAAGGAATATCACGCCAAATTTTGTACAGTACTAACTGGAACGAGAATCAATCAAAATCAAAACGGAGGAACAACGCGAAGATGATGATGATGGGTCATGGGAGAGAAATGGGAAAAAAAACTAAGGGGGAAAAAAGGGTTTGGCGTGGGAGTGCGTGAGCTGACCACGTTTTGGTCTCCAGAATTAAATTTTATTATCTGAAAAACCTAATTAACGAAGAAAAAAAAGAAAAAGAGGGATGGAATGAAATCATGGTGATTTTTCTCATGACCTTTTCTTCCCTAACCTTTGGGAACAAGATATCATATCCCCCCAGCCCCTAAAAGAAAAAGGAAAAAAAAAAAAAAGAAATCACATGTTCCCCTTCCCCACGCCACCCAATTCTTTCTTCTTGTGATGATGAGATTGAGATTTGTTTTGTAATATTTGTCATCGCCCTAAAAACAACCTAAAATCTCCCTTGATAGTGACCCCCCAAATTTTGGGGGTATTTTTTAGGACGACATTTGTTGTGTTGTAAACTTTGGTAAGGTCCAGTGCGTGACTGTGTGTGCGCGCGCGCGGGCCTTTTCGGTCTATCTTCAATTGTTGGGCGCAGGTCGTCTGACTCCCTCGAACCGCAAACGTAATTTTTGCCTCGAATGATCGAATCTACTTTGTATGAGACTCTTCTTCATGAGGTGCTCATTTTTATGTTGAATTTTGCTCTTTATTAGATTTCTAGATACTCCTCTCTCGAATTGCATTTTATTTTTGGTATAATAATAACAAAACATTGTGGTATTAGATATATACTCCACCCGTTTTTCCCGTTCTAGAATAATTGTCTGGGATTTTCATTTCTTGAGTATGATAAAGTATAGATATATATTTACCGTCTTTGAATGATTGCTTACTAAAAAATAAAACTTCTGAGTATTACATTCATCTTGAGAGCGTGCATATACTAGTAGTAAGTAGTAATCAACCTATTCATTTTGTGTGGGTTGACTTTCTTAAAACCCATTTTCTTTTCGAAAAAAGAATGTCACAATATTTCAATTTCAAGGGCCTCAATTCCAATTGGCCCGCTGCGGATGGTGAGACCGTCCTATCCAATTTACTTGATCTAACTGAGAAAATGGTCCTACTAGACCTTCGGTTCATTGGGCTAATAAGAGAGGACTATTCCAAATATTTTCCTCCCAGCAGAGCAACTTTAATTTAATGGGAGAACCAGACAATCATGGGCAACATTATCTGTTAGTGTCTCATTTTACCTTTTGCGAACAAAAAAAAATTATTGGTGATGAAAAATTCAAAGATAAAAACTACCGATATAGTAAAAGTAGGGAGCGGGAGTTAGTAATGTTCTTGAATTAGTCCAAAGGGTGGAAAACTTCGATGTAGTGTTTGGTGAAATGGACTTTATACAAATTTCCCCTAACAATATAAAGTATTCCTTCCGTCACATAATATTGTCCAGTTTGGGTTTTCATTTTTAGTTCAAATTGTACTAAAAGTGAAATCTCAAATTGGACAATAATTTTGGGATACTGAGAGTACTATAAAGCAGTACAAGACATTTTAGACATTTGTAGCGAGGAATGCGGTCTAATATAATTGGAACCTTTCTTCTGAATGGGTTCAACTGTGACATCAGGGATCGTAATTCAAAACTTTTTTGCGGCATGAAAAAATCATTCAAATTGACATCAATGTTTTCATGAGGATATCGGGGCTTTCTGAGTGGAACCCAGAATTACTGGACATTTTTAACTGCGTTGGTTGACGCAGTTGCCTAATATTTGCAAGGTAGCGTTAACCATCTTGGTGTTGGCAATTGGCAATATATTCTGACTATCATTTCAGACTCTGTTTTACCTCATCAACTGTTGTAGGAATTTGCTTAGACCAGCTTCTTCTAAACAGTTATTATATGATGGGTTTGATTTCCGGAATTTGCCTAATCCGATCAAGCTGTTTTACACCTCCAACATGCAATTTTTCATTGTTCTATCTGCATTTGTATCGAACCTCTGTATTTCATCTCCCAGTTGCTTCACATCAAGTTTAATAACAATCATTAAAAATATCTTAGTTTGTCCATTAGGAAAGTGGCTTATTATTACTTGACTCCAACACAATCATTAGCCAATCCTTTCCCAAGCTCTGTTTTAACTTTATATATAACATTCATGCTCGCAGCATGTGCTCTGTTCTCAAGAACTTGGATTTAGCATCTTTCTGTTTGGGGGTTTAGCATCTTTTTAGAATTAGATACGTTACATTTATTTATTCCTTTTTAGTACTACTTGTTTATGTTAGTGCTTTTGAGATATGGCAACCTAACATAATTCTTATGTTAGGACGAAAACAGTAGCCAAACACTTGGGGAAACATCATCATCATCATATATTTATTTGCCATGGCGTTCTAAATTTTAAACCAGACACGGCTAAATTACACAACAAACGACATTTCCTGAGGCCACAAATAAAATAACCCAAACGAAATGCAAATATAACAGATAACATGGATTATTTTTAACTATTAATTATTATTCCTGCTGTGTAGATGTAAACAAGCAGTTGACGAATTACATTTCAAGGGCAGTTCCAAAAAAATTTTATGATGATCCATAATCTCTATAGTTTTTTATGTTTCACAAAGGTGAATATAAACTACTATGTACTTTTAAACTACAGGCATGTTTCCATTGGTGGGTAAGATACCTCCTTCCTTGAGATATTCCAAGTATCTGGAGACCTCTGGCTTTGCAGTTGCCTTCTGCCTTAACCTGGGATGAAACAGAGTGAATATGGGATGCACCTTGCTCACCTTCTTCGCCTTCTTCTCAAATTTTTTCTCTTCACGAGTTGGGCCAGATTCCAAATGCTTTGTTGATGAAGTACTAAACAATTTCCCAGCAGGCACAGTTCTGGCCCTCATCAGTTTGGGGTCCAAAAATGGATCAGTGCTGCTTTCATGATACTCATCCCTCAACTTTTCATACCCTCTGCCATTTCTTGTGCTCAAAGCTCTCAACATGATGATCTTTCTTCTAGCTGACTAAGGAGAAAGAATACTTAGAAGCAGAAGAAGAAGAAGGTTTTGGAAGATATCCTTTTTAGTTTGAGAAGCAATTTGGTTGGGTGTATATTAATTTTGAAACTTCCAAGTTCCAACCCAGGAAAAAGTAGGTAATTGGAGATATATGGCTGCTGGGCGTTTGATAACGTTGGGCAGATGTTCGTTGAATCTTTAATTATTTACACAAAAATGTTGGACTTTTTTGATCTGAGGGTTGGAAAATAATTGCCAAAAAAGTCATTTACGCATGCTTTAGCTGACTTTCTAGTTTAAATAGGCAATAGCTAAGGGGCAATTGTCACCCCCAACAATTATGCAACTTCGTGGGATTTTTTTTTTCTTGGTGAATTTTGACGTTCATTATTTCGTAATAAATATATTGTAGACAGAGAGTAGATCATCGTCCTTCTTATTTCTTTTCTTCTTCCTTTTTTTTTTTTTTAATTTTTGTGAACAAATTGTCGTAGTGATTCACTATTATTAGTGGTTTTTGTTCGCGTATTACACATGTGGAATAACATATTTCCTCGATTGTTTAATCTGATTATAATAATAGAGTTAGTTGGTATGAACCAGCAAACACCTGATCCAAGTAGTAAAATTAATTGGGCCAGCTTAATTATGACCCGAGTTTGAGCTATGACCCGGATTCAAACCTGGGCATGAACATACAGTAGTGATTAAAATATTTTTAAGAGAGTTTTGCCTTCCGAAAGGGACTTACCCGATTCAAATCCGAATTAGTCGGAGCAATGATTTCAGACACCGGATACGTGACAATTCTAAAGCACGTATTAAATAAACGCAAGACAAGGATGGCATTCAAAAGTTGAACGGTCAATATATATATATATATATATATATATATATATATAAACAAATTCAAAATCTTGCAATTAATAGGGAGTCACTTCAAACTTCAAAGGAGGCAAATTGTTTCAACGTTAAAATTGATGACCTATCTTAATGGTAGTAAATTGTCAAAATGATTGCAAGCTCTTACCATCCTACCTACCGGTTATATTATCAGCGAAAACTTACACCAATTCCCTCCCCCCCCCCCCCCCCCCCCCACAATTGAATTAGTCCCAATTCATTTGATTGGTTAACCAGCCTCTAAATCCCACCGAAGGATTCCATTCTACCCAACTATTTTATAGGGCTTCAAGTGAATTGGTCGACCGGCCTTATTGTGTCCGACTTTTTCACTGGACCGTTGACCTCTGGATAGCTGATCCAGTTTTAGAATCTACAATTGATTGTGTTTTAAAGGACTTTATTAAAGCCCATTCATACCTTGTTTTGCCTCCCCCTTACTACTTACCATCATCACTCATTATGATGTTGGATTCCATCCAGGAAATGCAAAAAAAAAACCACTCTTATCTTATGCTTGTCTTTTGTAATATTAAACTGGTACCCGAAGCATGATGTTATAAGTTCATCTGGTGTAATATTTGAGGCGTTAGCTAAAGTTAAACCGGTACCTAGAGCATAATGTTATTTACCCCCATCCTCCCACCAAAAAAAAGAAAAAAAAAAAAACCAAAGTTAACTGTCCCATCCCAAAATAATATAATAATAACTGTCACATCCCAATATACTTTTTTACATTTCTAATACACTTTTTTATATTCCCAATACAAAAAAATACACACTAAAAAAACGAAACAAATATATCCTAAGTTTATATATACTCGTTTAAACCCCAAGCTTGAAATTTTGCTAGTTTTATATTTACAAAGTGTATATGATTGTCTTACCCCCTAAAGCCCTAAACAAGAGTTTCCGGGTATATAACACGTTATAATCAGGAGTTTCGTGATCATCATTAACAACAACAGCATTGTATAATACTTTCTGTAACGAATGGATGGATGTAGTACTATCTTCTTTTTCTTTTTTCTTTCATTTTTTTTCCCTTCCCAAAGCAGAAGGGAATGATGTAGACATATAACTCTCGAGCAAGTGACTAAAATGACTTGATCTAACATTCAAAGATCGATCCCACCATTGCAAAATATGTTACCAGAATTTTCAACTCATCTGTCTCTTCATTATTATTATTATTATTATTATTATTTCTTCATATCCTTCATAACCAACACACATATCTTTCTTTAATTTCCTCTTTGTTGCATATATACCACCGGATCATCCTGTTGCTCAATTAAATACCATTGCCAAGAGTTTACCAATTAAATTTTCATGCAAAATTAGTGGTCATGGTTTCAAAGATCCTAGTTATTATTGCATCACAGTTTCTGTGCAATTAAGAACAAATTACATAGTTCAGTCTTTAGACGCACAATCTAATTGAACGGATTATTAAATGTTTCTTTTAATTGTTGTAAACGATTAACCACTTTGATTTCTTCTCTCTAATTTACTTCACTACTTAAACCGTATATGTCCATCACCAATCTAGATTCTAGACGTTGTCAACCCTTAAAATTCATTCCAATTAGGTTATTAAGTTCTAATCTCTTGTCAGTGTAATTATCGGATGTTCCAAACAAGAAAACGCAAAAGAGAGACAATTAAAACAGGCAATTTGACAATATAACCTACGAAATCAAGACAAGTAGAATGGCAATGCTAATAATTTGTTCAAAAGTTCCATTCTCGATGTGGCGGCAGATTCCTCACCTTGTCACCTTGTACGCGTTATAAAAACACCAAAACACACAAAACAAAAACAACTCACGGTGAATTAATCATATATCTTAACTCATTTTAGATTTATTCGAAATTGAGGAATAAACATTTTGTTCAAACCATCTTTAACGGGTACTTTAATGCAGTATTAACTCGTAAGTTTTGTTAGTTGACAGCATCTATTACTTATATCCATTTTAGTTATGATCGACCAATGTCCTAAATATTATCAGCTCGATCTTTCTTCTTTTTTTTTTTTGTTTTCATAATCTTTGTTAGATATGGTCTATTATATGTTAATGTATTGTATGTAGCCAGGAGACAAAATGAATGAGTATGTTAACTGGTTGAAATTAAGCAAAGATACTCCGCAGGAAGCTTAAACATATTCTTTGTTGCCGGAAAATGGGAATGCTGTGTTTTCTTTTCCTAATTTGTTTTGTGTGTGTGTGTGTGTGTGTGTGTGTTTTTTGTTTCCTTTTTTTGATTGAATGCATGGAAGGGCCTTATTGTCATTTCGATCAAGTTTAGGAGTTACCAAAAACATGTGTGGCAATAAATTCCAATGACGAATTAAAATGCTCTACATTTAAAAGTAAAATTTGAAGAGAAAATCTGCATGTGACTCTGATAAAGACTCGCTTATGATCACTAATCATGTTCCAAAAAAAAATAGAAACCAGGTTTCCAAATTCTACCCACCCCAATTTCACCACCCAGTCTTCCTAACTTCCAAGAAATAAGTTCATCCACCTTTCAAACTCTAGTATGGAACAGGCTAGGTATTGGATGTTAGTATCTAGAACGGTACGTACGGAGAGCACGTGCTATGCATACCACCTAATTAAATTTTATAGTAAACCTCATTGCCCTTCCAACCTACTTTAGGGCTTCAATGTTGCCAAATACAAAGTTAAATGCAACCACCAGTTTTGTTTATAAAACTTACTTGCCTCTCAATTTTCAGCATCTTCCAACTTTTCAAATTCAATTTATACAAGTCATTACTAGTCTAAGGCATATCGATCACTACAATATTTACCATGATAATAATTTACTCTATCTGTTCCAAAATTATTGTGTAATTAAAATTTTTATTTTAGTAGAAATTAATCCGAACGGAATGTGACAAGTCCATGTGACAATTAAATAGGTGAATACCTTTGTAATTAAAGTTGCCATGACGCCACGTAAATAAATGACCTAATTATCAAATCATTAGATATGGATCAGAATGTATATTTGTTGGGTATAAATATTCCATACATTTGTGGCCAGCACCATATATAGGTACACATACACAAATACAAACACAGACTTTATAGTTTCATCCTTCAAAAGATTCTCATATTGTTAACAAAACAAGTAACAAAAACTCTTGATAACCATGGGTTCTATGGGAAATGCCACCGTGTGTGTGACTGGAGCAGCTGGATATATCGGATCATGGCTTGTTATGAGGCTTCTTGAGCGTGGCTATATTGTTCGTGCCACCGTCCGGAATCCCGGTAAGCTATTGTTTAACCAATTTTCATTTGGTTCACTTGTACCCTCTGTCCCAAAATTTTTGTCCAATTTGAGTTTTCACTTTTAGTTCATTTTATATTTTAAATGAAACTTCAAACTGGACAATAATTTTGGGACGGAGGGAATACATATACAAGGAAGTGAAAAACTCATGTGATTCTTTATGTAGGAGATGTGGACAAGTTGAAATGCCTCAAAGAATTACCAAATGCCAGCAAGAATTTGACCATATGGAAGGCGGATTTGAGTGTCGAAGGTAGCTTTGATGAAGCCATTCAAGGTTGTGATGGAGTTTTTCATGTGGCTACCCCCATGGATTTCGAATCCAAAGACCCTGAGGTACATGTTACCATATTCTTCAGTTGAAATACCGACAAATGCATGCATATTTAGACTGTTTTCTCCGAATGTCAGTTATGCATCATGCGTTCTAATATTCTCTTCATATGGTAGAATGAAGTGATCAAGCCAACAATCCAAGGGGTTTTGAGCATCGTAAGATCATGCGTGAAGGCGAAAACAGTTAAGAGGCTCGTTTACACTTCATCCGCCGGAACTGTAAACGTTGAAGAACACCAGAAGCCTGTCTATGATGAGACCAACTGGAGCGATTTGGAATTCATATATTCCAAGAAAATGACTGGATGGGTTCGTTATAAGCAGACCACCCTTTAACACTTGGTTTTACAGAAAATTAAGCTTGAATTTTATCTAATTTCGGTGCTTTTCTCTCTTAATATTACAGATGTACTTTGTTTCAAAGCTTTTGGCTGAGAAAGAAGCCTGGAAAGCAGCCAAGGAAAACAATATTGATTTCATCAGCATTATTCCAGTGCTAGTTGTTGGTCCATTCATTACGCCTTCATTCCCTCCAAGCCTGATAACAGCTCTTTCACTGATAACTGGTCAGAATTACAATTCATTAATTTTTACTTGAACCCCTAAATCATGAAAATCGTGATTTATGAACCCTTTTTGGGCTTTTCAGGGAACGAGGCACATTATTCAATCATTAAGCAAGGTCAATTCGTTCATGTGGACGATCTATGCGCGGCCGAAATATTCTTGTACGAGGATCCCAAAGCCGAGGGAAGATATATTTGTTCATCTTACGACACGACAATTCACAATTTGGCGAAAATGATCAGAGAGAAATGGCCTGAATACCACATCCCTGAGTAAGCTTCTTGAATTCCTTACCATAATTATATCTGTAGGGCGTCGCACCAAATGTGACAAAAGTAAGAATTTCTGCAGATTGAAGGGTATAGATAAGGACTTACCTGTGGTATCCTTTTCTTCAAAGAAGTTGATTGGAATGGGCTTCCAGTACAAGTACACATTGGAAGATATGTTCAAGGGGGCCATTGAAACTTGCCGTGCTAAAGGACTGATTCCTCGTTCAACCCAAGAAAATGGAGATGAGAAGGCTCTAAGTCCCGCTTCAACCAATATCAATGAAAATACAAAAGACAGAGAACCACTTAAGGCTATTAAGAACCAGGCATTTGGCCAAGAGAATGATGGGTTGATCTCTTAAACTAATACCACATCAAAGTCCAAAATTGGTTTGAAACATGATTTTGGTAACCCTTTGGCCCTTACAAACTTGATCCAGAGGCATGATAAAAATAAATATACACTTTGTTTAGTTTCCTATCGATGACATCTTGAAGATCTGGAGAAATTTGTTCCCCACCTTGCGAAAAAGATGCTTAGTCAAAAAGATCCTTTGTAAGATTGTTGTACACAACTCTTACTTAGGTGGCTGTTGAAACTTTAGACACTGTTAGTAGACAAAATGCATTAAAGAGAGAATTTTCCTTTTTCCAACTTGAATCGCTTTTTGAGTGCTAGTAAGTAAAATTCCTGAACTAAGTTATGAACAGGGGATTGGGCATAGCATTTTCTTTACACCACTATGCCTTTGCAGTCAACAACCCACAACGTGGGAGGGTATAACTAACTTCATTTTTTTTCACGGCCAGAAAAAGCAATCAATTTACTTGCTGCAAAATACATTTCAAAACCTTACGCGCACCCAACAGAAGAGTCTGAACTATCGTTCCTCAGAGTTGAATGTGTTCCAGGCTTCCTACAATCACATGGAAGGAATAGAACTTAGATTATTGCAGCAAAGATCATCAGTTGGGGTTGTTAAGATCGTCAGCAAAAGGAAATTTTTCATCTGAAGTAGATAAAATATACACCATCTGACCCGAACAAAGAGTCCTATTTTGTTGAACAGAAAAAATAGAACCAAAATGACTCTTGTTTTAGGACGGACTAACTTTATAGCCAGCCAGCACATTACCGGCAGCATCAAGTACAGTATAACTAATGTATGCTGTCAAAGAATATTATTAGGCAACAATAACACAGAACTTCATCATGAGCAAACAGACTCTTCATTCATTTCCAACTTACCTTCAGAAGGTCAAAGACTTTTTCACATATATACTTGTGTTGAATGCTCGCACCACGTTGTTGTAGTTTGTCGGGGTGAACACAGAGAGTAGCCTTCCTGTAAGCTTTTTTCACAGCAGCAGAAGTTATAACTTCAGTTAATGGAATTGGCTGCCAACCACTTTCAGCACCCAGAATCTGCCCATGAAAGAATTGTGCCTTAGAGTTTGCAATGAAAGTAAACGAAGAAATACACAATAAGATATCAAAGAATATTTGAGCGCATGCTAAAACACAGAGATGATGTAAAAAGAAGTTCGATAATATTTCTTAGGAGTAGGAATATAACTAAGCATGAAGTGCATGAAAGTTCCAACATTAACAAATTGAATTGCAGTTGAATGGCAACCAAAATCGAAAGAAAAACAGTAGCAATGACTCCTACGTATTGCAATGTTGAAAGCAATGCACGGAGATTTCCTTCTTTCCCATTCGACCATCTCTTGACTTCAGCATCCAATGTTTCTGCCACTCTCTGCATAAATATTTGAGGTCAGAAAATAGCCACAACTATTTACAGCTTAAGAATATGATGGGGGAAGGGATCCTTACATTCCGCTCTGCTTGTTCTCTTTGAGCAACAAGATCACGCATATTTTTCTCCTCTAAAGCTTTAGCCTGATATGCACAATGGCACAAGAATGCTTTGAGATCATAAATATCAATTGAAGGAAGTTTGGGAAATATTCATATGCAAGCATGGGACATTAAACTATAAGGAAAGCAAACACATACTGCTCGTTCAGCAGTCCGACGATATCGTTCCAGACGTGCTTTACACCTTTGAGGAGATTCACTTTCATTTCCTACACGTTACAACATAGTAACACTTAGCCATGGACGGGGATTATCTAGAATTCTCAAAAACAAAACCAATTCGAAGATTGTTACGAAACAATTATTATTGAGCTACAAATGATTCATCCACAAAAGAGAAGCAAAACTGTTTCATGGCACAATAAAAGATAAATCAGAGTTTCAGATACACTTACCAAATTGAACTGATGAATATGAATAACGCAACGAATTCGAAGTTCCTGAATTCTGCAATGGAGGATCCAGTTATACTCTCATCACAGTTCATAATACGAATACTGCAGTATATTTTGAGATACAAAGGGAAAAAAAAATACTCACAGAGAAGGAGGAACTCTGTCTCATTTCATCTGCCCTGGAGGTAGTAAAAAACTTGTCTGAAACTGATCTTTCTACTCTTTCTCGCCCCTCAGACACAACCCTCTCAGCCATTGCCTTTTCAAAAGCTCGTTGCCTGGCCTCTAGGGTAGCTCTTTCCACTGCAGCCCGCTCTGCCCTAAGTCTTGCTTCTGTTGATGCTTTATCTGCTAAAGATCTCTCCCTGGCCTCCAAAGATGTCTTCTCCAATCTTTCTCGAGCTTCTGCCATTGCCCTTTGTCGTGCTTCAGCAGCAGCTCTTTCCACAGCAGCTCTTTCTGCTCTTTCACGGGCTTCAGCATACAATCTATCACGAGTTTCTAGGGTTGCTCTATCAACTGCCATCCTATCCTTCTCTCGTTCCCTCTCTCTCTCCCTCTCTTCTTCTATCTTCCTCAGTTGTTCTTTTTCCAGTTCTTTTTCCCTTTGCAATCTTTCCTTTATCTCACTTTCATTCATAATCTTTGCTTTCTCTTCCACATTTTGGTTCAGATGTTTGCCAGAATTCAATTGCATCCCTCGGTCCCCGAGCCTACCTGTCAAAGAGGCTCCGGTTACCTTCCCATTAGCAGAAAACGCCATGGAAGGTTGATGTGATGTTAAATTGGAGATTCCTTGGTGGATTTTAGGTTCAACTCCACTTGTCTTCTGCCCTCTCTGCCTTGGCTCATAAGCTTTTACATCCGCCTGACCAGGTTGAGAGGGCCTTTTGGAGACTTCCTTGTCCAGATTAGATGAATTTCCAATGTCAATGCCAGCTTCATTAGAATCATTCTTATGTTGATTGACACGCTGAGAATACATAACATCAAAAGTTCCAGTTTCATACTTCTCACTTTGCAATTCATCTTGATTAACTGAAGGAGGTCTTTCTTCCCCTGGCCAGTCAGTCACTCCAACATCTTTAACAGGTTCACTCTCGTCGAGAGTAGAACTCAAGTCAGGATTATCCTCGGGTGCTATAATTTCTTGTGTTCTTTCCAGCATCCCAAAACTTCTATCAAGCTCCCAGGATAAAGAGGCACCGTCGTCATTATCCAGGTCATCTGCCCCATCAAATGACTTAATACTCTCACTTTCAACTGTAAGATGATTTACCTCATCTAGTTTCACCTTTCTGTCCTCAGAGTCCCACTTAATCTGCTCTGCATCTTCAGAGTACCCACTCAACTGTTGATGCTCACAGGCCTCAAAAGGTGTACTACTTGTCGACGCGCTCGTTAAGGTGGAGCTCTCTTCAACATCAACTTCTGCAGATATCATTGGTGATGCATCCGGTTCTTGATTTTCTTTCTCCACAACAGGCTTATGCGAAGCCTTCCCATCTTCTTTTGGCTCAGTACGCCTTTTCTCATTGTTTTCAAGATCAAAAGTTTCTCTCTTCAGGTTTTGATCCTTTTTATTTCTGCAAAGTTCCTTGTGTTTTTTGTTCTTTTGTTTCTCGTAACACACATCTTGCTTCTTTCTTTCATCCCTTATTGGCTCTGTCTGGTTAATCTCCTCAGCTTGTACAAAAGCCTCGCAGAGTCTCTCAATTGATTCTTCTAAATCCAAATCCTCTTTCGGTTTCCTTACATTTGTTTTCGTTGCATGCGAATGTCCACGCACCTCCGTGCTTCCGGGTTTTTCTCTGGTTTTTCGCATATGATTTGCTTCAAGGACCTTCATGTCAGCTTTTATCTGATTTTCTTCAACCTTATCAGAGTCATTTTGAGTTTTTCTGATTTCTTCTGGGTTTTTAGTCATTTTTATTTCCTTCTTATATGTATCTGATTCACAGCTCTTCAAGTCCACTTTTGGTACCTTCTGAAACACAATCTGATTGCTTGACTTGCTGACTTCTTCTGATTGCATCTCATTATGACAATCTTTTGCAGTGACCTCGATTTTGTTATTTTTAACACCTAATTTAAGATCGTTGAGATCCTTAAACTCTTCTTTCTGCTCAACCATTTCATTTACAACCAGTGGTATGACCTCATCCAAGCCCTCTTGCACAAACTTGCTCTCATCCTTGTGCTCCTCAATGGCCTCGAAAGGAATACCTGTTTCAACAACTTCAAAATAATCAATTTCTTGTCTCCAAGCAAATGAATGTGCTGTTTTATGGGATGTTTGATAGGACAACCCACTTTCTTTGCCATTTCGTCTTTTTGTGGATATTTCATCAAAATCAATGGATCTTTCCGGCTCAACCAAATCTGGGATTTCCTGATCTATCTCCAATACTTTGCTCCTTTCCTCAGCGAGAGGGACCGTTCTTCTTCTTTCTTCGGCATATGTTGCTTTTCTGTCATCCTTATAACTACCAATAGTCTCGAAAGTCTTGTTCACATGCTCCTCCACCATTTTCATATTACTCAGCGGTTGCAGCTTTGAACAACTTTGGAGAACTTTTTGGCCGGTTGATTCTTTGGCACTTCGAATCTTTGCTTGAGCTTCCTCCGTCACATCTCGCACAGTCGCAGATCCCAACATAGATGAACTTCCATCTATTTCTACATCATAAAAAGGTGGTGAGCCATTACCTTCTAGCTGTTCTAAAGAACAACTACTATCATCTTTTGTCCACAAATGCTGTTTTGAAGTTGCTCCCTTTTTTTCAACATAAACAGGAGGCGGTCTTGAAGGTGGTGGCAAGTGAGAAGGTTTTGTTTTCAAGTTGATATCTTTCACAGTTACAAAGGGCTTAATTTCCCTGTACTTTTCCACATGGCCAACATCTCTCTCTTGTTTTCTGAAATCAATCTTTGCAGGTAAAATTATAGTCTTTTTACTTTCGGAAGTCCCCCCATCAAAACTCATGCTGGATTTAAGATCACTAGCAGCTCGAGACTTTTGGACCTCAACCTTTTGGGGGAGATGATTTTTTTCAAACCTATAAGCATTCTCAGGAATAGCTTGTGAACGAGCTACATCAGTAGCCAAATTCGCTATCCTTTCATTGCTCTTTTCACTAGCCTTGCTGGATGAGGCATCAAACTGACCACCTGTTGGATGATAAGCATCCTCGTTAATCAAGCTTTGACTCCAATCAGAAAAGGCAGAAGGATCCGTATCACCTGACGGAGACTCACTTTCAGCTGGACTCCTAGTATAACAAGACAGAAGTCAATATTACTTGAGCTTACATAAACTAAAATTCAACAACAAATATTTGTGGATTTTCTGAATCCAGCATAAAAAAGTTTGACAAATGGGGTGTGGCAGATACTTAGTAAAGTCCTCAAAGGAATAGCAATATCTTGGAATCTCTAGCAATCACGTTTTTTTTTCCCCTCGCAGGGATGGTCATGTTTTCAGTTGAAGATTTAGATAACCACCATGAAAGGCACAGATTATTGTCCCATTACTGCTGGTCCACAACTCACCAACAGAATTCAAACTGATAAGTCAGGGACCACTTCTCTATAGTTATTTGTCCATGCCAGTGGTCTCAAACATTTAAGCTTCAGTAGCTAACACATTCTACATTCACATTTCTCCCTGACCTACAAATATATGGTATTGACCACTTTTCTATAGCAATAAAAGGAATCATAATTTTAAGAATCTTGAAAATTTGTGCTCTTTTTCCAATCTCTAAACATGTTTTGAGAAGATTATAACTTCAGAAACAGGAATGTTGATGTCACTCTAACTTAATTTGTTGTAATCACCGCAATTACAAATTTTCAGGACACTGGGAAATAGGGACATACTTAGACATCCATGAAAAACTTGTAAAAGAATAAAGGTTAGCCTCAATTACATTGGTTTTAATTCTCTAGCATAGGCTTTCGTTGTCTGCTAATATTTACAGAAAAAAAACAAACAAAAATGGTGACGCATGCATAAAGACTGAAAGCAAACTGCCAAAAACGAAGCAATTAATCTCACTTGGAAGGAAATGTATATACATATCTTGAAAAAGATAAAAGAATTGACAGCAAACTTTAATTTAATGCCATTCAGCGTATGCAGTTTGCGCAAAGAAAAAAACAAGATTAGTTCTCCAGTCACAGACACAAAAGCAAAAAGTTGAATACACTAACCAGTAAAAAAGCTTACCATGCATCATCATCAGAAGACTCATCTCGACCGTTGGATTTCCGAACGAAATCGTCAAGCGACGGAGCAAAATCAAGGCCGTTGAAACCTCCAAAGACTTCAGAGTAGTCGAACCTGGAGCTCCTCACATCGAAACAGAGTTCCCCTTCGTCCACCACCGGAAGATCGAGAATCGGAATGGAGGCGCCCCTGGCCGAGTGAAATCCTCCGAAAATCTCGCTGTAGTCTTCGAGGCGAGGAGCCAAGGTCGGCATGCCGAACTTCGGCGGACCTCCGAAAACGTCGTCGTAAACAGACTTGTGGCTAGCCGTTCCAAAGCCATTCCCGCCGTAACTCCTCTTGGCAAACGAATGCGAGAGGTTTTCCATGGGAATGGAAACCCTAACGCTGGTCGTTTGGTGGAATTCCGGTTGAATAAATTCGTCGTTTGGGTTGGGTTGTTTGCTTTTTTTCCTCTTTCCGTGTGCAGAGACTGCAGAGAGTGGGAAAAGGGAGCTGAGGAAGGAGAGAGACGGAGGGTAAAATGGGAATAAAAGTGGACAACTTTTTGAAATGACTAATGTGGGATTTGTATACGTTAGCGAGTAAATTGGGTTTGTTTTATTGCGGGCGATTGGATTTTGTGACGTATTAATCGGCTGATTAATTGTTTTTTCTTTTTTTTTTTAAAAAAAGGGAAAATGTATAGACACAAAGAATTTACTTGGAGCGGATTTCATGCGAAGATTGGGGGGATTGGGCAGATATTTTGACTTTGTTTTTGTGGGGATGCTAATATCAGATTTTTTCATCACATCAATTAATTATTTCAAAATAGTAATATATTAACCATGACATTTCAAGGTTTAAGATATATATGGTGTATAAAGAAGAAGTTGAGAGCGTTACACAATTATTATTTTTATTAAAACGTGACGGTCACGTTCTAACTAAAGTTTTATTTCATTTGAGAGCCCGGACAAAATCTATCAGCATATAATCAAATAATCTGTTATGAAATTTCCTTATGAATAAATAGAAGAACTATTTTCATACAAAGAGGGGGAAGAGAAAAGAGTTCACATTTAGAAGTATTTTTGTCTGTGTGAAAGAATTTGGCACGCTGTCTTTGTTATCTTTAGCATTGTCAGAATCGGCTGGAAGTGGATAAGTTGTGTTTTATAGGATTTTTACTACTTGTGGTATTGGGAACATGATTAAATGCTGATATTAAGGCAATGAGGCTACAAAAAGGAGTAGACAAACAGCAGGGATCAACACCCCCCAAAAAAAAAATTGAATATAATAGAGTAAGCTAGTAACAGTAATAATTACCTGAAATTCCTTGCAAAGTAAATAAATAAATAAATATTTTAGTCGACCTAACAAGAACCAATAGTTCTGGAGACTCCACCAATCACATTATGATATTCCTTCTGCTGGGCTCATGCTCCCAATGATTTTCAAATTAAAGTTATGAAGATTCAGAATTAATTACAATACCTATCTACAATTCCTCTTTAATGATTTGTGTTTAATTAAACAGCTGTTATTCTATGACTATGAACCATCCATTTCATTCATTTTAATTAAACAATTGTTAGATAAAAGGATTAACTTTCTGGTATAATTAGGATTCAACATAAGCGAGCAATTTTGACAGTTTTCTGAAATAGTATTATAAATTTCTCGATAATAGTTAAGCTGTGATGAGAATACGATACAATTAGATTTTTTTTCTTTTTATACCCACTCTGCGTTAATTGAACATCATAGGTAAACAAAAAGAAAAGGATACATGAAAACACCATTTTGGAATTATTTAATAGGGACCTGAATAATGTGAACAACGTAACATCAGCAAGAGATAACATGAGATTGTTGCGAGCCATGAAAAAAGAAAACCAACGTGACGGCACGATGCTAATTGAAAACCGAAGATGCTTTGCCTCACAAATAACTTGACATTATTTGATAGGCTTTATTTAGTCACATCAATTTTTTTTTTGGTTTCTACTAGTAATGGTGGAGATTGACTCTCTGATTGTAGTAGAATCTTTACAGGCTGAACTTCGTGCCTAATGTATCTATCTATATCATTAAGAACAGACGGTACGAGGTGACGTTTGTAATTCCCACATATTATTGCTTTTGGCTTATCCCCCTTGAGTTTTACTTCATATTCCTTTTACAATAAAAAGGAGCTCCAAAAAAAAAAACAAAAAACAAAATAAACACACACACACACACACACACACACACATTTGTAGTTCTTTTTTTTCTTTTTTTCTGTTTTGATGGCGTATGGGTGAAACCACTTACGAGATTGAGAATCTGTCGGGTATTAGGACAAACTGGGGGAAAAAAATCTATAATAAATACTAAAAATACATAAAAATAAAAATAAAAGTAAAAATAAAAATAGGGAGCTAGTTCCGCCATTGAGTTAGATAAATCAATTTCGATTTCTTAATAACAATGTTTATCACATGTAGAAGGTCAGTATCGGAATTACTCAATGGTGGTAGGTGCTTGGTAACTATTGAAGTCTATTAACAAATACTACAAAAAGAAAAAAACTCTCTACGTACCCATTTCTGCTAGCTAGCCTCTTTTCATTTTGACTATGTGTGGCTGTTTGGCATTCATTCCAAATTGGACCTTTTTTTATGTGCCAAAAGATTGAAAGGAAATAGTAGTACTATGTTTTATTATGTACTCATAAATAATTCAAAAAGACAAAGAAGATTCAAAGGGATGTTCTTTTGCCGTTATAATTTACTTGTTTTCCATTTACATATCTTTTTCATTTGAAATTTTGCTTTAATTAATTCCCTCTTTCGATGGAAGAAAAGAAGATTTTGTTCCTCTTCAGCTCTTCTTAGTTACTCTTGTTTGCAGCACTTTCCAATACCATCTTTCCACGTTACGTTATGAGCAAAAGGGTTCTTAAAAAATGATAGCAATCAATGTGGAATTGGGACCTATAACAAGACTCCTAGTCCTATGCCAAAGACAGCAGCAAGTTCTTCTCTTGGCTTATTGCTTCTGGGTCCAATGTGTTGGCCATTCATTTTACACGACTTTATTCTTAATCTCACTTAAAGAAAACATTGATTTAGAAAAAAAAAAAAAAACCCAAGAAAAGTTTCATAACCGAATTCGGCTCTGATGTGATAATCACGGAGTACTCCTGCAGGGCAATTTATATAGTGAACCTGGTCCACCATATATGGTATAATTGTGTAATTAATAAAATCTAATTATGGAATAAAAAACTAATAAAATAATTATTAAATTAATTCATTCTCTCACATCATTATTAAATCTAATTATGAAATATCATTCTTTCAAATACAAATTAAATATTCTAATAATTTTGTAATTCTCTCTTCTATTCATAATAATTGCTATCGTGATTTGAATATTTGGAACTATTTAAGTTTAATAAAAAAAAATCATGAAATCTCGATGTATATATATATATATATATATATATATGTCACGAAAGTTATTGCTCTAACTCATGAATATTTCATGGAATGAGTATGAACTATGAATATAAATTTTTTTAAATATTTGTATTTTATTTTTAATAAAATTTGCATAATTCTCGTGAACATTATTTTATATGGGCATGAATATGGTCTTTAGACTTCTTATTTGTATTAATCTTTCAATTATCAAGAACATGTTGTGAAATTTAGATACACATGATATGAAAAGTAGGACAATTATTCATGAAAAGAGTATGAACGTTTATTGTATACATGATTAATTTATTAAAATTTTTCCAATTGGTATGAACATTTCACATAATTTTCATGAACAATCATAGTATATACATGAATAGAAGATTAAACAGATGAAAACCTTTAATTTGTAATTATGTGTAGAATTTTGTAATAAAAAACTATGAACTTTATGTATATTTGATATGAAAAATATGATTATTATTCATGATTTTTTCATTGTATGATTATGAACCTTTAATTTTTGTATGAATAAGATTATATTAATTTATTAATATTTTTTTTGTTTTTGAATTTTCTTTGTAATTACGTTTTGGACTTGAATACGTGATAAATGATAGCATTAAACATGGAAAGATAATTGATAATTTTAAACTTAATATTTTAATTAATGATTTATTCTTTAAATAGATTTTATTAATAGACCAGTACACCACGTATAGTGAACCATGTGAACCATATATCTCCTGCAGTCCCAAATAAGAGAACTGCTTAATGCATCAATTTAATTCAGCAAACACAGACTCCCATTTCAAACCGAAGGAAGGAGTATGAGATAGTGTTTGTTCATAAATACTAGAGTAATTAATTATAATGTGGTGCAAATTAGTAACATGATTGATGTGGCGTAGGAGCGGCAGCACCTAAGGGCTGAAAGGGGGCACGCGCATGCAAGACTTGGTCTGGTGGTTGCCTACAACACAAGTTATTTAAAAATTGAGTCTGTGTGTGTGTGTGATTATTTAGTGACACTGTGCGTGTGTGCCATGATTAAACGATTCCAGAGGAAGTAGTAGTAATTGATCCCCCATATGTTCTGTTCTGTTCTGTTCTCTACAAGGGATTCTGAAACAACTCATAGTTAACTATTACTTGTGTTCCTGCATGGTAGGATCGACTTTCTTTATGCCTTTCATACTTGACTTTCTTGCATTCTCATCATAATAATACCAAATCATTTCGCCGCCTGGCTGTTGATAATAATGAACTTAATTTAGTCAAAAAAAAAAAAAAACTGTAATAAAGTAACAACTTGGCAATATTGTTGCAGTACACCGACATTAGGTCATTATTATGGAGTTTTAAAAAGGTCAATTTGCAGTCTTACGTTAACTGAAAAAAAGAAAAAGAAAAAAGAATACTAGCATACATTGGGATCTATATCTCCTATATACTGTAGATACGGTGTCAACTAACGTGCCTAAGCCAACAATAGGGTGAGAAATGCTAAAAGCTAGACTTGTGCATTAATATGGAAGAGACCCAATAAAACATCCTAAACAGGGAGGAATCTGATTGACAGTTATCAGCTCTGAATCTTAATGGTGAAAACTGCTGAAAGTTTTTCTCATGGAAGAAAGACGGTGAAAAGTTGTTGGGTGGTCAATTCTCACCTTTTTCATGCATATATGATCTACCCAAATCAGAGTGGGGATCAGCCAATTAAACAACTACCGCGTTATGTGCATCCGATCTGTCTCCATCGGACTTCACATATATTCAACAGTTATAAAAAATATGTGAACATATCTTTTTCCAGTCTGGATTCAAGTAAGGGTACCCACTCCTGTGTAATACTAGGAACACCGTAAATCTACAATCACAAATTTGACCAGTAGACCTCAGATTTTTTGTTCCCTCACAAAAAAATGCAGTACACCCAGCTTTAATTCTGTATACCATTTGGGATTCTAGATTTCTCAGAATCGTCATTATCCATAAAGTAAAAAACCACAAGGCCGCACTGTGGTTGGTATCCTTGATTGAATAATTCAACCAACAAAGCTACTTTGATGCAGCAAATCAATACATGAAGATAGAATTCTAGTCTGAATAAGAAGATTATGTAATATTTGGAGGCAATTCCACCTTATCTATCATAAAAGGACACTAGGGAAACGTTCAACATCTAACTCAAATGTTTTGACTTGCTAAACAATCCACGTTTACTTTTAATAACTCAAGTAAATGATCTCAAGAAGCATGAAGCCTCTGACAAGCCAAAGTGGATGAACAAAAGATTCATGCAACAACTGCAAACCAGGGTTAAAATCTTTAACACTTGAGCCTGGCCCCAAAATTATTAGAAAAGAAATGCAGGTTTCCTCTATAAATCCGCACATAGCAACATGGTATCAACTCAAACCTTAAGACTCGCACATGTTTATGATGCCTTTGGTGCCTTGTCTGGCAAAATGTTATCAGGAAGGATAAGCTCCGGAGGGGTCTCGCGAACAACACCAATCATTGAGTCATACTCTTCATCCTTGCGTGCAAACTTCTTTCGGAGCACCTTCTCAAACTCAATTTCATCGAACCCCTTGGCATTCTCAGCCGCATGGACCTGAGCTAAGTTGGTATAGTTAACAGCCGACTGGGATATGAAGGCTATTTCCTCGTCTGTCAGCTTCCTCAAGAACTTTGCAGGATTTCCTCCCCATACCTGTGGTTACAGTAAAGCATAAGCAAGAAAGAGACATTTTATATGAGTGTTTCCTACCAACTCGGACCCGAAAGATTAAAATTAAGGATAGCCAGAACAACCTACAAGTAGCTACCATAACAAAAGACCAAAATTTCATGCAGCTACAAGGAGAACTCTCATTCACCATGATGTAAAATGTGCTGGAGGAGGATCACAAAAACCAATAATGATCTCAAGGTTTCATGACTTTTGACATAAACTCACACAGCTCTCTTAACGATTACCTTTTGTAAATCCTAAAACAGACCATTGTTTGTCACTGACAACCAGATATCAGGATACACACAATTTCCAAAACAATAAAAAATAACAGATCCGTATCTAATTAAAATGCTAGAGAGCCAGACCACCAATGCCTGGAGCTCAAAAATTGAACCAAGTGGTGGTGATCCATTTCTTGTCAAATTTACAACCAAAGGACAACTAGAAGACTATTCCACTGTAGCTCATGTATTCCTCACTCAGCAATACACAAAAGGAAACAAAGGCATAACTCCATATTATTAATATTTATCTCCCGCCAGCTCCAGGGAAGAGGCCCCAAAAATAGAAGTCTTTCAAAATACCATTTTCATAGCTCCATGCAAAGAAGAAATTCTGAAGGTACTAAAATATAGTTCTCACGGTTACATAATGTTTAGATAAAGATGGTTTTTCACGAACCTCGCCACAGGGTATCCTTGTATTCTGCCTAACAAGAGCTCCAGCTGCTACCATGGCATTCTTCTCCACAACAACCCCATCAAGCAAAGTTGCACCCATTCCGACAAAGGATTCATCCTCGACAGTGCATCCGTGCAGAACAGCACTATGCCCTATCAACAAAAGGCTCAAGGGTCAAATTGGAGTTAATTAGAAAATGAAAATGGTAAAGGTGACAAGATAAATTCCTTTCATCATACTCACCTACAGTAACGTTATCTCCGATGACAGTAGGCAAGACCTTCCCACTTATATTTGATTTTGCTACATGAACAAGAGAATTGTCTTGTATATTTGTTCCAGTCCCAATGCGGATACTGTTAACATCGCCTGCATTAAATGATTACATCATTAGACCCAAAAGAAGGAAAAAAAGAAAAACCACAGGACAAAAGGAGAGTACTAAAGGAAATAGAGGGTTTAGTGAACATGTGCAAGCAAGCCTTGGTTTCTTCAATTTTAGAGTCTCTTTTTAAAAGTTTCAACCGTTTTCGAACCCATGTGTTTCAACTACTGCCACAAAGTATTTTGTGCTATAGGAATGACACTCTGCCAAAGACTACATTAACTATGTCATGTAAACTTGTTATTGCAAGGAACATTCTTCACCGGTCATTACAAGTTTGGTATTGGTAATGAGAGGCGATGTTAATCAAGTTGCGCCAAACAAATCCCAATGAAAAAAGATAAATAATTTTCTCATGCAAAACAAACACAGTTGAGCGTCCCTTTGGCCCTTTTTGTTCAAGAACGGAGTGTAGAAGCTCACGTGATACATCGTTAGTTGCAAGCAGGCAGTTTGATCATATTTCTCTACAAGTCAGAGAGCAACATAAGAGTTGCATGGTAAAACTGTAAATCGTTTCACTGAAAGCTCATCAAGTCATCGGTATGGCGGTCGCTGTCTATGGATTCTGGAAACAAATATCTTAACTAAAAAAATTTTTGGGAATCATGGAAATGCAGGGAACGGCTGATCAACAAGTTAAAGAGTAAATACTATGAAAGAACACACATACAGAGGCAATCATAAATGATAACCAGCTTTTAAACTGTGATCAGTCAGTCAAAGAAATGGGCACAAAACTGGGACAATGAACCAAGCTACAAAGAAAAATTTAACAGTAAACTTGCTGAGGCAAAATTATTGAGAGAAGAACCTTGAACTGACCACAAGAGGCCGTATCATTATATGGTATCTTTATATGCCAGAAGAGGCCGAAATGAAGAAGGCAAACATACAAGAAATTAGAGATAACAAGGATATTTCAGATAACTCACCCCTTACAACGCATCCATACCAAATGGAAGAACTTCGCCCAATCTGAACATCACCAATGATAGAAGCACTTGGGGCAATAAAGGCCTCTTTATCAACCAATGGAGCTTTGTCGAATAAATTCATCAAAGTTCTATGCCTAGACACTTTCTTCCAGAACAAAATAGACAGAATTAGAACAATATCCCAATAAAAAACAAGTAATTGTAGAGTAATCATTTCATCTGTAGTCAAGAAGAAGACTGTCTATACTCAAATGTTCAAAAAAAAAGTAATTTGAGCCAAAAATTTGTGAAGTAATTGGAAAAACCATCTGGGATAAGCATTAAGATCACTGCTAAAAAACCTAATATTTAGGAAATCAAAGCAAAAATCATCAAACAAAGAAAAAGAGGCATTTGCGAGATTCTAGGGCATGACTAACGATGATAAAATGGATAAATGATGAAATGAAAGCAAGACGTACGTGATTCCTGGAAGTAATAGTTTCCCTGGAGACGACAGCCAAGGCGATCAAGAGCTTGGCCGCTTTCTCGGATCCAGAATCCGACAGTGTAGATTGCTCTTCCCAGAGTACCCATTTTAGCGTTTTCGTTCTTCTTTCGAAGATAAAGCTAGGGAACGTGAACTGGGGACCCTATGAATTACAGGAAAGATTGTATTTTGAATTTTTCAGGTGGAAATGTGGATTGGGAAATTGGGGTTTTAGGTTTAGCTGAGCATTTGGGGACTGACTGAGGGAGTGTGGAGGCCGAAGACGAACAAGAGGAGCGAGATTGATACGCGCTTGCGATTCTCTGTGCTAGCCCACACCGTAATTATCATGACCTTTGTTTTATTTTTTCCTTTTCCTACTTTCGTTAATGTTACTATCTTTTTTACACAACATTCTAAAATATTAAAAAAAATATTAAAAATTAAAATTATTTTCTCACATAAAATAATTTAGGGTGAAAAACTGGAAAAACATAATTAAAAATTTTAAAAAATTAAAATAAAATTGTATAGCTCTTGCGCCAACTTTGTTGTCAATTTCAATAGGCCGACGAAACACTCGACGCAATAACTTTGTGAAGAGTTCATGTTTGCAAAACACGTCTTCTTCTGTACAATTTGTCAAAAAATTTTCTTTTTCTAATATTTTTTGTATGTTTACAAAATGATGAATATAGCCTTTAACACAATCAGTATTCTTACTTAATTATTACTTTTATTTTATATTATTAAGGCCACAATTGTATACTGTTACACATCTTGCTCGAAATTTTAAAAAGTACACACAAAATATTAATGAAAACAAAAATTATCCCAAAAATCTATATGTATATAAAAGGGAATCCCCTTTTTGTTGCACGGTTTAAGGGAAGTTGCAGGTTGGAATTGATGATGTGTTAAGTGTATATTGGACAACCCAATTTTTCTCTCTCATCCTCTCAAGTCCCACGAAGCTGCTAACTACCGGAGGACCTGTTAACCAGTAACCCACTTTCTGCCTCTTTCTCTTCCTTGTTGGAGAAGGCCAAAAAGCAAGGATCTCTATCCCATCCACAGCCTCACGCTACAGGCCGGCCAGAAAATTCACAATTCCTATGAGGATTTTCGTTTCTCCCACCGGTTTGCAGCAAGTATAGGTTCGGGGATCATGTTTTTAACGGAAATTCACGGTAGCTGAACAATTTGTATATGTCAACAATCAAAAGTCATTTGCTCTATTTGAGGTGAATACTACTAAATACTGCTTCAGCCTTAACACTCCATAAACAAAAATTTAAAGACCAAAATTTCTCGATCTCAATTTGTCGCTATCCTGCGGATGCGCGGACAATTTCTAGCACACAATGACCATCAGTCCACCGTCGGACTGATTTTCTGTGGATTAGTAATTGGTAATTGCATTTTGTTGACATTGGTCTTAACTTTAGATTTAGAATCTGAATAGTATATTTGAAATTTAAAAGTGTTTCCTAAAACTTTTTGTTGATTGCTATCTTTTCTTTTGTCTTTCTCTCAGAACATGACATTGTGCTTAAACGTAGTGCTTCAAATTTTTTGATTTGATGGTGCAACCGAGCTGTGTAAGCCTGTAATTCTCTGAAATGAAACCCTTCATTTCATGTGGTAGAGTTTTTGTCATTGCACAATAGAGTCATTAGTAGCAAACTCATTTAGGAAATTGTATGACAAGTGTTTGATTTTTTGTGTATAAGACAGTTACATCAGCTCTCTTTCTCATTTGTCTTCTCTGTAAAGAGTTTTCTTCTACTGATGTTAAAATCAACTCAATTAACAGAAACCACCTTGTCTAGCATATGATGGCAAACAAAGTGCATTAATCGAATACTTGCATGCTTCAAGGAGATAAAACCAAAGATTTCTAATTATTGAAACATGCTTGCTATTTTTTTATAGGGCCTGAACTTGTCTCCTTCTTTGCTGTTGCTCAGTACCTAGAAAACAACACTAAACCGAGGTTTTTTTTTTTTTTTTTTGAAGGATACTAAACCGAGATTGAATCTCATCAATTGGATACATGCTACCGGCGAAAGTATGCCTGCCTTCTAAATCATTTGACATTGTTTCAGTTGCTTATGTGGTAAGCCTATTCTATATTCTATGCTTGTCAAACTGCAAAATGTGTCAAATGTTTACCATGGGATTCCAAAAGAATACATGTCATATCTACATAATTTTTTTGGATTGGAGTTGCACTTGTAATTATTCTATTTTGGTTTTTTGCAAATTATTGATTTATAGTAATTTAAGTTTGTTTTCAGGGCTTTGATATAGTGCCACTGGCGACTATTGTGGTGGTGCTCTGTTCTGCAAGAGCATTGGTGGAACGGTTATTTGTCATCAATATGTAATTCCCCTCCCTAAAAAAAAAAACTTATGATACCAAAGACTTTAGCTTTCTCTACTTTTACTGAAATTAACAAATGCAACAATTAAATGACCAAATATTCTGTACATTAACCTACATCCTAAATTTAAAAAATATGTTCGACTTAATTAATACAAACTTGTTAAATTACATACCCTCAGCTAGTCTTACATAATACACCGTGGAAAAAAACACAAATAATATTTTGACATTTTTGGCATTGACTATAGGGCATGGAATATTAATCCTTTATGTATCTTTTAGATATAATTTATTCTATTTTTCTGATAATAATTCTTTTTTGTCTTAATGAATGAAAACTTCCTTTTTAGTCATCATACATAATATTAGAAGCTAGTACTTTAGTTGATTCTTTCATTAAAAAACTTGGGAAATTGATAAGTTTCCAAATAAACATAGACAAGATGATAAAATGCTCCCTTCCTTTCTAAATAAAAGATACTCATTTTGCGGAACTAGTAATACTTTTTACATTAAAAAAATAATTTAATTCATTTTGAATTTGGATGTTTATATTATTTTGATTACGAATATGAAAACTATATGTTGATTATTTATTTATTTATATTTTGAAAGGTGCTTTATCGATTACTAAGATTGACACTATGTATTAGATTAAAATTGAAGAGATTTCTTTATCCCAACTAAGTTATTTTAACAATATGAATCAATAGGGGAACTATATATAAATTATTCTACCATTTTATAATTGTTTTTACACAATCTGCTAAAATACTGAAAAAAGTACTACTTAATTTTTGTTTTTCTCACACAACAAAATCTATGGTGGAAACTGGAAAGACACAATCTTTAAATACAAAATTAAAATAAAATTGTATAACTCTCGTGTCGACTTTGTTGTCAACTTTAATAGGCCGGCCAAACACTCGATGTTGTAATTTTGTGAAGAGTTTGTGTTTGCAAAACACGTCTTCTGTACGATTTGCCAAAAAATTTTCTTTCTCCAATATTTTTTGGATGGTTACAAAACCCTGGAAAGAGCATAGAGACAGTTTTTGATCTGGTGGAGATGGAGGACGGTGAGAGGCGCGAGCTTTTGCAAATGTCAGACTCACAGTTGATGGATATTGCCAGATTTTGCAACCGTTTCCCAAACATCAATTTGGCATATGTTGTGGCTAACAGTCATAATGTTGTTGCTGGAGAAGATGTCAGTGTGCACGTAACCCTTGAACGGGATGATCTCAAAGAGGGTGGGACTGAAGTTGGACCTGTTGATGCCCCTAGATACCCAGAAGCCAAGGAGGAAGGATGGTGGCTCGTGGTTGGTGATGTCAAGAACAACCAAATTGTGACCATTAAAAGGGTTACCCTGGGAAGGAAGTTGAATGTCAAACTTGATTTTGAGGTACCCAAGGAAATAGGAGAGAAGACATACACGTTATACTTCATGTGTGACTCCTATGTAGGCTGTGACCAGGAGTATACCTCACTATTGATATCAAAGAGTCTTCTAAAGGGGTCTTTTCCCTAAAAAATTTAATTAAAACAAAGGTGGACAAATTTAAATTTTTCAGAATATTTGTGGACATGAATATATCCCACGGATTTCCGAAATCCGAGTTATATTTAAAATTGAGAACTCGGATTTCCGAAATCCGAGTTTACCTCGGATTCGGATAATTAGTTTTAGTTTTAATTAAAATGAATTTGGATTTTCAAAATCCGTTTTCTATTAAATTCGGATTTCCGAAATCCGAGTTTACCTCGGATTCGGATTTTTGAAATCCGAAGGATATAGATTTGTCCACAAAAATTTCAAAAAAATTAATTTGGTCTACCTTTTTTTAAAGAAAATTGTTTAGGTCAAAAACTCTCTTCTAAAGAAGACATAAAATAGAGAATTTCAGTCTGATGTTTGTCTTGTTCACACTTGTGTGATGGCAAATGTGTTTGATTATGTTGGATCACTCTGGGTAAGCTTCAGATAATGATATACGATGACGCCTTGTGTAGACCTTTATTTTTATTTTGTGTTATGTTGGTTCTACTGTTGGCCGTTGGAAGCTTTGGCTTTTAGATCTAAATGTGAAATTTGACAGAATTTTGGTTATGCAAGCATCAGTAGTTCACTTTCTGCAGATATATCACGTCTCTTGTTTGGTTCAAAGTTTCCGAACTGTTTGCCCGTGTATGTAGTTCATCTTATACCATCCTTGTACTGTTCTCCCAGGATTTCTGGATACCAATATGTAGTTTTAACTTTCTGTCCTCTATTTTCTAGTGGAAAGAATAAAACAAAAAGAAAATGTGTTTCAACTTTCAACGACTGATGCTTAAATCTCACAACAATATTCTGCAAATTCAGATTTTCCCTTACTAAAAGTGCTTTGTACATATGTCCGGGATTTCGTGGCAGGGAGGAAGAGTGAAGGTTTTCTGGAGAGTGGAGATGCATATGTTTAAGCTAAAATCGCTCATTACACTAATCATTTAACAACTCAATTTCACAAGGCTGGGGAACATATTTCAACTCTTAATAAGTAAAGCTGACGTTTAGAATATATAACCCGCACAAATTAGTGGCATTTGATGTTTCTGGCACCAAATACTCTTCTCCGATGTTAAATCACTTTCAGTTCATGATATAGATTCCCAGAGGCGTTCACCATTTGCTTATCAATCTTCACCAGTGACAGGTAATACAAATTCAAATCCTACCAGGTAATAACCACTTTATAAATGTTCCCACTGGCAAATGGCAATCAGAGCCACATAGGAATTCGAATTTAATGTATCATTTAAAGCCATACATGCTCCAATGTTAGAATTTAGGGTAAGATTAGGCATGTTCCTAACATTCGAAAGGGAGGTGTCATACAATCCTAGAAGCTTCCAGTTTGATATATCTACACCACCCTCATGCTTGAATTCTTTACCTCCTCAAGCTTTCAACGATGTAAGATGCGTAAAGATCCCTGTGATCAATGAGAAAGGGTGAGAACAAACTGGTTAAATGCTTGGAGAACAAGTATGTTGCACACACGGGAAAAAAGAATAGATGCAACTGATTCACATTCCCTCCCCCCTGTAAGTTTTCGTTTCTTTCACTTTAGAGGTCAACAAATGGCAGAAAGCTATGAAAGTATTAACTTACATGGAATAACTGATGGCATCAACAGCTGCATCAGCAGGCAGAAAATCTTCAACGGCAACTGACTTGTTCTCATTCTTCTTGTCTATTCACAAATAGTAAAGGATCTTTGACACTAACCACCATGAAATGTGAAATTTACTATTTGCGACATTATGAATAACAATAAAAACAGTGACTATTTTATTTTTTACTTTACGTGGGTAATAGGAGTAAGAAGAATAATTTATAATAAGTATTCTGTCTTGAGTTTAGATTCCCAGGAGTGATAAACCACATTCCAGGTGTATGTATGATGACAGTCATTATCAAAGGAAGTAGGATACAGTCTTCAAAAAAACGGCGAATTTCAGCAAGGCGGTGAGGAGGAAGCTCCTTGATGTCCTTGTAGTGTCGGAACTCAGGATCATCGGCACACACAGCTATGATTTTGTCATCTTTTTCACCCTGCACAACAGATTTCATTGAGAATTCCATTACTAGAACACTGCAGAAATAGGTAAAGAATATAATAAGGCAGGATGAACTCTGAAATCGATCACTGTCCTTGGTAGCAAGAAATATCAAAGGACTCAACAACTGAAAACTTTAATGGAAGGTTTTCAGTTGCAACAGAAGGCACTGATTCTAATGTTAGGTCTTGTGCAGTACTCATTTGCATTTGCTAATATCTAACAACAACCTCTCCACCTTAACCATTTTACCTGATCAATCATGGGCATCAAACCAATAGCTCGTGCACGTAAAAAAGTTGCAGGAAGAACGGGTTCCTGGGCAGATAGCCAAAAGTGTCAACTCATATGATATTGATACAGCAAAACAGGGATCCAAAGGTTCCAAACAAATGCAAACTGGTATATGTATACTTATAAAAAATATGATAAGGTAACAAGAAGAAACCTGCATTAGGACCAGGACGTCCATGGGATCACCATCTTCACAAATGGTACGAGGGATGAAACCATAGTTATGCGGGTAGACAACGGATGAGTATAGAATCCGATCAACCTAAAAACAGAACAACCTGACTTACAAAAAATTTCAGAGGTTCAAGGGCATAACTTACGATATATAAGTTATTGATGGATACTACAAGTTAAAATGTTCAGCAATCAATGCCACCTTCACATTCATTCACAACTCTGGTACCAGATCTGTCACAAACGCAGTGCTGACAAACAAGATTAACCTTAAAGCTTCAGCAATGAGGGGCTAAGAATTCCAAACATCAAGGATGCAAAATGATATAGCATCGTAGTAAAAATTTAAAGGAGACAAAATTCAGAAAAAGATTCTGTTTTCTAAAAAATTTTATTGATCAGATTATGCCTGTTGTTCTTCAAAAGAGATTAGGTAATTGGGATCACACTGATCAAACACTATCTAAGATGATTAGTGAGTCATTATCTGAAAAAATGTAAGAAGGGAGGTGTCAGCTTACTTTGATAAGTCCACTATCCTTGTCCAGCTCATACTTCACTTTGCTACCTTTTCCAATTTCAACCACACAATTGAAAGTTGAGGGTGCCCCGGGGCCAATCTCCAAGTCATGCCAGGGGTGAGCAGCAACCGTTTTTCGCGACATGGAGGAGAGAATTCGTTCATTGAGGCTGACCCGGGAGTTTCCTGAACTCTTTCCGATCCCTTCTCCGCTGTTGGCCATAGTCAATTTATCCAAAACTGAAAAGGCCAAAATAAACCAAAAATCATAATAAGGAAATTTTGATTCCTGATTAAACACAAGCTACAACACAAAGCAAAAGCGAATTTCCCCATTTTCATCATTTGCGCAAATAGGTTAGCATACAGTCGTAAGTAGCAGAGTCCAAATCGAGTGACAGAAAGTTACCCATTCAACGCTATAATCATCCAACATTTAGACAAGCCAAAAACCAGTAACACACAAAGATTTGAACTACCAGTAAATTCACATCTAAGACCGGCACTACAAGCACAAAATAATCACCATCAAGTTTTCCAGGAAACCCCATTCAATTGACAAGCAAATAAGCAAACCGAACCAGACTTAGTTAAAACATGAAAGTCCTGAACAGAAGAGTGATAGCCAACAATCCATGACGACCGAAACAGTAATCCTAGGCTAAAAATCCAAGAAATCGCCAAACGAAAAACAATAAATGAGAAAAAGAAACAACCAGAAAAAAAAAAAATGTTGCAGCGTATAACAAAATTTTAACAACAAAACAACGGGCGAATAAGAACTGCATGCATAGTGGAATCAGTACAAAAACACCGATATTTTGAATGAAATTCACAAACAGAAGGGGAAATAATCAAAAGGGAAGACTTACTCAGGCAATGAACTTCGATTAGCGGTCTGAGGTGGTGATGGAAAGAGTGAACTGCAGCAAACTATCTTTTCTATTGTATTTTCTTTCCTTTTTTTTTTTTTTTTTGACAATTAAAGTGATCGAGAACTTTTCGCATTTCGGGCAATGTACCTAATGTCGGGCAGTGGTTCATCTCAGCCGTTGGATGAGGATTGTTGAACGGTGGATGAGGTCACGTGGAAAGTCGGGTCAGCACCTTAGCAATCAGGGAATGACACGTATCAGACTGGGTGACGTAAGATGCATGAAATTGAAACTGTGTACTTATTTCACTAGTAGCTAGCTGTTCATGATCTATAACGGTTTGGATCACGCTTTAATTTTCCTTTTGCGGTTGCATTCACGCTTTTCAATTACGCATTCAGTCCCATTAAAAACAATCTTGTGCTTTGTAACAACTAACAAGTAACAACATTTCTTTAACGGGTGGATTTTACAAAGATTGACCCTCCGTCTTAAGGAATTGTAATATTGTTCATCCATTTTTTTTTCCCTTCAATTATATACGGAAAAAATAAAATTATATATTGTGACATTGTATTTATCAGTGTTACATTGATGGAGATTATTGAAAAGCAAAATTTAATTTTCATTTAGATACTTTTAACATTCCATTGTAAGATAGGTTACTACTATCACCGTTGATGTCTGTCTTATAAACCAATCATTTAAAACGCATTTCTAGATTTACTGTAACACTTGCATTATCAAAACGTGAGCAGTTAAGTACTCTTTCTTTTGTCCTAAAATTATTATCTAATTTAGTTTTTTAATTTTAATACAAATGTCATAATATTCAATTTATTATGCTAGGTTATTGTACCTTACAAATACTAACTAATTCCTACCAAATTATTAATTAACCTATGTCTTTAAATACATAGGAGCAAAACCATCTTGTTTTAAGTGATAAAAGGTATTAGTCCAATTTTAACTATACCATGAGATCAAACCTGGATATGGGCACGCAACAATTATTAAGAGAGTGATGATACAAATGCATTAAAAAATTTATTGGGAGAATTTTGTTTCTGAAAGATATTTACCTGGCTTGAATCCGAATCAGTTGGACCAATGATTTCGATATCGGAAGCATAATATTTCAAAAAATAATTAGTAGTTTTATATTTGGAGGAGAATCCATACCGAAAGGAAATTTTACGTATTTAGTAAGTTTATTGTTTTGACAATATTTTGACCCTCGAAAAAGGATTACAAAAGTTCAGAAAGTTCATTATATGGATTGTGTTTGCAAATTAATTTTGGCCTTTTTTTTTTAATAACCATTTTTAATTTTTTATCCGAGGGCAAAAAGGAAGCAGCAAAATTGCCCCCTTTTTTTTTAGTCCAACTACAGAAACTCTTATTTCTCTTGCTTATAAATGAGGAACACTGCGCTACTTGAATTTTTTCATTGAATGCATATTGCCAAATTCCTGCTTGAAGATTACGCCACATTTTACTGACTTTCGACATTGAAACCACAGAATTTGGGTACTGCAGTCATGGCGGCTTTGGTTGTGAAGGCACTAGGGTCCGCAATTCGGGTGTTCAAGTGGGACATGGAACCGCCGCTGGAGGAGGAGTCCTCCGCCTCGGCGTTGGAATATTTGGGCGGGATTATTCTGGTTCGTCTCCGCACCACTTTTGCTAGCGATCCCGAGAGAAAGATTGATCAAGATCACGAGATATTCTTCCCCAAAAGTAGTCTGAACAACTTGAAGCATTTTGAAACCGCTAGAAAACTGATTGGCGCTGCTCTGAAACAATTGCCCTATCTTGATTCCTGCCGGAACCTTGCTGCTGTTGCCGGCTCTTTGACGGCTGACCTACTTTTCAAATTCAATTTCGGTACTGAAATCTTGTCCGGTGACGGTGCCGTACCGGTTATATATCTCCGTATGGAAATTAAATTGGGGGATGAGAAGCCGAATTCGCGTAAGAATGTGAATGCTGGGGAGATAAAGTTTCCGGGTAACGTTTACGGGTTGATTTACGTTGACGGAGATTTTAGGAGCAAGAAAATTCGACGGTTGTGCCGGGAGCTCTGCTACGGAGGAAGGAAGAGTTCTGAAGTTACGGAACCGCCGTTGGGTTTTGAAGAAGTGAAGCCAGCTATACAGATCAAGTACTTTGAAGACAGCATCGCCGGCGACGATCCGCAAGGGAATCAGTGCCCGATTTGCTTCGATTCATTCTCTGAAGGGACAATGTTTGTGGAAACCAGTTGCTCATATCGATTCCACAAGAAATGCATGTATGAATGGTTGCTTGACAACAGTTCTTGCCCCATCTGTGGGTCAATTTGCATCGTTACTGTTTGATCTTTGGTCGATTAGAACCCTGAACTATAACCACAGAGCGAGGTCAGGCCGATGAACTTTGTTCTCTTTTTCTTTCGTGTTTAGTAACCTCTGATGACATGACATAGTAGTATTCTGAGAGTAGTTCTGGACAGATTACTTGGTTCTTTCTTCCTTAGTAAGAAGAAACAAGAGGATTTTGCTTTATCTTTGCCTCTTGTTAGGTGTTTAGTATTCCACTAAGGTTCTCTAGTAGTTGCAATTTGCAGACGATTCACACAGATGAATGAGTTGTAGAGGGTTAAAGTCCGCTAGAGCTTACTAGTTTTTTACAAAGATGTATGGATGAAATAGAATTTCAAGAATGCTTTGAATCTTTGACATTATTCAGTGAAATTTACATATTTTGTACTTCCATGATGATTCATGTAGTGTGTTTTTTGCATTATTTGCTGGATGACGGTGGTGTTTGTCTTAACTTTGTCTAAGTGATTACTCTTCTGTGGCAGCAACAGTAAAACTGCACAAAATTTTGCAGTTGTGTGCTGAAAAAACCTTACAATTTCAACAAGTTCTAATAGCAGATAACAACCCCTTACAGCATCATACTCCAAAAAATGATTGATTAATCGGAACTATCACCATTAATGATGATTGAGACTTCTCCTGTGGATGCTCATAAACTTAGCTGTAAATTCTGCAACATCAGTGTAAAACATATATCAGCATCACTATATTGAATCATTTGACTCTCTTGGCTGACCACTTTGTTTAAATTATGATGGTTTATGTGAAGATTTTGTGTTGTTTCATGACTCCCTCTCTGAAAAGACAAAGGTTTTTGAGTGATTACCTTCTAGTTTTAGTAAAGCACTTGTTCCTGGTGGTAGTCTCTTATCCTGCAGATGAATTAGTGTTAACTTTCCGCATTATAAAGGCTGCAATGCTACATTCGTGACTGGATGGTTTTGGAACTTACATAATATGCATACCAATAGTATACTTCCCTCCTTGAACTGGGACTGACTCCTTTGAGTAACTGTTCGACAAGTTTCTATGAAAGACGAGTAATAATGTTAGGAGGACATCGATCATTTGTGCTTAGATGAGAAACTTCACAAGGTTGACTAGGTGATTACCAAAAGAATCAGTTTTGGATGTACATATTCCACTAGAAGTGTTTGAATTTTCCCACGAACCAAGAATAATCTGATGAAACAAAGCGAAAATGATGATCATTTGCATTGCATGCGATATAATATCCCGTCCAAGACACACTCATGACTATCAACAGAAGGAAATCCCAAAGCCTTTACCTTTTAGTTGACGGATCAGCAATAATTCCGGCAGCTAGCTCAACAAGAACCTCTTCCCATCCTCCTGGGATTGGCTGGTCATCCACAAAGGGATAGCTGTACCAGTTTTGAAGCCGGGTAAGTTATTGATAACAAAATCTTGTTTCATCTATGCTCTGGCTAAAACCTTACTTATTTGCTTTGCAAGCTTCAAGAGCCATAATTGCTCTCCTCAGATTTCCTTTTGATTTATTGGCGACTCTTGTGGCAAAGCTTGTGGACAGTTCAATATCTTCTTTTTTGGCAATCTCAATGAGAACTTCTCTAATCTAAAAATCAGGAAGAGAAATCAGGCAAAAGATACTCAGAATTGTGAACTTTTCTTGAATGTTTGCCATCATAAGACATCAGTAAAACACTTACTTCATGAACGTCAAGAGCTTCAACATCAATCACTTTGCAACGGCTCTTCACGTATTCAAGGATGTCTACATCACTTTCACAGCAGAGAATGAGTTTGCAAGCATCTGAATAGCAGTCCATGATCCATTTTATTAAGTGTTGCACGTTGCTTGGAGCTTTATCAACGCCATATAGAACCATCACTGCAGAAAACATATTTCTCCAATGTTAAATGGACTCAGAAAAAGATGATCACATTAGATACCCCTAAATGGTTCATCCATAGCTTACCTTTATATTCTGCCTTGGCATTAACAGTGCTTATTTCCCGGATGACAGCATAATCAGCACTTATTTGTTTCACCAAAGCCATGAGAGCATATGTTGCATTTTGTTCTGAGGAGACATTTAACTCAACATGGTGAGGACTTGAGGTTACTGGAACAACCACTTCCATTGGTGTTGTTTCCTGTAAAAAGATGTATACAAAATTATGACTATAAGAATGCAGACAAAAGCCTTGAATCTTGCCACTATTCTCTAGTGGCCTCTGGCTTTTAGGTAATCTTCTAAGGAAGTCCAAGATACCTGGATGTGGAAGTATCGCAAATCATGTGATATCTGCACCAGAAGATGAACGCATAAATATGGTCATTCATTCAATCATTAGTACAATGGAATTTCAGTTTTCTCGAGAACATACATTACGAACAGATTCACCATAGATTTCTCTCAGAAAAGCCATTGTCAGTGATTTCTTCCCAGAACCAGGAGGACCCTTAAACAAGATATGTGGGATTTCATCTGTTGCCTAACGGATACAAAGAAATAAATAAATCTTTGTGTAGCATAAAGAAATATTCAATCGAATACACTGTATCAAAGGAGTAGGTGGATGGTTTTTTTTTTAATTTTTTTTTTAGGTGGATGGTTGTCACAATATGAATAGCTAAAATAAGGTTTGATTTTTCACTCAGATCATCAGAAAAACTTACAAGATGCTTAAGGAGTGAGGCCTCTTGTTTGTGACAACTGAATGCACTTAATGAACCAGGTTGATGCTTGTCAGCCCATAACGGCCTCAGGCTTTCAACAACAAATGTTTTCTCAATAACCGTCGCCTCATAGGAGGCGGCCCTCTCCTTTTCTGGAGATTTTGCTCCACTGCAGGTTCCCCTCTTGAGGCAAGAGAACCATGCATCTGACTGAGCCTTCCTTCTGTTCATTGCGAACTTTGTAGCAGTTCCATTAGTCCTCCCACTATATTCACTAAGAGTACTACTCTGTCTACTTACAGAATATTTGGAGTTAGTAGTCCTTGTTTGTGCTGTGGATGCAATGGTGACCGTTGGCATTGAAACCTCGCTGACATCTGGATTTAGTAGGGGATTCATAGGAACCCTTTTGCCAGGATTTGCCTTAGTAGCAAATCCAGGCTTTTCAGTTCCACCATTTGCTGCAAAGACATTTTTCTCTTTCGCCACTGCACCATAATCCGTAGAGAAGAAAATGTCACCTGGGGCTATAGAATCTGTGCTTTCAAAGTAGGGAGCTCTGGGATTTGGATCTTTTGCATTGATCACATTAGCCAGCATCTCGTTGATTTCGCCACCCGTTGGAGACCTTTTATGGTGACCATCTCTTTCCTTCCTGGATGAACTATTCCTCCCAAGTGGTGGAGATGCTTTCCTTTCTGCTTCCTTTTGTTCCCAATAAGTCTCATTCCTGATTGACTCCCTTTCTTTGAAAGTCTTCCTAGGAGCAGAAACAGCCCTTCTGCCATAACCCGACGTCTCATTCGATTTCTTAACGTTAACATCATCGAAAGCTCGTCTCAGTTTTCTATTAAAAGCATCATCAGTTTCAGTTTTGTAAGAAGGAGTTCTCCTCTGCTCGGATCTTGAGAATGGACTAAGAGGCCTAGCCGACGACGACAAATGATGCCTACGGGGAAGGGAAGAAAAATGATCATGACTTTCTTCTCTCTGAAGTGCATATGTTGATTGATTCTGTCTCCTTTTAGGAATGGAAGAAACTCCATCGAATCGCGAACCCGAGATCTTGCTTCTAGCTTGGCCCTGATTCACATTCTGCCCATCAGTTTCTTCTTTCCATGGACTTTCATCCCACTCTCCTTCTGTATCAGATGGTTCATATCGATTCCTTTGCCGAGTGTTTGATGAAGCTCGGGGCATTGTTCTGACATAACCTGATGAAGATAAGGTGACCATTATTAGCTTAATAGAAACAGTGTCTCCTAAAGAGACCTATTCCAGCGAATCCAGAACAAAACAAAGAACAAAAAGCTGAAAATATTTTCTTGAATGGAGATTAACAATGCAAAGAATATTTCCAAGGATCAACAAGAAAACTTCGGGAAAATAATATATATGGGGATTCATATCGATGAAGACGATGAAAATGCCACAAACAGTAAGTCATTACGTGTTGAATCGTTGATAATTAGACAAATGAAATGGCGCATATATATCATCGTTAATGCCACAAAGATCAAAATTACAATTATTAACTGCACAAAGTTGTCTCAGTTGCCTGAATATTACAAAGACTGAAACATCAATGGTGATAATTTACGGGCTCCTCATTATGTCTTTTTGTTGGGTTTTGGAATAACAGTCAAATCAAATTCTCTGTGTCATCGTTCATTTTCTAGACCAGATATTATGATGATTTCAACAAAATCCAGTCTAGGCTTTATTGCTGCAAGAATGCCTAAGTCGACAAATCACAGACCGAGAGCGAGAATCCTTTTGTCCTGAGTTTCTAAGCCAATCAACAAAGAAAGTATCAATTTTTTCTTGTATTTGTTGGATTTTAAGGAATTTTTTGGCCCTTTTTGCTTCATTAAAAATCCTACTCATATTTTTCAGTCGTGTGCTAATGGCTCTATGATCCAGACAGAAACATACAGATTCTAATTTTAAAGCACCCGAAAGAGTCTTGTAGTGCATTTTAGAAAAAAATTTCAAGTTCCAATGAATGGCCAACTCCATTGTTCCAAACTACAATTTAGGTATTAATACAAGGTACCGTTTAAAAAAAAAACAAAGTTCAAAAGCATCAGAGTTTGTACTATTCTTAGAAACCATCTTAGAAAACAATGATCTTCCAGCTGTCTTCCCAAGCGGACAAACAAGTTCTCTGAACTTACCAATTGCAGATCCAGTTGAAAGATGCTTTCTCCATGCGTCAAGAGCTATTTGACTAAGCAATAGATGGCGAAACTGTTGAGTCTTGTGACCAGTTGAACTTAAGAACTCTCATAGGATTCGAAGACAGTGATGGGCTGTCTCCCTGCTCTGATTAGGCCAAGGAGAGTACAGCTTGAAAAGGATTTAAGCCACCAAAATACAGTAATATACCTTCAATTGAACCATGTATTCCAATAAATGACAAAATTATGTGTGAAAGTATCAATCTCTGCAATAGTCGATAACAGTGTAGTCACTAAATTCGTATATACGTTTCAATAACTCTAATTTTATCTTTTCTTACAATAGATTTCCAATATCTGCTCAACAATCAATGAATCCATGATTCACACTAGAAGCTTCTGAAGGCCATATTTACCTTCAAGATTCAGATACAGCTATTGATCACCTTTGTGGATTTCGCATCAGCATCAATCTCTTGTACCCTCCATAATCCATCCCATGACCGACATAGACCTTTTGAGACAGCTGGAGTTGGGTTTCCAGTTTCTTTTAAAATACACCAAACACATCCAATGTTACTAGTGCTCTCTTGCTGCATTGTGTTAAGACAGAGCAAGTTCATGCCGTCTCAGGAGTTGTAGACGTCAAACTCGATACCCACTCCGATAAAGCCTTATTGACAAGCTCAGGAACTTCATCATGGGGACAATGCCCCGCTTGTAAGTTAACAAGAGTAGTATTCGGATAGAACTCCTTGATGCGAATTGCCTTGACAGGACCAACCCATGGATCTAAATCACCCCATATCAGAAGAAGTGGGCATGACAGCTGGTTTAAGACGCTGTCTAGTGTATACTTCCTCTGGTTTGACATGAATCTTGTCATTAGTCTGCAAAATTTCAATAAGAGAAGGTATTATGCTCATTATCAAGATAAACCAGAAACTGGTATATACAAGCACTGGGATTATCATCAAAGTCAGAAGAATGCAGATATTACCTGTAGTAAACTTCACCAGCGTTAGGATCAGCTGCTGGCCTCGTAATTGAATCAATGAGATAGTCGTCTACGTTTGAAGCATCTTTGTAAACCTGTCTTTGAAAAATGGGAGAAATTTAAGAAATTTTGTACTAGAAACCAGAAGAACTCCGACATGCGGAAAGTCACTGTCACTTGGCAAGAAATTCACATACGCTCTTCAAGACTGATTCAATCCGAGCTGGTTGCTTGGCTTGCCAGAACAAAAATCCAAGAAATACACGCTGGAAGATTTCTTTTAAAGGCTTTAGAAAAAATTTCTGCAAAGCTGTTTCCTCAGATTCATTGTTGTCCGATATGGCATCCCCAAACTGTCCTGCTGAGTTCAGTAATGTAACTCCTCTGACTTGCTCTTGCAATGACACTGCTGCCACTAGAGCAGTAAAACCTCCAAGACTGAGAAATCAGCACAGCAATGAAATATTAAATTTCAGCTTCTACGTCCACAAAATTATGTAATCAATTCAGCAATTCAGTAAATTTTGAGATATGAGAAGCTGTTATTATATACCAAGAATCCTGGACACAAAATGTGAAGCTTTTAGTTTCATATGCTACTTAAGAACTCATAGGAAATCTGCAAGTTCTAATGTCTTCTGAGACATATATTCAGCATGCCTTTATTTACAAATATAACATATTTCAAGTTGATTCAGTTGATTCTACGTGTTTGGTTAGCTCCCGAATTCATTAACTTCGCCAAAATTCAAACTCTAAGGCACCTATAAGCATCTGCTATCTGTAACACATTTCTGATCACCAAAACAACATGAAACATTCACGGTATGCACTATGTAAGACCAAGTGCCATCAAAAAGTGGTTCATCAATGCTAACCTGTTACCAACTAGAATTGCAGGTTCTTTGACAACCTCCTTCATAAAATCTACAACCTGATCCCTCCAAACCAAGGCATCGTAATCAATAATTGCCTTCTCGCTCCAGCCAAAGCCCAGTAAATCCAGGGCATACACTTTGTACTTTTTAGACAACTCAGGTATGTTATACCTGACGACAACAACAACGAGGGCAAAACGATTAAATCATGCAGGTCGCAGAGAGCGAAAGCCTAACAGCTACATAATAGCACCACCACAAAATTTAAAAGAGTCAGAACCAATGTAACAATATTTAGAGCCTAGTCTAGGCTGGCCTGGTGATGTTAAGATTATCCTTGAAAACTTGATTAAAGAAAACAGCATAGCCACTGGTAAAAAAGCTGAAGCCCCGGATTTAAAAGTTTAATCAACTGCTGAAATTTCTGATGAAACATCATTGTGAATCGTGACGATGACAACACTGAGAAAACACTGTAAATGATACCTCCAATGAAATGCAGAAGCACCAAATCCATGAATTAGAACAATTGGGAACCCTTCTCCTTCCACAACATAATGTATCTTTCTCCCTCGCCACGTCCAATAGTTGTAGCCCTCCGGCTTAAAAGGAAGTCTTTCAAGACCTATTGTATATGCCTTAACAGTTATAATACAATTCAATACTTAGGATACGAACACAGATAAAGTACACCAGACACCATCAGGATAGACTAACCAAGCTAGTGCCTATACTGACACAGATACTCACATTGAACTACTGCTGTGAGCTCATTTGACAAACATACTCTCCAACTCCCTAACCCTCCAAAGAATTATACACGCATAGGCAAACGAACTAGCTTAACATCACAAGAAGATGGGAATATGGATAACAGCTAAATGGCAATTGAAACTGACCTTGCGAAGGTTTAGGCATTACAGAAGGTGCAACCGCTGAAGCTCCAGCAGCCACAATTCCCTTGAACGCAAAACTTCTCCGACTTAATTCACACTTGCTCTCTTGCAATGACAAAGGGAATAAGTTAGCCATTAAATATCGAAAAAATGGAAATGAAAGTAACTAGAAAGATAGTTAGAGCTCACTGTAATAATGATGAAACCCAAGTTTAACTGGGGCTGTCAATTGGCTACGAGGTTTGAGGTTGAAGAGCTCTGCCCTCCCACAATCTGACAAATTAGCACAAGAACCGGACATCAGCTCCATCTCAAGGCCACAAAGGGGCAAGCTTTAAGAACTATGAGAACAGAACACACCAATTTGAGTTGCAAATGTTGAATTTTGACAAAAAATTCACAGAGATTACGAGAGGGAATCTTCGGAGGAGTATGTGAAGTGAGATTTCCACACCGCAGTTTGAACTCTGAAGATATATAGTGTTGGTATTGTTGTTTTTTACCTTTCTGTGGTGGCAGTTGCACTCTTAGGTTGTGGGCCGTGGCCATTTAAAGGCCAATCAATTTTGTTTTCTCCAGGAAGGTATTAAAAGATTTTTCCGGTAAAACAAGGTTATAATATCTGAATATTGTCCTTGACCATGAAGAAAATGTACTACCATTCACAAACTATACAAGATATAGGACAATAGGAGCATGTGGTAAAATCTACGCTCCTTCCTAGTTTCCAAGAATAAAAGCATGAAAGAAATAAAGAATCCCCCTTTTAAGTTTCCTTTGCTTCATCAACAAATATGCTCGGTAAAGAGACAAATTCAATTGTGCTGGCCAAAAATGAATACTAGAAGTAGGAGGTAATAGTAATATACCAAAAGAATGAAGGACCCAATTCGCCATATATTATTAGTACGCTATCTCTTTTCGCCTGTGTTCATCAAATAGGCAAAATACTGAGATCCCCACTAAACTCATTTCCCATTTCTCGTGGTGATGGAAGCCTCGGTGCGAATTTTACTAAATTCCTCCGCGCGCCAGTTTACCCCTTGCTTTCACCCTCTTAAAATTGCGCCCATCTTGTCGTCTCCCAATTATCGACCTCGTTCTGCCCCACTTCCTCCAGCTTCACTGCTTCACCGCCAAAATCATCACCCCATTATATGCTCTAACGCCTATGTTCCTCATCACGGCTCTCAGGCCTCAATCCCATTTGGGTTTTCTAATCCAGTCTCAATCTCTGGATTTAATCTCGATAAAATCATCTTCAGCTCAAATTTCTCTCGGTTTTTTTCTGACCCAAAGCAGAAATCTTTCGAATGGAACTATGCTCAGAATGGAATTCACGGGAGGGAAAATGGGATTATAGGCGAGAAAGGGCCAATTGTTACTGCTGTGTTATTGGGATGGCTTGGAGCTAAGCCGAAACATTTGAGGAAGTACGTGGAGTTGTATAATTCGAGGGGCATTCATGCTATAACCTTTGTTGCTTCTATCAATGATGTGCTTTCTTTTGATCTGGGTAAGAAGTTGGAGGATAGAATTTCTGGCTTGACTCATGAGCTCACGTCTTGGCTGTCTGAATCAGAAAAGGATGGGCGTGAAAGATTCTTGATTTTTCATACCTTCAGCAACACTGGTTGGCTTGGGTAGGTTCCTAATTTAACTTTCTGCTGTGCGTATAATGTGATTCATGTTTTTGGCTTTTTATTGTTATGGGTTTTGTGTTATTGAAATTTGAGTTCTTCTTTTTTGGCTCTTTGAGAGCAGGTATGGTGCCATTCTTGATAATTTGCTTAATAAGCCTAATTTGTTGGAGAAAGTCAAAGGCTGTGTAGTTGATTCTGGAGGCGATCCTAACATTGATCCCAAGGTTGTTCTTTTTGATGTTTTCTTTTTCATTCTTAGATTTCTACATTATGGTGTTCTTCTTTAAACTTGCCTCTTTAATTTCTGCTAGAAAATAGTTGGTTCTTTTAGTACCATCCCCTCTGATTGTGCTCCATTATGCCATATTTATGCTATTGCAAAACATTGCTTCATTTAGAAGGAATGGCCAACAAGCCAACTTGTTTGCAACCTTTTCGTATACTGTACTTGTCATTCTGATTATTTTTAGTTTAAGCCATCCTGATTCTGTTAGCTCAACAACTGTTTGCTATTATTGTGTACGATTTGAAGGATTGACTTAGATTTTCAAAATACTTGATCATGTATTAAAAGTTGTCTGTTTGGTCCTTTAGATGCTAGGATAAGATGATGCTTGAAGGGGGTCTGTCTGCCTTTAATATTCACGATTAAAAAGCTAATGCTGTCTGAATTACAGATAGCTCTCTGAATGGATATGGTTACCTATGATTTTCATTTTTCTTATAAAATGACACTTGGAAGATTCGTAACTCCAGAGATTTATACATCAATAATACCCAGTTGATATGTAAAACCAGATTGAAGGATTATAGTTGAAATTTTTTTTCCTTACCTGGAAGGAAGAGTGCAAGAAATTGAGTTTCTTGGGATTTAGATTTGCACTTTAATGAACTATTTCATGTTCAGTGTTATGCATGGTTCATGGGTTTTAACTTTTAACTAATAACTCTGAAAGGTGTGCTCATCATAAGTTGAACTTCATATTTGATAGGTCTGGGCTGCTGGTTTTACTGCAGCTTTGCTAAAAAAATACAGTTCGTCTGCATATCCGTCAGTTGAACAAGGAGATCTGAATGCTTTAGAAAAGGGCATGGACACCTCAAAGATAGGAAAACCTCTACTGATTGAAACGATGCTCCTCTCAGCACTTGAGAAATTTTTCTCATATATTCTCAACTTGCGAGAGGTTAATCAGTAAGTTTGCGAGAAATTCCAAGTTGTTCACCTAAAAAGAGTCAGGCTATTTTGTAACTTCTGTTTGATTATTGTTTGTGTACTGTCAGGAAGTTGGCAAAGATCGTTGCGACTCTGTCAAACAACCAGCCATCTTGCCCTCTGCTTTATCTCTATAGTGCAGCTGACAAGGTGATTCCATATCAGGCAGTTGAGTCATTCATTGAACTGCAAAGAAGAAGCGGAAGAGATGTGAGATCTTTTAACTTCGGAACATCACCCCATGTGGACCATTACCGGACTTTCCCCAGTTTATATACATCAGAGATTGAGAAGTTTCTGAACGACTGTTTGCTCATGGCGAAAAATTTTAAAATGAAGCAATGATTTAAGTTGACATGCTGTGCAGATGTATTTTTTTTTTCCCCTGTGCCTAGTGCAGCTGCATTCTCAACGTCCAAGTGGAAATTTCTTGTTGATTTTGGTTTCTCCAAAAATTGCTATTCCATTTTGTAAGTTGGGGTTCTCTTAAGCTTTGAGTTCCTTTTAAAGCCCGTTTCAGGAGTGATCATATGTTAGTGTGATATGCATCACTAGTTGCTTATTACTCGGATTCATCCGCAAATACACACACAAAAAAAAAAAAAAAACCAAAATCTCTAAAGAATTTATGTTTTGATTGATTTATAAGTGATCAGTACAAAATAAAAATAAACGAACACGAACATATCGTCCTTATAATAGCTACTACATGTAGCAGCGTACATGCTTAGCAGTTTTTAGTATTTCGCTTCCTCTCTTTCTCCCCAAATTGTGTTTGGTCGATTGCCCTGACTCAAGGTAACTACAACTTTTTATATGCTTTATAATCTCTCGAAATTGCATTTATATTCTTAATATTTCACTGCAACCTTGTAATTTTCTTCTCATCAGTGTTTTCTTTTCGTGAGTATATATGTTGAATTTCAATGTCTTTTTTTTTTTTTTTTTTAACTACAGCTTCAAACTTCGGGTATTTTATTTTAAATAAAAGTTAAGTCCGGGCGGGACCGCCGTCGGCTCCCGTCTTTTCCTTTCAGCCAAGCTCTGGGGCTTCCAACGCCTAATTTTTGAGATTTGGTGGCCGCGCTGCGGAGTTGCTCCACTCTCCTATCTTTGGTATTTTAGATTTTATCTCCCTTTTTCTTTTCTGAAAAAATAAATTCTAATACAATTTGCATCAATTATTTGTTTAACCAAACATAAAATTTTCCCTCCCTGCCTAGGGGATGGGCCGGATTTAATCTTGGGTCACCTAGGGTAGGGAGAAAGCTTTGTACCCGGTTAACTAACCCCATCTCTCCTGGAAATTGTTGTTTTCCTCAGATCGGATCAGAATCTCAATTTCAATTTTTTTTTTTTTTAAGGACTGGCTGATGCAGCAGATAATTTGTAGTGGTATAGCATGTTTTCCTTTCAACCCAGAATGGATAAATTGAAAAATTCCCCAATGATGATGAGTTGTTGCTCCGCCTAGAGATGGTGGTGTTGTGGGAAGTGATTGGTGGTCTGATAAATTTATGATGGAACTATGGAATTCAGCTCAACAATTGTTTGGTGTGCGTGCGCATCTGAAAGATGTTGCACGTGTCGCTCCTGAAGCTGTCGTGGAAACCTTTTTCACTTGGGATCGTGGTATCGATGTTTCTGAGGATAATGCACTATTCCAACCAGTGTTGGAGTAGTACTGCATCATCGATGTATCTTTTCCAGAGTTCAATACGGGGTCCTGTTCCGTATGAGAACAGCATCTGGGGAGCCTCCACTCAGACTTCTGGTAACCTTAATGGTGTTGTCTTCTCGTATTTGGAGCTGCGGTCGCACCAGCCACTTTTGCCACAAAAAGCCTGGGCCGAGCTTGGAATTGTTCCATTATTGTTGCGCACTTGTGGTTCATGCATCGATGGAAGTCAAGTGTGATAACCCGAGCCATGGCTATTGATAATGGAATCGATCGGGACAAGTTGTTGATGTTGGACAGGGAATCAGCTGTTGGACTACTTGTCACTGGATCCATAGCACTTGCCTGTGTTCTTGTGGGGCAACTGCCGAGTGTGTTATCACCATAGTATGGGTCGCAGGTTTGTTTCTCTCCAATGACTTAATTTGACGACTTCCTTGTTGCATTCTTGGGTCTGTTTTGATAGAACATAACTTGAGGTTTGAAGTTTGAGAACTGAATAGTATACGTTTGGCCTCATTCCTATTCCTTACACATCCTTAAAATAGAGTGTTGTTAGTGTCAAATGGAGAATGGTTTGAATGATTGAATAAAAGCCTGTAAATTCTTTGGATAAGATTGAAAGTGTGGTGCACTGGTGTGATGAAAGAATGTAATTATGTGATTGTGCAGTTTTGTTTTTTCTCCTAGACTAGACTTGATAGCAAAAGTTCGAGAAAACTTATTAGACATTCATTTTGATGAGAATGTATTTTTGATTTTGCAGGGACAGTTATTGCACTTAGCGCTGATCGTTGTTGATTACGGATTGGTTGTTGAGATTAGTCTGTGTTTGATATCACTGTAACCATTTTAGCATTCCCGCTTTTAAGTAGATCGAAAATTAGATCTTGTGGTTTTGTTTTTTGGCTTGTTTCTTCTTTAGTGTGTAAAGTTGTATTTTGACTCTCTCATTTGGTCCCAAAAATTTAGGGTAGCTTGACTCACTCACCATAAATTTTATTTCAGCAAAATTAGTCCTTTAAAACTTAAAAGGAAAGTTTTATCTTACTAATTCCATTTTTTTTTAATGAGAAAATTATCTCCATTAATATTTTACTATTATTGTCCAGTTTAGAATTTTATTTTTTTTACTCCCTCTGTCCCAAAATTATTGTCCAGTTTGAACTAGAAATGAAAACTTAAACTGGACAATAATTATGGGACGGAGGGAGTATTTAACATTATACTAATAGCGAAATCTCAAACTGAACAATAATTTTGAGACAAGTTAGTATAAGTAGAGATATCCAGGGTTTCGAGTAACTTTTAGAGGACCAAAATCGAACTCTTCCAAAAATTCTCAACATGTCCTCCTCGAGTATCCGACCCGGTAAATCTCTCTTGCCTCCGACGTCCACCCTCAATTTCCGCCAAGCGGTTGTTTGTAATGCTTACTCTTCTTCTACTAACAAGTTTGGGAAGCCGGCAGCTCCGTCGTCGTTTTATGAGGTCTTGGGCATTTCGGTGGGGGCGACAAATAAGGAAATTAAGGCGGCGTACGGGAGATTGGTTAAGGTTTGCCATCCTCATGTGGCGGCCAAGAAGAGTTTATGAACGTTCACACTGGTTATTGCACTTTGTCTGATCCAGAAAAGAGAGCTGATTACGACCGGCGGCTCTTTCGGAAGCAGCAAGCGCGGTTGCATCCCCCGACTATGCCGAGGTATTCGTATTCCGGCCGGCCGCGGAGCCAGACTGAAAACTCCAGAGAAGCAGAGGCTGCATTGTTTACGGAATTTTTCGTTTGGCATATATTAAATGTGTTTCTATTAATAGTGCAGAATTGTGTATGGAATTCTTGTTTCTGCATTTATATTAGTAGTCTTCGTCAAGTTAGTTTCGGAAAGTAAGACTGGCTCCAAAGATGTCCTCACTCTTAGCGTAGGTAATTGTTTCGGCTGCCAATCTTTCCATGTCTTCCAGGCTTGCTTATCTATGTCTTGCAAAAATAATCCACATTGTCATTATACCAAAAACAATACCTCTGATCCACATTGTGAATCTTACTATGAAATTGATAAATACAGTAGTAGTAGTTTGATATGTATGCGCATCACTAGTTACTTACTACTCCGGTTCATCTGCAAGTAGCCAAAAACACCAAAATCTCTATGAATTTTTATTATGTTTTGGTTGATTTGTAATCTCTCTGATCAAACTTGTGATCCGTACAAAATACAAATTAAGGAACGCGGACATATTTGTCCTTACGGGTCACTACTGCGTGTAGCAGCTTAACATGCTTATAAGATGTCCTTAAAAATCCAGGTGATTTCAGTTCCCTGTCTGACGATGATGAGGAGGATTTCTCCACTTCCGAAATGGTAGATTTCATGGATTGAGATGCTAACTATTTTGAATCAAAACTATAAAAAACCAGAAAAGAACAATATGATAACCATGTAGTCAAATACAAGTAACCCATTCTGTCTGTTATATAGGTTTATGCTACACAAAGATCTAGCTTACGGCATAAAAGGCGCAAAACTAGAGAAGGATGCCGTGATGACGAGATCTACCATCCTTCATATTCCTGTTGTTGGAGAGCCATTGCATATTGCAAGTCTAAATCTTCTTGGATCGAATAGTCAATGCCTGAAAGCAAATCTGCAGAGGAAGCCACAGTATTTTGCACATCCAATGACCTGTCGCCATGATCGTCCACGTTGAACTTCTCCATGTTACCAGTCATGAACTCGGTATTTCCTTTCGTATCATTCAACTTTTCCCAAACCAATTGGGGCTGATTCAGATAACCCAGATCAGTAACCAGAATATATAGTTCACCTTCAAACTTGAACATGGTGTTGAAATGATTATTCCTGAAAAATACACACACCTCACGCTCTTTCAATCCCTCCTGTAAGCAGAACATGCCATAAATTGTCAATTGACTGGCATTAGAATTTAGGAAATCCCGGATAAGTTGACCTTGCATTGGACAGATCTCATGTTCCTTTGTATCAGATATTTCCAGATTTTTTACCCCTTGTTCTGCAAGCAAGATGCTCTCCTCTGCTTCACGAATTCGTTCAGAGTCATCCACAGCAGACAAGAAACCTTCAGGTTGATCAACATGAGTATCTTGAGCATTAGTTGAACCGATGGCATCAAAGGTATCATGACCATTTTGCTTATTTCCTACTTTCTGATCATCAGCGTGAATTTCAGAGAACCCCGCGGTATCTGAAGGCAAAGATACAACTTCCAATGATGTGAACTCATCAATCTGGAAAGGGGCTTTACTTTCAGATTCTTCTGCAATTGACTGTCCACAAGGATCCCCAAGTTCTGTATTCAAACAAACAGCTTCTGCTTCAGAATCTTTAATGAAGTTCCCAGTACCATCGGGTTTTGCCACTGTGTCCAGACAAGGAACTTGACTTCTTCCATGGTAAGCTTGGCTCTTCAAATCCGTCGCAGATTCGGGATTCGTTGAATGCAACTCAGAATCAGAATCAGAATCACCATATGACTCATCTGACGGAAAACTATGCGTTATTGACTCAGAAAACTTCATAACCCTAAGTAGCTCAATCGCTTCTTCAATGTCCTCTTCTCCAGCAGCCTCCAAATCTTGAGTCTCAAGGGCAACAAGATCCACCATTAGAGAATTATACGACTTGGACCCAATGGCATTTGCAGTTTCATAATCCAGGGGATCAACTATCCAACCATGGTAAAGTGGAATGTTCAACAGATCAAATATTGCGCACTCCCGAGTAAACTCGAAGTCATCAATCCTTCTAAATTTGGTATTCACATCGATCCCAGTTGCTAGTCTTGGAAGCAAGTCGATGGCATCAGCGATGTTCTGTTCAAGATTTTCAGAACATCCATCATCATCTTCTTGTTCTTCTTCGTTGAGATTGGATATGAAAATTCGATCGGCCACAAGAGAAAGTAAATGTTGCTGCGAAACCTCAGAAATGTCTGGTCTCAGGCTCAACTTATTCTGCAACAGAAGAACATTACAGATGGCGAGGAGAGGGCAAGGTCCGTTGTCCTTTTGAAGAATGATAGGAGTAGGCCGTCCCAAGAAATCAATTACTTTGACTTTGTGCATAAGTCTCGGCTCTTCTTGCCGCCTTTCCTCCGGCGATGATGACACACCAGCCGGCGGCGCCACCGGAGACGACCACATCTGCCGGTTAATCGTTGCTTTCTTCTTTTGATCAAGGTGCTTCTTCCCCTTCCTCCCGGAATGATGATTATTTCACAACTTCTGCTTCTTCTTCCCTTTCCTCTTAGCTCGATGATTACTACACATTTCTTTGTGTGTGGTACCGATTTAGAGAGTATGCAGATTTTAGAGAGCGGAGAAGATAAAAGAAGGTCGGTCTCCTGTGGTAGTATTTATAGAAGAGAAGAAGAAAACCTAATGCCTTTCCAATTCCGGATAGGAGGGGAAATCAATCTTTTTTCCAATTCTCCATGGATGACTTATATATTTTGTTATTGAATTAGGATTCCATTAGTTTCGTTCGAATTCCCCCTCCTCCCTCTTATTATCATTGAAATTAGAGCGTCAATTCATTCTAGTGAAACGTCTAAAATTTACATTATTCGAACGATAAGAAACACTAGTAACACTTAAAAAATTAGTGAAGCTAGAAGGATAAGGGCTAAAGGGAGTTTTCAACAATCCAGATGGCTAGCATCTCAGCAGTGTAAAATCTGGATACATACATACATGGTTAGATTGTTTGAATCAATTAAATGTACCAAATCACTGTTTTGTCACTTGCTTGCAGTGGAGGCGAAGGTTACTAATTAAGGACATGAGGATGAAAATGCGCTATAAGCTATCCGATTAAGGCACTGTGCTATATCTGTGGAGCATCTCTTCTGCACTTGTTGAAGCTGAGTTGTGGGCAACTGAAGAACTTTGTGCCTTGTTGTTGCGATGGAATAGGTTGCTGAATAGTATATGGCAGAGAAATTAAGCAAAACAGAGATTTCTGCTAGCAGTAGTTGCTGCTGCCATTTACACATATGGAGGGCACACCATCTTGCCATGTTTTAATATAAAAACTCTACCGTGGATGGAGTGGCTGCTGATATCCCACTAGAACTAAAACGGAGCCACCAACTCCTACGAGAGCAAGTGAACAAAGTTACTGGTGTGCTGCAAGATTTGTTTCTGCTGTAAAGTGCAGCTAGTGATTTTTTTGTTGGGATTATTTCTGTTCTAGTTTTGCTAGAGGTCTTTGGAAAACAGTGGAGATGCAGCTGGGTTTATAAAACTTGTGATAGAAATAGACATTTACCATACTGAAAAAAAGAAATACTTGGCATAAATGAAGTTTATGAAGAATTAAAGTAACATCAGAAACCTTTTCCAAAAAAACAAAAAAAAAATGTAACATCACAAGATGGGGAACCAGAATGTTGCTATTACTACTACTACTACTACTACTATCCGCACAAATCTGAGCAGCTTGAGCAGATTTAGCTGCAATCCCAAAGATTTGTATGATCTCAAACAGCAAAATGTCCAGTGTTATTATCCAGAGCTGTCGCCCTTTCTTTGTTGAGGAGCTTAGTCCTGGCCTTATTGAGACCAGAATTGGGAGACTTGTTTAACCGCTTTTCAATGGCAGGACATCGAGATTGGACAGCTGCAACCGTGAGAAGAGACTTCTTAGGGATGAAATCAAAGAGATCATTAACTTGCTTAGTCTCCTTTTCAGTCGCAGACAATTGACCTGCAAGAGACTTCTTCTTAGGAGTGAAATCAAAGACGTGATGAAGAAACTCATTCTCCTGCATATGCTTCACAAATCCGCCACCAAGGAAACGCCTCAAAAATTTCACCTGGATCAATTGAGCCCAAGAGGTTGTACTCATCGACTGCCTACCAACTTTTACTGTAGTCTCTGGGCTGTATCCTTCCTCAAGGAATTCCAAGATATCCTGGAAACTATTTCTCTGACCATTGAGATCAACAGCCTCGTCACAGAGATTCTTCACTTGGGTTAGGATACTAGACCTTAGCCCTTGAATATGCATCAGCTCCGGAGACTTGTCAGCTTCATTGTTAGAATTTTCACTGGAACTCTCACAAAACTTTCCCAGGCTACCTATCTCAAAAATCAACGCAATGGCTTCACCAGCTGCAATACGCACTGGTCTGTTATCCAGCAAAGTAGAAAAGAAAGCAATCGACCCTTGCCAACTCTTAGGATCAAGACGCCATCCATCCATGGTGGTAAGGAGGAATGACCAAGCAGACACTGCAGTTGCTATCAAAGGTGGTTGTGAAGGTTTAGCAGCTGCAACTTCCCACACCAATTGCATAGATTTCTGAGTAAGCTCCGGCTGGTCCTCAGCACCCACAAACGTAATAATTGCCAGACACTCCAACAAAGACGACATCTTAGCTAGGTCACTTGGAGATTTGAGGGCCTCAGAGATAAGGGATACCGACTCTCGCAATATTTCTTGAGCTTGAGACCCAGGACCCGTTGTCAAAGCCAAAAGTCCAACCAAGTGAGCTGCCATGGCCACCTCTTTGGCAGAGCCCCGCTTGATACAATTCAAACATTGATACAACAAGGTAGCAGATTTCTTCTCCACAAACTTATGCTGTACATTGACATTAAAAGCTTCTATCATTGATGCCAATGCATTCTCCCTAGTAGAAGGCTTTTTCTCAAAAAGGGCATCTAAATGTTGGTCCAGCGATGTCTTTTTCTTCTGTGGATGACGTACAAACTCTGTCGGAGCATCTGATACGCCAACGTGATCGGAGCGAACAGCGGATGACCAACTAAAACTGTGGGTATCATCGTAATCTAGCAGAACAACAACATTCTTCTTCTGTGAATTCCTACCACCCATGGCGATTGGCGAAACCCCTTTGTAGATTACAGTAAAGAGTTAATAATTTAGTCCAAGAAAACCCAAATTAAGCAATAATATTGGGAGAGCTTCGCTTCCCAAACCCTAATTTTTCCTATTTATTGTACGAATAAGTCAAGGGGATCATCCACTTTAATACAAATAATAATCCTTTTACCATATGAAATAGGAATCAGTCCTAAAACGGAAACAAGAAGGAAGAAAGTAATCAGGAAATTGCCGATTCTAACAGGAATTAAAATTCGATGGTGTAGTATCGTGTATGAAGAAAACACCTGATTATTGATCTGCTGTCACTTCCGCTTCATTCCCAATTGATTCTCCGAGCTTTTAATTCCATTGTCGCTAACCCGCCGGAGAAGCTGCCGGTGATGGTGGGCTGGTTTTTGAGGGCGGAGCGGACTGTTAATGAAATTTTCATAACTGAGAGAGAGGGGTAAAATAGACATAAGCTCCTTAATTCACTTGGACTTGGACGGATAATAGGAATAGGTTCATACCGTTTCTCCTTCACACCTACTTCTAGCTCCCATCAAGACTCAAACCTGCAACTCGACGCAATTTACAGTCCCTCCAGGTGATTGCCTCTTTGTTTTCCTCTGATCCCATTAATGTTTTGGGTTTAATTACCTTCAGAAATTCATGTAGAAGGAAGAAGCTCGTGAATTGTTTTCTTTTTGTATTGCTATATATAGTGCAAAAAACTCTATGCTTTGTCAACTCACAGTCTCATTTGTGAAAGCTTATTTTTTCATCATAATTTGTTTCTTTTTTCTGGTTGGGGCGCGATTTGTTAAAATACTTCTGGACTCATTTGATCACGGTGTCAGTTTCATATCCATGTTGATCGAACTTTTGTTGCTCATCTGGGAGGATAATGATTATTTGTAGTGGATACGGTGTGTTTGTTTGATATCTGCAGTCAAAAGCTCAGTCGTGCTCAATTTTCCAGTTGTCGTTTATTTGTTCCTCTAGGATTGCCTTTGATTTGGGAGAAGGCTTGTCTATTGAATCTCTGGTGAGAGCGTTTTGAATTTGGGGGATAAAATGCCGATCGTGGATGAACCCTCATCAAATTTAGCCATGTCGCCCCCCAATTCTTACAGCGCGGTGGTTCTTGGGGGCACCTTTGATCGCTTACATGATGGTCACCGCCAGTTCCTCAAGGTTTCTAAATTTTTTTCTTATGTGACCTTCTCATTTATAACAAGAAATTTGTCATGACCTTTGAAATGAGGATTCTTTTGTAACCCCCAAGGATCATTTAGTTTAGTTTTGAACGTACGAGATTGGTTTCTGATGAAGGGCAAGGTTACCTGATTCTGTAGGCAGCTGCGGAGTTGGCTAGGAATCGGATTGTAATTGGCATTTGTGATGGCCCCATGTTGACAAAAAAACAAGTATGTGCCTGATGATCAGCTGTTACTGCATTATGTTTCTTTGGTTTCCTCAACAGTTGGCAATTCAGTAGCTTCTTGCTTATCTTTTTGTGGGATTGCATCTCGCAGTTTGCTGAATTGATACAACCTATTGAGCTCAGGAAAACAAATGTTTCGGAATTCATCAAGGTAAGTACATCCAAAACTTCATTTTCGAATGATATTTCTAGTGTGATTGTGCCCGTCAATGTTGCTTGGCTACCTAAGTTTCATAACTATAGAGGTAAGTTGTTTGTTGTCACGCTGTGGCTGGTTTGTGGAGATCTACCATACTTGTTCTTCACAATAGGAATTCTGGAAACTTGGGTCTTATGTAGATGTATGCACAGTTAAGCAAAGATGCATGTGCTTTTAACCGTCATCTATGGAATTGCTAGCTAATGTTGCTTGTTTTGATGCATTGAACCATTGCGGAAATTCTTATCATCCAAGTGTCCTTGTAACTTCTTCCTCTCTTTTTGTCCTGCAAATTTGTTTCCAGTCCGTTAAACCAGATTTGGTGGTGCAAGTAGAACCTATAGTGGATCCCTATGGTCCTTCAATTGTTGATGAGAATTTGGAGGCAATTGTTGTAAGGTAGGGATCCTCATTCAAGCTTGTTCTTTTTCCTTGTGAAACCATTTTGTGTTGTCTTTTGCTTTTGAAACTTCTTTTTCCTGTTAGTTCAACAATATTTGAGACAGATTCTGTCTAATTCGCAGGATCAAGTTTTATGTGATCCCAAGCTTGATTTGTTTTGTTTTTAATTCAAAAAAGAGATTTGTGTGTATTGCTGGAAGGAGTTGCCGTGCAAAAATGTGTTTTCATGGTAATTTGGCAGAAAATATGCCTGCCAATCTGAAACTGTCATGTAAATTCTTTGTGTTGGTTGTGGTTAGTTTCACACCGAGAACCCAATACCCCTCTTGCTTGTGGTTTGGAGTTTTTATTCTTTCTGTACATATTCTCTGACATTATGATGGGAGGATTCATAAATTGCTGATCTTTTCAGATAGTCCTTTGATGAATTTCTTTTGATATGTGTCATATGACAGTAAGGAGACATTGCCAGGTGGATTATCTGTTAATAAGAAGCGTGCTGAGAAAGGCCTTTCAGAACTCAAGGTTTGTAATACTCTGCTTGCAACTACCTATATTACTTAGGTCATTGCAATCAGGGAGGATAACAAAATCAAACTTGGGAATTCATTTCATTTCTGTAGATTGAAGTCGTCGATTTAGTTTCTGAAGGATCCTCGGGAGACAAGCTGAGCTCTACGGCGTTGAGAAGGCTTGAAGCGGAAAAGCTTAAGAAATCTTGAGATGTCACCTTGGTAGGAAATACGTACGTGAGGCTCATGTTCATCAAGAGCCACCATTCAAATTAGTGTGTACTCCTATTACTTCTCTTTCGTAGTACAAAGAGTGTCTTATTCATTCCAGTGCAACATATACATATTTACAAAGTTGATTGTATCATTGCTTTCTGCATCTTTTCTGTTGTACTCCCAATGTGATATACAAAGGGGGAAAAATTACTCTCCCGATGTGAGGAACACTGGAATACGATCATCCAAACACAGTCTCTTTATGAAATTGGCAAAAATGGCTCATATCTAACAGGATATTAATTTTAGTGATATGATTAAAGAGAGCTTACTAACAAGATGTGTGGTACAAAGATACCAGAGAAGAAGTTCTGAGCAAGAATAACAAATATCATATGCACACTGAGAAGAAATTTTTCAGAGAATTTTTTTTCCCCAAATTTCACTGGTTAAAATGACTTCATCCAGTAGGCCCTTTTACAATTGCAAAGTCTGTACAAAATGTGGCGGAAAAAAAAAAGTAAAAAATTCAAAAGGTAAATGTAAAAAGCCTCTAAAAGGATAAGGTTATTGGACGATCCGGCGTCGTATACTATAGACTAGGCAGGCAAACTAACCGCCTCAAGCGGCACCCCTGATTTACTGAATAAATAAAACGGCTATTTCTACCAACAACAAAAATTTCAAACGCTCAAAATAAACTGAAAGATCACAACTCGTCCTCTCCAAGAAAACACACACACACACACACACACACACACACATTGCAAAAAAAAAGCAGAGAGAACTTTCTTACTGTTCTTGGTTTTCCGTTCTCCATTGGTGCCGTCTCGAACACAAAGGAGAGAAAGGGAAGTGGTTTGGAAGGCAGACTTCATCGTTGAGCGGGATCATTCATTTGGGTTGGTAATTTCTCTTCTTGATGTCGCCCAAGTGTTTGTGATTACTTCGAATTTTCTTGATTTTTCTTTTCCCAAATTATTTCCATTTTTATTTCTCTGTTTGTTCTCTGTGGTAATCAGGGCTGTTCCTGAGTTGTTTCGTTACTGAGAATTTCAAGGAATTCATCTTCAATTTCGCTTATTGACGAAGGTATTGCATAAAAGTTGGAATCTTTTGGAATTAGGTTTTAGTTCTTTAACACTTTTTCTGCGTAATTTTAACGTCAAGATTCATTTCTGTCAGGGTTTATTCAGAGAGCAGAAAATTGAATTCCAAAGATGAATGATCTTATGACGAAGTCGTTTTTAAGTTATGTTGATTTGAAGAAACAGGCCCAGTTGGAAGACCTTGATGCCGAGACTTACAGCGACATTGAATTGGGTCATGGGAATCCAACCCGGATTCGTGAAGATAACAACCTTTCTCTGTTCTTTCAAGAAGTCGGTGTGATTCAGGCTGACATGGAAGAGATTTTTAATCTCTTGGTTGATCTTCAAGGCTTGAATGAACAGACGAAGATTGCCCACAGTGCCAAGATTATTCGTGGGCTCAGGGACAGAATGGATGCCGACATGGTTTCTGTTCTTCGCAAGGGCAAGGTTGTCAAGGCTAGGCTGGAATCACTTGATTTATCCAACAAGGCCAACAGGAAGATTTCCAGGGAATTTGCAGAAGGCAGTGCCGTTGACAGAACCAGAATTTCAACCACCAATGGGCTGAGGGCCAAACTGAAAGACATTATGTGTGGTTTTCAGGACTTGAGGGAAACCGTTCTCTCTGATTACAAAGAGAGCTTGAGGAGAAGGTACTACAATGCCACTGGTGAAATCCCAAGGGAGGAAGTCATTGAAAAGATGGTTTCAGGGAATGGTCAGGTTGAGGTTTTTCAACCAAAGATTGAATCATACTGGGAGAACAAAGAGAGCCATGAAGCTGTGATGGATATCCAAAGGAGTTTGACTAAACTTCATCAGGTGTTTCTCGATATGGCTGTTCTGGTTGATGCTCAAGGGGAAGACATTGATGATATTGAGCAGAATGTAGCCAAAGCTGGAAGCTTTGTCAGTGGTGGTACTAACAGCCTGTATTATGCCAAGCAGATGAAGAAACGGAACCGAAACTGGATTTGGTGGGTTGTGGCCCTAGTCATTGTCATCTTGCTTGTGTGCTTTGTAGCTCTGATAACAAACTAGTGTAGTTGTCTGGGGAGGTGTATTAGTTACTAGTTGTCGGAAGTACCTAAGAGCAGCTTGTATTTCCTCACTGTAATATTCTTTTAGGAAGAATTAATGGTCTATTTTGCTCTGCTTCTGGATCGAAAGGCTTTTGGCCAAATTCATGTACTCCTAATTGCAGTTCTGATATATTCGGGGTGTTATGAAAAGTTTAGCTGTATTCCCCAATTGCACTGCTGCTAATGTTGGTTTCATTTGGATGAAATGAGGAAGCATTTTCCTTTAAACACTTTCATTCAGCAAACAGATTCAGTAGTTCAGTTTTACGCGTTAACACTATGCTGCAAATCATGGCTGCTGACCAGCAGCAGCACAACGGGTAGAAATTGGGAAATAAAACTGTCTATGTTGATTAACATTGTTGCAACGAAAATCATGATAAAATCTTTTACTTAAGGCCCTTAAAATCATTGTTGAAAGGCTCTGGCGAATGAAACGATGAACTGTTGAGCCCATTTGTCGAAAAATGAGAGGAAGGGGGAAGAAACGGGATGATATCTTATTCAATTACTGCAAGGATCCAAATGCTTTCCCGAACTTATACGATGAGATGGTTACATCACTTCAAGCAACATTTAAGCTATGCACTGCAGTCCAAGATTGTTCAGGGTCAAGCTGAACCTGCCCGATGTATGGGAATATTTAGAAATAACAAGATAGATTAACCTAGGGCGGCGGCGTTTCAAGTATAATGCCAGCCCTACTATCAACTGAGAGATATGGCTGAAGAGGACACAAGCATAAGCAGCGAAAATTTTCTACACCTTCGCATTTTCCTAGCTAACAAAATAATCATAGGATGCTACAATAGTTAAGAGGACGATTCCAAAGTACAGCATCTGACCAACTGCGCATATGAAAAGGATTCGGAAAACTTATCAGCCTTTGTACTGCACCAATCTTTATTAGGTGTTGCAAATTGAAAGAGGAAGAAACAGGATGCACCAATCTTTATTCAAAATACTGCAAGAATCCGATTACTTTCCCGAAGTTATACAATGCTCTCATTATTTTTCATTTGAGAAAGATCATTTGAAATATCGAATATGCTTTTCTGCAGCATTATCGCGTTCAATATACAGATAAGACGAACACCTAATATCCTAGGCAAAGTGCTGCCCCATGTCAGTTCCCTGTGAGGTAATCACAGAAGTGGCTCTTTATGCTGGATGTTAATGATCACAATCACCACATTGGCGAAGAAACATTGCCAACCAACTCAAATAAGATATGGCTCCTTCGCTTCAAGCAACAATTAAGCTCTGCACCGCTGTCCAAGATTGTTCAGGGTCCAGCTGAACCTGTCCTATCTGAGGCAACATCCAGAAGTAAGAGGGCACTTTTCAGTGTAACGCGTGCTGGAAATGGCTGAAAATGCAAGTATATAAGCAGAGAAAACTTTCTATACCTTGGCATTTTCCACGCAAACGAAATATTTATATGATGCTTCCATAGTTAGATGAGGGTTCCAAAGTACAGCATCTGACCAACTGCACACTTATGAGATGGATGGGGAAAGAATTCACCCGAGGGATGAGAATTGGCTAAAATTTGCCAAAGGATCAATATCGAGCATCATACACTCACTTCGTATTCTTGATGGATATTGTATCGCCCAAACCATTATCCAGGAGAAGCTCACGGGGAGCATCAAGATAGACACAGTCTACAAATCCAGGAAATGTAACTGTATCCCTGTGTCATGAAAGCATAGATTATTAGACTTGGTATTTTCTTACTTGTTGCATAGTGTGACAGACTATTCTAGGATTTGAACTGCAGAATAGGAGATATACCCACCTTTCCTCCTTACCCTCAATGGGATTCTTAGGATCAGGATCTTTGTTAAGTGTTTTACAACCTTTTAGACCTCTAACTGATGCTCCACTCACAGAAGCCTGCAGCAAACAAAAATCAATAATTGGTACATTTCATGGCGAGTGAGAAGTTTCATACCCAGACATATTCTTGAACGTCATATGTTACAAACTCTACCAAAAGTGACAATTTTCACAAAATAATGGAAAGAACTAATAACACTATCTTTCACACACATCAATCTTGTACCCTGACAGAGACTATCATATGAACGAACATAAAGGAGAAGTGTATGCCAGAAAATTTAATTGATGCTAATCATATGGTTAAATAAAAAGAACTTAGTCAACTTACACTGAAGTAAAAGATTCTAACCAAATAATAAGTAGGACTTACACTGAAGTAGGTGTGCAATGCAGTTGTAAATGAAAACGGCTTCTGATCAGTATTTGTAACTATCAATTCCGTCAAGAGTGTCTTTTTTTCCAGAGTGACCTGAAAGTAATTACTATATCAATAGCCATATCAGAAAATTTAGGATCAAGGCAAAAGTAGCAGTCAGTGAATTAGTTTCTCGCGTATCATTCCGTAATGGTGACTGATAATTGAGATGAATAGGCAGACCAACCTTGTACAGAGCTTGGAAAGCGTAGTCCCACATAGAACGGCTGTATGGACCATCATTGAGCTTCAAAGTTATCGTCGGATTTCCCTCCACATTTTCAGAATTAACAATAGACCAGTGCATATTTCTCGCAAATCCATGCTGCCAACCACATTAAGATGATTGAAAAGGAGAATTAAGTCCAGTGCACTTGCGGATTGAATGAGATTGATGACCCCATAACTTTCAGAATTCAATCAACACAATCTATTCTCGGGGTAAAATAGATTAAAGAACCAAAATAATTGAAGAAAATTTACCTGCTGCATTTGGCCAGGCCCAAATTGAGGGAAACAATGTGGGATTCCTCCACTGTTTTGAGGCAGTCAGTCAGAAAACAAAAAGTAACTTTCATGATAATAAAAAGCATACAGTTCTCATTCAGACAAAATGTGCTATCTTCTTTATACTAACTTCTAAGCCTTGTAGAAGTATATGATTCCCTCACCATTAAGACTTCTAAGCTTCTAGCAGGGGATTAGGCATTTTAACCCCTACGGTCTTGAAAAGTCTATTAAGAATATCACTGGTGACTACTGACTTAGTCGTACTCAAAAAGAAACAGATAGGGGAAACCAAAGCCAACAACAGGATAAAGAGAACAGCAAAAATTATGGTAAAAGTTACCTAATCGGCTTCTGTCCATTGAACACAGCATCTGGCCGAACAAAAAGGAGATCCTTGTTGCCTACTTTCCAAGAAGTAACACAACCTCCAAATAAGTATAGTTCTGCCTCACTACAAAGAAGCACATTACTAGCAAGTTAACACTAGCAAAAGGAGATGATTAAGCAATTAAACTAGTAATATTCGTAAATATGGATTACTTATTGACAGAAAAGGGTCCCATTCGTACAGTTATCATACAATAACAGTCCGTTACGCATTCCGATGGTATGCAGACAAATTAATCATGTGATGTATACTTGATACCTACAAAGTCAACTAGTACTTTGGGACACAGTCACAGCTATCTAATGGATTCTGTCCAGATGAAAACCGTAGCCAGAAAACTTAAGAGAAAAACAAGGTTTCTCTCGCGTTCGAAACAGCCAAAGAGGATAATCCCACAAGGGAAATGCACACAATTTACCAGAAAATCCATCAAGAATTAAGATCGAGAAGAACACAAGAATACCTTCCATGAGAGGAAGTCAAAGTGACTCTGGGCAAATTTCCTAGGCCTTCGCCGACTTTCACTCCTAAGCAAGGATTTTCAATGCTTGCAAATGCCATGCCTGAATACCTGTAACAATCCCCTCGAACTCAATCAGTCTACTAAATTATTCCAGGACATTTCTACAATTAAAAGCTAAAATAATCAACATCCAGACACGCGATACGATTCAACAGGATCAAAACAATTCAGAACCCATAAAAAGCATTCGGATCAAATAAACTTGCAAAGTGGGCTAAAATTGGTTAATGAGATAATTACCGGTTGACTCGCCGAGTTTTGTTCGAGGGAGTGACAAACCAAGGGAACGTGGTCATGGACAATGCCACCATCTCTAATTAATCTGAAGTTTTTTTAGTACTAAGGCGTGGGGGAAAGTTTCTTCTGCGTCACACCGTCACTGTGTGCCTGCTGTGTGCATCTCCATCATCAACTGTAAATCTTCCTATATGAGAATTGAGAAATTCGAATATTCCGCAATTTATTTTTGTTTTTGGTTGTAGACCATTTGATATTGATGATCTGAACCTCTTCATGGGCTCAGTGAAGATAAAAGTCCAAAGGTTTAAAAGCTCACGGCCCATACAATTGATATTTTTTTTTCTTTATTGTTCTCTTTATCATGTAGATAATTGTATCTAAAAAATCAAAACTGAAAATCTAGTATCTTATCAACATCATTTGGCGGTTCACTTAACTTTTTATCTATAAAATAAAGCAAACTGAAAAATAGATGCAAACTATCTTTCATTCATCTTAAAAAAATATTAACAATTGCACGACTGAGTTTTGATTTGAATCAAATCCTTTTGATGTCGTATATGATGAACGATGATACTTTATAAGTCTATCAAGGAGGTGGTAGTGACGAGCACTCAAACGATAACACTAACAATGGATTCACCACCCAAGATTGCAGTTTTCACGGCTGAAACCAACAACGATGATCTGCCACAACTTCAATTGATACGCATTGAAGATGATGTATTGTCCCCAACAACTTTAATCAACATCCGTTCATGAAGATGAACTTCCTCCACATAATTCTGGTAATGTTGAGTTTACATTTAAAAAGTTAAAAAATAATAGAGTTTTTTATGTGTACTTATATGTTAATGAATAATTTTTAATAAAACCATGAACACGTTTGTCTATATTATTCATTCATGGACTTTTCTTTAAATGGGTTTGAACATTTTATTATATTAAACACTCAAGTCTGGTTCGTGTTCTTATTTTATTGCATGTATGAATATAATACAAACTTATCATGAATATGACATTTGCGATGTAGGAATATTGACTATATTTATCATGAACATATTACAAATTGTGAATGTAATTATGAACATTATTTAAATTTTCATGAATATAGCATAATATGATCATGAATATTATTTTATTATTATTATTATTACAATGTGCTATTAGTTATGAACCTTAGATTAATATATCATGGAAAACACATTTAGAATTCATGAACCTGGTCTATGGTATCTTTGGCGCATAGGGTTCTTAATCGCTTTGTTATGAAAAATACTCGTTTTACCATTGTTAGACTTTATCCAAAACCCACAAAATACATGATCATTCCTTTGGTCATTTCTCCACTGGTTCGATCAATTAGAGACTAAGGATACCATGATGCGAGGAGAAATCGATCTCCAAGCTAAACGTGGTAAAAAGCTTGACAAAATTATCATGTTATTTCACAGGCCCTACTATCACGAAACTCATGGAACACTCGTCCCACACTCCTATAACTACAATTGGGCGAGCCTAGAAGGATCTATTTTTGAAAATTAATTTTTCATTTGTATATTAACTCGTAGATTATTAAAAAAAAGGAATAAGAAACGTGAAAATTAATAATTAAATAATTCAATCGAGTTGAAAAAATTAAATAACCTAGAAGAAACAACTTGTCTTAGCTAATTCTTTTAGTTTTTCTTTTTGTTTAAAATGGTAAATCATTAATTTTCATGTTTACTTTAACTCGAATTTTTCTTCTTCATTTCTTTAATTTTTTTAAAAAAATTTTATAATCTAGAAGTTAAAATACAAAAGGAAACTAAATCTTTAAAATTTAGAATTATACTACCAGTGTATACAAGTTAGGAAAAAGGAATTTCTTTGTCATTTGTATCTTAACTTCTAGATTATAAAAAAAAAGGAATAAGAAACGTGAAAATTAAAAATTAAATAATTCAATCGAGTTGAAAAAAATTAAATAACCTAGAAGAAACAACTTGTGTTAGCTAATTCTTTTAGTTTTTCTTTTTGTTTAAAATGGTAAATCATTAATTTTCATGTGTACTTTAACTCGAATTTTTCTTCTTCATTTCTTAATTTTTTTAAAAAAAATTTTATAATCTAGAAGTTTAAATACAAAAGGAAACTAAACTTTTAAAATTTAGAATTATACTACCAGTGTATATAAGTGAGGAAGTATAAGAAGAAGAATTGTTAAAAAAAAAAAATTAAAAGATCAAAAAATAATAAAATAATAAAATGACAAAAATACCCCTAAACCCAAAAACATGTGAAAAATGGATTTCTATCACTATTTAACGGTCAAAATTAATAGAATAATCTGAAATGGATTAAAACTTTAGTAACATAATCTGTGTTATAAATAAATTTAATTGATAACCTAGAGTTGAAATATATTAAAGATTGATGACTTGTTTTGAGGTTCACTCTTATTTCTTTGTATGGGGAAGCATTGTTGTTTCGGTCCCTTATCCACATGACCATCAGTAGCACAATTCAATTTAAAATATTTTTAAGACTAAAATGTCAAAATGGTCCCTTATATTGGGGTCTACTTGAATTTTCGTCCCTAACATTAAGATTTCAATATCGTAGTCCAAACATTATGTTTTCACACTTTTTTGGTCTCATTTAACTGTATCCGGTCGTTGACATGCCGGAATCAGGGGTAATTTTGTCTCTTAATTTAATTAAATTTTTATTAAAATTTAAATCATTAAAAATATTTTAAAATTCAAATTTTATTATTTAATTGTTAAAATATTATTTATTAATTAAAAATATTATTGTACAATTTTAAAATTTATCATTATTTTCAAAATTACTTTTGTCATTTACTATTTACTTTAAGTACACAATAAATGGTAATTATGTTGCACTTTTAATTTTGGGCTGAGTTACAGTAAATAATTCAAAATTTAATTTTTTTTAAAAAAAAAAGAAAAAGAAAAAGCAGAATTAAGATTTTTTATTTTTTTTACTCTGACCGCTACAGTAAACCCTAAATGGTAATTATGTTACACTTTTAACCTTGTACCCACTGTAATTTAAAAAATTTATCAAATTACAGTAGATAATTCACAATTCAATTTTTTTTTTCAAAAAATATAAAACCAAGAATTTTTTTACTCAGACCACTACAGTAAACCCTAAATGGTAATTATAATACACTTTTAACTTTGGACTCACTGTGACTTAAAAAATTTATCAAGTTACAGTAAATAATTTAAAATTCAATTTTTTTAAAAAAAAAGGTAAAACCATGATATTTTTTACTCTGACCGCTATAGTAAACCCTAAATAGTAATTATGTTGTACTTTTAACTTTGGATCTACTGTAACTTAAAAAATTTACCGAGTTACGGTAAATAATTCAAAATTTAATTTTTTTTCTAAATAAAAAAGAAAAACCAAGATTATTTTTACTCTGACCGCTACGTTTCTTTATTGACCTTGGACCCACAATAACTTAAAAAATTTACAAAGTTACAGTAAATAATTCAAAATTTAATTTTTTTAAAAAAAAGAAAAAAGCAAAACAAAGTAATTGACCGCTACAGTATACCCTTATGTTGCACTTTTAACCTTGGACCCAATGTAACTTAAAAAATTTGCCAAGTTACAGTAAATAATTCAAAATTCAACTGTAGTGGTCAAAGTAAAAAAAAGATGTTGGTTTTGCTTTTTTCTTTTTTTTTTGAAAAAAATTGAATTTTGAATTATTTACTGTAACTCGGTAAATTTTTTAAGTTATAGTGGATCTAAGGTTAAAAGTGCAACATAATTACCATTTAGGCTTTACTGTAGCGGTCAGAGTAAAAAAAAGTTTTTGCTTTTTCCCTTTTTTTTTTAAGAAATTGAATTTTAAATTATTTACTGTAACTCGGTAAATTTTTTAAGTTACAGTAGGTCCAAGGTTAAAAGTGTAACATAATTACTATTTACTTTGATCTAAGATAAATGATAAATGAAAAAATTAATTTTGAAAATAATGTAAATTTAAAATTTTATAATAATATTTTTAATTAATAAATAATATTTTAATAATTAAATAATGAAATCTGAATTTTTAAATATTTTTAATGATTTAAATATTAATTGAAATTCAAATTAAATTAAAATACAAAAATACCCCTGATTCCGGCATGTCAACGGCCGGAAACAGTGAAATGGGACAAAAAAAGTGAGAAAACATAATGTTTGGGACTACGATATTGAAATGTTAATGTTAGGGATGTAAATTCAAGTAAGCCCAAATGTAAGGGACCATTTGAACATTTAGTCTATTTTTAAAGTCTCTTTCATATCTTTTTACGGGGTTTTAGGTTAGTCGGGGAAATTTCGGCCCCATTGTTGTTCATGCAGTGCAATGGACTTTGTGATGATGAATTGATTGGACCATGTAATCTCATCTTCACTGCTAACTCATCTCTTTAATCTCTCTCAAATTAATCTTTGGTTGGTGCTGGTTGTTTCGATTTTTGTTCCTTTATTTCTACTCATATGGACCATTTTTTTTCACACGAAGTAACCGTTTGTATACACTACTAGTGATTCCTGCGTCACTTCTGTTATGTGCTTGTCAGGATATCTTTTACGTGGCGTATATAGTTTATCACTAAATATCGAATGCAGCTTGAGCAATGTGTATGGTCATCTAATTACCTCAAGTACCATTGCCCTTTTTCCTTGTTTTGCATATAAATATCACTTACATAGTCATCTTGTTATTGCTAATGACAATGTTGTCCCTCTATATGTTGGTTGTTTTTTAAGATTCTTGTTTAATTTGCTGCTCTCCAAAGATTTATATAGGGAAGTCCTGAAAAGGCTCCGACTGAAATCCTTAGTGCGGTTGGCTATCAATTATTATAGATTCATCATTAACCGGCGCCTACCCTGGTGGATCTTGACGCCTCCTCTCTACTCAGGCCTCCAACTTGATTCGCTATTCACCCTTGAGGGAGTTGTTTTACATCTCCCTTGATGGTGAGTTGTAACCATGTTACTACTAATTTATTGTTCGTGTTGATGTGAATCATGACGGCATGGAACTGCAAAGTACAAATGTTGTTGATGGTCTTGTATGCAGCACAGACTCATGGTTGTACAACATTGCCCCTCCCCTTTTGTTTTCATTTGTTAGAAAACCTGCCAGCGGCCAGCCTTTCATAAGCATTCATTTCCTGACATGATTGTTGTTCCTCAGATGAAGATAATGTAGTCCTGATATCTTTGTCCTTTCCATAGTTTGATTCAGCAAAAACACTGACACTCCAGTTTTCTTTAAAAAGCTATGCAAATTCACGATGACATCTCTCTCCGGGTTTTGTATTGGAAAGGGTCTAACAAATGCACCCGTTCACTGGTAAGGGGAACAAAAGGGATTCATTAATATTTACGTGAACTACATAAGGAAACCAATGTCTCTGCTCACGGGCATGTAATCATCCAGGTGACATTTTCTTCTCTACGGATTATGGTACAGTGGCGAAAGAGAAAAATGTCTTTGCAGAAAATGGTGGAACTGAAAAGCCTGGATTTGTTACTAAGCCAAATCCTGGCAAAAGGGTTCCAATGAATCTCCTACTAAATCCGGATGTCAGCGAGGTTTCAATACCAACAGTTACCATTGCCTCAACTGCACAAACAAGAACTACTAACTCCAAATATTCTGTGAGTAGACAGAGCAGTACTCTATGTGAATATAGTGGGAGGAGTAATGGAACTGCTACAAAGTTCACAATGAATAGAAGGAAAGCTCAGCCAGATGCGTGGTTCTCTTGCCTCAAGCGGGGAACCTGCAGTGGAGCAAAATCTCCGGAAAAGGAGAGGGCCGCCTCCTATGAGGCTACAGTTATTGAGAAAACATTTGTTGTGGAAAGCCTGAGGCAGTTATGGGGTGACAAGCATCAACCTGGTTCTTTAAGTGCATTCACTTGCCACAACCAAGAGGCCTCACTCCTTGAGCATCTTGTAAGTTTTTCTGATGATCTAGTGAGAAATCCAAGAACCCTCAAACCTTATTTTAGCTATTCATATCGTGGCAACTATCCACCTCACTCCTTTGATATCAGTGTATTCGATTACTTTCTTCTTTATGCTACTTAAAGATTTACTTATTTCTTTGTTTCTGTTAGGCAACAGATGAAATCCCACATCTTGTTTAAGGGTCCTCTTGGTTCTGGGAAAAAATCACTCACAATGGCTTTTCTAAGAAAAATATATGGTGAATCTGTTCGTAATGGATGTTCATCCAGTAATTTAACAAAGCTGAAATTCCATATTACTGGTGAATGAATGAATGACCATGTCTTATGCGTCATCTTCTGGTGCAGATATCACATGATTTGCGGTACTTCCACATCCAGGTATCTTGGACTTTCTCAGAAGGTTACCTAAAAGCCCGAGGCCATTAGAAAATAGTGGCAAGATTCAAGGCTTTTGTTTGTGTTCTTATAGTCATAATGTATACTTCATCTTTTTTTATAGGAAATAACACCAATGGAAGTGGTTGTTCCTGTAACCTCAAGTCCTCACCATGTGGAGTTAAGCGTCTCAGAACAAAATGCAACATATGCTCTCATGGCTTTGGTGAAACAAATAAGTGCTGATTATGCTGTCATCCGGGAAATAAGCACTGTTAATGCCAAGGCAGACTATAAAGGTAAGCTATCGATGAACATTTAGGGGTACCTAATGTGATCATCTTCAGAAATCTTCTCATTATTAATTTGCTTAAATTGAATAATAATGAGAAGATTTCTGAAGATGGTTCATTGGTCCAGTCTCCCCAGCCACCATCTCAAATTGAGCTTGAATGTGAAGAATTAGAAGAGACCAAAGAGATTAACAGTCAAGATATTCCAAGTTCTACTGATTCTTCTGGTATATACATAGTAATTAAGCATGATTCGCTCATTCTGAGAGTTGGTGACAAGGATGTGGATCAAGTTGATTTTGTGAGAGTAACATTCCTATAGTTTCAAAAGAAGGGTTTGAAGTAGACATAAGGTACCCCACGTTAATGCCAAGGCTGGGGAGACTGGACCAATGAACCATCTTCAGAAATCTTCTCATTCTTATTTAATTTAAGCAAATTTCCTATAGGATCATATTTCGGCAACCCCACACTCATCCTATATTGGTTGACTTCTTTAATAAGTTGTTGGCCTTTTTCACTTTGAAAATCTCGAAGAGCTGCCTCTCTAACAGTAAGTTGAGGTTGAGCTGGTGGCTGCTGATACGAAGATCCTAACTGTCTTAAAGTGGGTTGACAAGGTGATGACTGTAAGGCTGCTAGCTCTCTCAGAGTAGGTTGATGAGCTGCTAACTCTCTTAGAGTGGGTTGAGGAGGTGGTGGTTGATATATTGATGCATTTGAGTGGTAACAATCCTTTTGAGAGAAATATGAAGCATTTTTCTTCTCCATGTCATCAAGCAATTTATCAATTCTCTCCAAACATGACAACATTCTAGGAGTCATATACTCGCTCTCAAAACCAGAATTGTACCCCGCATCAAATGGATATCCTTGATAATCACAACCATAGTAAGGATCAGAAGACGAATTGTTCCAAGAGTACGGATCTTCTTGATATGTAGGATAGTCTCCATATTCAGACTTATAACTATAATACGGAATCTCTCTATATCCATAATTATAATTCTCCATGATAACTCCAAAATCCTACAAAAATGTTGACACAAGAAAGAAAACAGAATAAAAATAAAAATAAAAATAATAATAATAGATTAATAAAACAAAAGAAACTATATACAAATCTAAATTAATAACAGAAATAATCAAGTTTTGATATTGGTTATGCCTTCCCCGGCAACGGCGCCAAATTTGACAAGCCGTCGTCACACTAGTCAAATATTAATTACCTACTTAATACAATTACTAGCAGTAAAGCAGAAAGCAAGGTCGATCCTACAGAGAAGGTTACCAAGTACTGGTTAAAATTATTTCTTATTATTATTTAGATTAACAATTTATCAATTTTAAACTATTCTAAACCTAAAACTAATAATTACAATTAATTTAAGATTTTACACAAATAAAAGAAAACCTAGGGCAAAGGGTTCACCTACCGACTACTCAGTTTAATTCAACTTATAGATATGTGACTTTGGACTTTCATTAATCTCACAACGATTCACCTATTTAAGAACTATTCACTGTCGTGATATAATTCTCTTACTCAAACTAACCCTATGACTACTGTCGTGACTATATAGATTAATAAAAGCACATTAAGAACTTTAGAATCTCTAGCTGCAAAGACGGTGCTCCTACTCTCGTGGCTCACTACCTAAGTTTAATATTCTCATGAACTAATGTTAACCTTTAAACCGTCGTTCCTTCAGTTAAACACCTTTAAAGCATGCAAGTGGTGATCAAATACTCACATGGAATAAAAAAATAATATTAAATATCAACTAATGAAAAAGTCATAATCATGAATTAAATTAAATTAAATAGTACATCGGTTACATCCAAAATCCTAGATTAAATAATTTAGCTACACATCATCACAAAATAAAATAAATAAACAACGAAACAATGGACCCCGGGAAAAGAACAAATCCAATTTCGAAATCCAGCCTCGAAGGTTGATCCGAAAGCTCTGAAGTTGCTCCACTCCCTTATGTGTGCGTACGGTGATGATGTATGTATGATATGAGCGTGCAATGATGGCGGTGATGGGAGAGACGGGTTCAGCTTTGTGCGTGGGTTTTGAAGCCTTTTTTATAGTGTGTTCCAAAACCAACTTTCTCGGGGATTACTTCAGCACCGCCTCATGCCGGAAGCTTCTTCTTTGTCTTTGTTTTCGGCCCAAAAGCAGAAGCAAAACACGAAAGCTCCTCCAAAAAATTCAATAGCATATGGGCTTTCTTTATTTTAGTCCAAGACTTTTTCTATTTAATTAAAGGAAAGGAGGCCAGCCCACGTTTATCAACTTTGAGCTCCAAAAGCAGGCCAATGTCAATGAATTTCCAGCCATGAACTCTCGGTCAAACCCAAAGCAAGAATTCCAAAATTGCACGTTTGGCCCTCTAAAAATTCAGCTTCTCTACTTTCTTCCTTGAGTTCTTCAAATCTTCAATTGCATCCTTTTGAGTTGCTTTTATCTTCAATTTAACCCAAAATTTCAACAATTCCTCTAATTGAGTACAATTCCTATAAATAAAGATAAAATCATATAAATAGCATATTTAGACTCAAAATATATTGTAAAAATCACAAATTAGGGATATAATAAATAAGTAAAATATAAGCATATCACAGAGTCAAGGGCAAACTCTTAGCTTGGTGAGACTACAAAAAGATGAAAATGGTGGCAATCACCACATAATGTGCCTGGCGGGATAGGGTTTCTCGGAAAGAATTGCAAAAACTTAAGATGGTGAGATCTCATTCTGTGTCATTACATTGACTAATCTTGTGCATGCCATCAACAAGAATGATTAATAATATGATGTTCTCCTGTTCCTGGGGCTTCAATCCAAGAATGATGTAATCAATCAAAGTGATGCGAGTTTGGTGATTTGCTGTTATTTTCGATGACATGGGAGGTCGTTGGTCTCCTGATTTTTCTTAATCATAATGATCTTTTGGGTCATAAGTCTGCTTGTGATATGATGATGTAGGGCGTAAGTTGCAGCATAATGATCTCTTCGCCTACTCATGTTGGTTAGGAATACCTTTGTTGATGCATCACCAACAAACTTTTATGTCGTACTTTGGTTTCACTGCTTCAAATTAATTAGCTATGCTTGCACTGGTTTTGCAGTATGCACGAAGAGTTCCTGAATTAATGCAACAGGCCAGTGATGATTCTTAATTGACTGGATTATGCATATACAAATCATCGTTTGGTAACAAAAGGCTTGCAAAATGCTGCATTAGAAATGTTTCCACGTACCTTCCTACTAACTATCAACAATCGAAATTGTATTTCTCAGTAAAACTTGAGTCTATGATACATTGTTGGTGGTTCATTGCTACAGGATTTTACTTTTTTTCAAGGTGGCATTTGTTTATCAAGCATGGGATGGCCTGTTTCTTTTGAGAGATTTTCAAGGGTGCATTTGTTTATCAAGCCTGGGAAGGCCTCTTTCTTTTTAGAGAGTAGTTGCTTAGAAAGTAATGAATGAAGAAGAAATGCTCATTGTAATTAATCAACCTTCTTAGATTGGTCATCTGTGTAACGTTACTGCAGTGAAAAACTACTCTGAGTTGTCTGTAGGATACTAAAGATCATCCCTAAACAAAACCTTGTGAACTTGCTAATTTATAGCTCGCATGTTTTAAAAAACAGCCTCATTTTCGTTCTTTTGTTGGTTCAACTTATACTCGTCTTACCATTTTATCCATTGAAGAGGACCTTCTCTTCCGCTTTCAAATGCATGTAAGAATTTGTTGGTAATATTCTTTTCGTTATGAAATAATTGCCGTGATTTGGAATTAGTATAACCTTACAATAAGAAATTTGATTGTCCCAGCCGTGAAAGGGTTTATTAATATTATGATTCGGCCTTTGGCTTAGCCCTATACTCAGTAACATTATGATAAGAAATTTGGCTTATCGGTGGATCAAACTACAAAAATTTCAATTAGCGCACAGTAACGGCTTAAGGTCTCAAGGGGCCTAAAGCTAGTTTTGAAATTTAGGCCTTTTGAAAATAAAAAATTTTAAAAAAAAGTTAACCTCCATGCTTATTCATATTTTGGATCGACAATTACAAATCCGAAACGAAAGTTTTTAGTAGGCGAAATTAAGGTTTTAAAATTTTGGAAATTCTTTTTTAACTCCACCTATATATAAGTAATTTTGGAGTTGAAATTCAAATAAATAATTTTTTTTGGTGATGGATTTTTCTTAAAAATATATATACACAATATATATGATAGCATTAAAAATGCTAAAAATTAGGGACCCCTAATAATTGGGGGCCTAAAGCGGCGGCTTCACCTGCTTTATGGTGAAGCCGCCCCTGTTAGCGCATGACTGACGCATACCCCTATACTCAGTAAAAATGTGGCTGGCCGGGTCAAGCGATCCAACTACCCAAAATGCTGGTAATAAAATGCATAATAAACTGACAAAAAGCGGGATAATGTGAAAGTTAAATTGGTGAAATAAAGGTGGTTATACTTATACTAACGTTACCCATGTCCCTTTTTCTTTAAAAAAAAGTTATCCATGTCAAACATGACAAGAATATTTTGCACAACGACCTCAATTAATGACATCGTCGAGGAAGCCTCTGAAATTTAACAAATAGAATATGTTATTCTACCGGTTTTTATTATACGTCATTTTAATTATCTAAAGTTTTTATTTATCGTATTTTTTTCAATTGAAAATGAAATTTTAAAATTATTTTATAATAATTGAAAGAATATAATAAATGTGACAATATATTTTTAAAATTTAATTTTTAATCAGAAAAAAGTAATAAGTAAAATTTAAAAGAAATCAAAATATTTTATAATAAAAATCAGAATGATTATCAGTGTCATCAGTCATGATATGCATGAGATTAGCTAGGCCTACCAGTCCAAGACAATCAAGTTCCAGGCATCCAGCTCAAATGTTCTTTGAGAAATGTCCATCTATTTAGAAAATTGTAAACAGGTGACGACATGCTAATACCTCCACATCAACAACAACCCAGTTCTTTCTCTGCAAAAACATGGAGAGATAAGCTTTCAGTATCATTGCACTATTTTCGTTCCAAAAAAAATAGTTCACATTAAATTTTTAAATTTATATTAAAAATAGTACAAAACTCAAAACTCAAAGTGAATTTCTTTTTTTTTGGGACGGAGCGAGTATCAAAATAGAGCCGCTCGAAAAAAAGGTTTTACTATTTACTAGCTTAGTTTAGATTTGTGTATCATAAATAGGACCCAGATGGACTACGTGCACACGATGGGCTCGACTTTTGTCCAATTGCAAATTGCAATAATGAAATATTCCCAAATTACTAATGCACTACATTAATACATGTATCTTATCCTATTTTAATACGGGTATCAGTATTCAAAAAAATAAAACATAAATTATGTACTTTTACTACATTTTGTACCTTGGATGGAAGTTTCGTGTCGATGTACATTTGCAATGTATCTAGGCGTCCTTTTATCACATTCTAAGACTGAACGAAAATGAATAACTCTCCCTAATAGTAGTATTTTTTATTTCGAAATAAACAAACTTTTAATAATCGCCTATGTATATTCGTATAAAACACATTGTATAATGAAGTAGACATACAAACGAAATATTATTCTTGTATTTAGCAACCATTACTTGTCATGCCATCGTTTTTCCAATTCCTCCCCCCAAAAAAAAAGCAATTCTTCTAGAGAATTCCTGTCCAAGATGTTACCCAAATCTCACTGGGGAAAATTTTAATTAGCTAAAAAACAATCCAACAATACGGATACGGCCTAGGAAGCTGGGATTATTGTTATTATTATTTTAAGAATAAACAAGAAGTCCAAAAGGAACATACATTTCTTTAAAGTTGGGAAAAAACAATAAGTTAGACTTGGCACAATCGGTTGAAACCATGTTTTTAAATTTTTTTAATTATTTTTTTCTTTTTTGCCTATCCTTGGATTCCTTTACAGTTTGTTGCAAGAAAACAATAATTAGTTTCTGTTCCAAAATACCTTCATATGTTTGTTCAACCAAGACATATAGGTGATTGTTGATTATCAGTTGATTACTACATTCCAGCTGATATATAAATTGACATCATTATTAGACCCAAATGACCAAACCCTGCTTCTCAGATTGGACCCACCTTAATAATGATAAATCCATGGAATATCCATTCCCATGCTGCCATGTGTACAATTAACAACCCATTCTTTTAGTTTACAATTTTAATCACAACCTCCACAGTCCAAACCGAAATACATTTCTTAATGACATTCATTAATACTAATATTGAAAAATTTATAGGTAGTAATTTTCTCGAATCTCATGGGTGTTTGTGTGTATCATGGGAGTCATATTTATCGAGCAGTAATAATTTCACAAATATATTCTCAGAGCTTCTTATTTCTATCATAAATTTACAATTAGTACTTCTTCCGTCTCAAAATTATTGTCCAGATTTCATTTTCAATTTTAATACAATCTGAACTATAAATAAAAGTTTAAACTATATAATAATTTTGGGACATTATATAATGCGACTGATTAATTTGCCTTGCCTAAAACATTGTTTATAATTTAAGTTAGCGGTCTGTCTAAAAAGCGAATAGTATAATGTGCGTGTGGGAGGGCGTGTGTTTGTGTGTGTCTTCGTCATTGACTGCAATATATCCCATTTTAAAGGCTTAAAAAGTAGTAGATTTGGGCTAAGAAATTTTTTCCTTTTTTTTTCTAATAGAAGGAGAAAAAAGGGGGGAGCTGTGGAGGTGTGTGTGTGCGTGCCTGTTTTATTCCAGCTGGTGCCCATTTCCCCGTCAGGAAAGCCAGCCGGTGGTTTGCTGGTGTTTCCCGGCACTGTGCAGGGGAAAGTAATGCGAAACTGATCTGGGTTTCCTCTGCCAACAACCTGCCGGGAAAGGGGATGGACCGCATTTTCTCTTCTTGTTCGATCTAATCCATTTCATCCCCGATCTCTACAGATTCGAGCTTGTTGGCACCATCCATCCACCACACATTTTTTTTCTCCGGTGGGTTCTCCTTAGTTTCCCTTTTTTGCTGTTGGGCTCTGTCGATTTCCATTTTTAATCTTCTCGCGGGCTTTCTTTTTCCTTTCTATGTCGTTGCTTCTTATTTGAATGGTGGATCTTTCTTTATTTTGTTTAAGGCATTGGTATTTGATTTCCCACATAGAGGATCATGAATTTATCCAGTTTTCATTTTTGCTCCTTTTTTAGATTGGGTGTTTTAGACTTTTTGACAACGGCCTTCATTTGTATGCATTTACATCCGATTCTTTCATGTATTAACAGCTCAGTCTGCCTATTTATGTCATATATTAAATTTCAAAATGATTGAATGTTAAGAATGGCTGCTGTATTGAATGTTAAGCTAAATCTTAGAACCCCTTTTGTTCTCAGATCTACCGTGTAAAGATAGTGTTAAACGTGTGGGCTGAGGGGCTTAATAGAATTCAGTAGCTCGTTGACAAGTCACTTTTTTTGACTGGGTCATTTTGTCAATCTCTTTGTAGGTTTTTTTTTAATGATCCTTTAAAATGTCGTTCAAGAGCATCATTCGAGAATTGAAGGAGATGAAAGAGGGGATTGGGAATATATCTAGAAGAAGAATTGAAGGGAAGCACTGGCGGAAAAGAACCAGGTCTCACATAGCCCCCGATGTGGTTGTGCCTGAAGAGATCCAGCAAGGTCAGTGGGCAAACTTGCCCCCTGAGCTTCTTCTGGACATAATACGAAGGGTCGAAGAGAGTGAGACTTCATGGCCTGCTAGGGCAGTCGTCGTCTTTTGCGCAGCTGTCTGCAAATCGTGGAGAGATATCACTAAGGAGACTGTGAAGACCCTAGAGGAATGTGGCAGGCTCACCTTTCCTATATCATTAAAACAGGCAAGTTGTGCTTACAGTTGTTATGTATCTTTGTGTTGTGGACATCGTGCCAATTCGATGGTTTATTTTGCACTGAACCTGAATCTCCTATCCTGGCCTTGGGAGTAATATTTGATCGTATGTTGCTAAATATTTTTTGTCATACAGCCCGGTCCTCGCGAATCCCCAATTCAGTGCTATATTAAAAGGGAGCGAACAACATCAGTTTACCGATTGTATTTTGGTCTCACCCCATGTAAGTCTCATTCTACAGCCCCAAATTTCGCATGTCATGTGATCTGTATTCTCTTTTATATTCAACAATCTATGTCCATTGTACTATATTAGTTTTGTGATTTGCTCATTTTTATCCAATCGATCAACTGATTTCACTTATTGGTCATATATAATGGAGCCATTGTTTTACCTTATTTTCTGTTTTCCTAATCTATTTTCTTAATGTTGGAACTCGTCTTTCCTTGTTTTGCTTTTGGCTTCGTTGCATAAGGGTAATTTAACATCTTAGGAAGTGGATTTATCAATGGCCAGAAGAAAATCATTTTGAACATCATTGTTATCCTTGTTTCTAGGAGTATCCCTCACTTGGAAATCCTGAATTATTAATTCTTTCTGTGGTCTTAAGAAAGATTTTTTGCGTCCACAGCTTGGATACTGAATTGATTGGAATGTGAAGTTCAGTTTAAGCTAATATGCTGTTACCTGTTAATGTCAATATGCTATCCTTTGACTTTCCCTAGCTTGTGCGACTCGACTTCTTGGTTAAACATGTTGGATGTCCATACAAGCATTTGGCGATACTAGTTTTTTTTTTTTAGGACAAGTTTTGTTTTTCTCTCCCAAAAGCTATAGTAGTGAATTTTCTTGACTGATCAAATGTGACAACATTGAACACAGCTGAGGATGAGAACGACAAGCTTTTGTTGGCAGCAAAGAAGTTCAGAAGGGCAACGAGCACAGAATTTGTGATATCCTTGGTTGCTGATGACTTTTCCCGAGCCAGTAGTACCTATGTAGGAAAGTTGAGGCAAGTCTTTAAAAGATTAAGATCATCTTCAGATACATGATTTGCTGCTTTCTTCTTGATTAAATGTGAAACGTTTCTCCTAAGCAGGTCTAACTTTCTGGGCACCAAGTTTACCATTTATGATAGCCAACCTCCTTCTGACGCTCCAGCCCCACAAACCACTAATTTGAGTAGGAGATTCCATGCAAAGCGTGTATCTCCAAGACTACCTGCGTGTAACTACAGCGTTGCCACTATTTCCTATGAATTGAATGTTCTTCGTACGAGAGGGCCCAGGCGCATGCATTGTGTCATGAACTCGATTCCCATCTCTTCAGTTCAAGAAGGTGGCACTGCCCCCACACCAATTTCATTTCCACAGTCTTTTGATGATAAGTCTTGCCTACTAACAGTCTTCAGAGGAAAAGATCCTGTGAAAGACTTAAGTGACCTGAGTCTTCCAAGATCGGCTCCTTTGGCAACACCGCAGTCTAAGGAGCCACTTATGCTAAAAAATAAGGCCCCTCGATGGCATGAGCAATTGCAGTGTTGGTGCTTAAACTTTAAAGGGCGTGTTACAGTTGCCTCGGTGAAAAATTTCCAGCTCGTGGCGGCTGTTGACTCATCGCACAATGTACCACCTGCAGAACAAGACAAAGTGATTTTGCAGTTCGGAAAAATTGGGAAGGACATCTTCACCATGGATTACCGATACCCCCTCTCTGCCTTCCAAGCCTTTGCAATCTGCTTGAGCAGCTTTGATACCAAGCCGGCCTGTGAATGATTGTTGATGTGGTTGTAGATATGATCACTTTCCGTTAGTTGCTCGCCTACCTGCGTAATTTGTTTATCTGTACGAAATGTCTATCTGGCCCTAAGTTATGATTCATAATCTCACTTTGCAAATGGGTACACTGGCGGGATGCTCAGAATGGAATGTGTTTTTTCTTGTGCCATGTACGTGCTTAGAAGTTATTCTTTTGTGTTCAGATCATAGTACTCATAATTCTGATAATTAGCAAAACTAAATCAAGCGCATGGATGATGAGAATGACAATAATCATGCAGAGTCCTGTATTTGACCATGCAGCCTGAGCACATTCTCGGAATAAGTAATCTCTTTGTTCATACATATGATTTTCAATTCCTTCAATCTAATACCAATGGCTTCTAAATTGCTCGTGCAAAATTACTTTTCAAAGCTTGCGCAGTTATGGTGGAAAGCTAAATGTTGCGTAGGCAAATTTCAATTTTTTTTTTTCCTGCACAAACAGGCAAGAAAGAAAGGCACAGAAAGGTTATGTGTAAGTGGTACAACGAGATGCGTCACATTCCTCCAAGCAAACTAACAAGAGTCAAACTGAACCTTAATCAAATCTATTCATTCCACTAAAGGTCATCATCTTCAGCATTAGTGGGTACGGGAAGAGCAATAATTTTTTGTGGGTTTCGAGCAAATTAAGCATAATCTACATACCGAAAATATTTAACCTTGCAATGTTCTCTTTTAGTAGCTACAAAAGTGAAAAAGGTTACAATTCTTTGCGTCCATTCACAAGCTTTACTTTTCCAACTTCAGTGGACGGGAGAGCTTCATCTCACAGTAGAATAAGTGATAAATTCTCTAGAAGTGAATTGAAATGGCTGATGAGGAATAGGATTCCTGTAGTAATGAGTATAGCATTTAAGCAGAAGAGCTTGCTGTAGAAAATTGGGCAAACGAAAAACCAAAAAATAAACAGAGAAGGACAAGGAAGAGTTACTCACGGCCGAGGCCCGTAGACTTTAATCTGGCGGACATGAGTATCCCTCCCATTGAGGTGATTTGACAATATGGCTATTTGCAACATGAATGTGTTCACAAAAGTCTCCCTACACACAATTTCAGATCAGAACATCCATCAATATTGTGGAAAAACACGTGCAGACAGAACAATATATACAAACTGTAGAAAAAATCCACAAAATCTCCAAAACCAAACAACAAATGAGAAACCTTCACATATCAACATTTTTATCGATATATGTACCGATAAACACCAATATCTATAAGTTGTTTGATTGAAGAAGCACATTTTCTCAATTTAGCACGGAAAACATACACGGGAAATCGAACCTCTCGCTACTTATATCAGGATGAAACAGGCAAATGCTAGACAGAGATAATTAGAGCTCCCATTCAAAGGCAGAAAGTTTAGAAGCCAAGTGCATTCATCCATGCGATCTAGGAGAAAACAAAGTTCTCGTGTAATTTGGGAGTAAATGATCAAACTAACTGACTTACGCAGTTCAAAATCAACAGAATAAATTGCTGGTAGAGCTTACCGAGGATCTGTCCCAGATAATGAAATATGGACCCAACCAGTCGGCTTGTCAAGGTCAACGCTTTTTATCTCCTAATTTTCAATAAGAGAAATGTAATCAAAACCAGTACAAACTCATTGTAGAAGTTACAAATCGCTCATTGACAAACCAAATATGTGGATGTGTATTTATCTCCATCCTGAAAACAGTTTGGTATTGTCTACGTACTATGAACTTAGGCTAAAATTGAAGGATCATTTCCCAACTTACTTTCAAGTTGTGGAATCCATCACCAGCCCGAACAGAGATCTTACTAGGGGTGTAACTCTCATCAAGCTTGAAATCCACATACACGACCACTAACTAGAAAAACATTGAACAGTAAAGCAGATAAGAGAAGAGAAAGTTTGATGGTGAATAGGAGGCTTGATGACAGAGAAGTCTGACTAATTTAGAAGAACATACTTGAAGCTTTACTTTCTTCTGAAATTGAATATTAACCAGATGTGGTTGTGCTCCATCTGATCTAACATTTAAGACAACAAAGAAAATGGAGAACAAAGCAGATTAGCTCCGTGTGTAACAAAAAATTTGAAAATAAAGAAGTGCAAAGACTAGAAGAAGTTAAGAGTGACTAAAGGAGAAAGAGAAGATACTGCCAATAGGTGTCAAGATTGTCATCACGAAGTGAAACAACGCCATTTCCGGGCTTGCAAGAGCTGACAGTCCAAGCAGCCTTTTTACCCATCTCAGTAAGATCTTCATCCACCACAAGCACCTGGTTTCCTATGGCAAGCTTTCCCTCTTCCTCTCCCTCTGATGAATCCGCCATCTCGATCGATTATCACGTTATTCCTTGCTGAATAATTTCAGAACAAATAGTAAGATTAGCTGTCACCCGAAGGGGAAAAAAAAAGGAGAAGAAATGCTAAAGAAACGAAAGGAAGAAACCCAACACAATGTAAATAGCTACTAGATGTCTGTATCCCCTAGTTATTACATGTAAAATATTTTTTTGAGCCTAGGAAATCACGGAGAAACAAATTCGGTCCACTTTTTAAAGAAAAATTCATTCGGGCATTTTATCAAACAGATTGCATTCCCTCGTAACAACTGGGTACACGCTACTCATCCCACAGCCGGCGAGAAAGTACAAGTACCAAATAGGTGAGATGAGACATGAGAGCAAGAGAGATTAGTACCTAATAACTGCTCTGCAAGTGGGAAGTGAGGATACTAAGCCGGTGATGGTCTGTCCGATGCGAAGCTCTGATTCCAGATTCAACCGATGGTTTTCGCGGCCCTTGAAGTTGGCGGCATAATTTGACTTTAAAAGTTGGAGTCTCGGACTAGTATTTACTGCACTATTTACTTTTAGAATTTTAAGAGTTTATTAGAAAGCATTCCATCCGTCACAAAAAAAAAAAAAATCTACATTGAGTTTTGAAATTAATCTTAAAATTTAATGTGAATTACTCTTTTGAGACAGAGGTGGTATAAATTACTCCCTCCATTCACAAATAGATGTCGTTGGAGGAAAACTTAAATATTCCAAAATAGATGTCGTTCTCACAAATCGAGGCATATTTTGTCAATTTTTCCAATATCACCCTTACATTGGAAATTGTTGTGATGTTTAATGTAGAATTGTATTAGAAGTGAATTTTATTGGGACTACAATTGAATTGAGAATAAATGAGGGTAATATAGTATTTTAACAAGATAATTATTGCCTCCTTAAACTTTGTGAAATCTCTCCAGCGACATCTATTTGTGAATGGAGGGAGTATAAACTAATTTAAATTTGTTCCTTATAATTAAGAGCATAAAGAGTAATTTTTAATTTTTGCTAACTATTCAAAATTTAACTTTGGACATCATTCTTAACGTTAATCCCACTCTTCTTCAACATAACTCAATGCAATAAGAGTGAAGAAAACTTATACTCTTTTTATCCCTTAAAAATAATTCAGTAAATTATAATGTGAATTATTTTTGTAAGACGGAAAGAAGTATGATTTTTTTTTTTTAACCTCCTTCAATAAAGAAAATATTGGATCTCGCAACTTGAAGTTATCAAGTTTAGATTTTTCTTTCTTAAAAAAACAAACTGAATTCGAAAGTTCCCCGATACATTTTGATAACCGAGTATAGAAGGATTCCAAAAGAAAACCAAGTGTAGAGTTCAATAGAGGGAGAAAAAAGAAGTAGAAGTATACAGCAGTAGTATTTTGTAACGCAGTAATGCACTTTCTAAAAGGAGTGATGATGTCTCCATTTAGCTAGGGAGTTTTGACATCAAGGGGAAATCAAACAAAACGTTGCGAAACTTCATAAGTTTCTCATTAGGCAACAAACATTTAACCTTAGGAAGGAAGAGAGAGGGGGCTAAAATGTACGTTGACATTTTGTCAGTTTTTAAACACAATGTGTAACAAAAAGTGTAAGTTCAATCATCCTTCCCTGATAAAAAAAAAAAAAAAAGGTGTAAGAAGTTCAATGATCGTTCCTAAAACCAAATTCGTGAAACAAAAACCACACCCACACTGTCGTAAGTCTCAACTCCTTCAATCTTGGCTCTATCAGTCCGTTGGGTACCTGCCCCTTTTATCTCAAGGAAACCCACTCACAATCACAATTCATAGCCCTAAAAAAAACCCATTTTTTACAAAATACTACAAAACTAAGAGAAGACCTTACAAACTGGACCACCATTCCCAAAAGAAAGAAAGGGAAAAAAAAAGAAAAAAAAAACAGTGATCTTTCCTTCTTCATCTTTCTTTTTCATTCATCTTGTCCCCCACCACTTTAGTTCATTTTGACCCACCACACCACTCTGCTTCTAAAGTTTTTAAGTTTTTTCCCAACTGTAATACCTTACCCCCTTTCCCCATCACAACCTTAACTCCTTTCTTTCTTTCTCTCTGGTTTGGAAGATTAAGAGTTGGGAAGATAGAAGAAGTTTGCCCCAGTTTGGTTGTTTTTTGTTTTTTGCTTTTGCCTAATGGTTTGGTTTTCAAGTGGTCCTGTTGTAATCTTCATCAAGATCTCTTTTTTTTTTTTAAGCCTATAATCAATAAAAGTTTGTGTACAGTCTTCATCATGCAACTGGATTGACAATTATATAAAGTGCCTAGCATCGTGATCGATCTCTATTAATAGAAATATTTATAGAATTTTTTTTATAAATGATGAAGTGTTATTAATCACTACTACTACTATACAAGAAAATAATTAATTCCTCTGCCAATTCATATTACATAAGAAAAAATCCCTCTGATGATGTAGTTAATTTTACTACCCAAAAAAATCAAAATAAAAATTAGGCACTTTTTAATCTCTTAAGCCGGCCTCTGCTTTCTGCTTCATTTCTATATAGTATACCATAACAAATGCTAGCTTAGCTGGTGAAGAAAGTACCGCGATCAATCTGTAATTGTTGCTACCTAGCCTGCAGTGAAAAAAAAAGTATTGAGGTTAAGTATTTTATTGTCAAGATGAAAATCTTGATGGAAATGGACCACGTTGAAATAATAATTGCAGAAGTAATTCTTACCTTAAACGTAAAGTGAGACCGAACTGATCAACCATCCTTAATGAAAGCCGACACTGAATAGGCTCTGCCAGTCACTGTCCAAATTTGACAACTGCTGAATTTGCTGCAAATTGCACAATCAATGAAAGAAAATTCAACCATCTGGTTTCGGAACAAAAATGACCCCAATTTGTATGGAATATTGATGATTGAATTTTTTACGTACAGAGAGGCTGGAAAGTGAATCGAGATATGCTTCTGGGAATAACATAGATGATGTTGCAGTTTTTTGTGGAAGCATTTGATGATGAGTAGGATTGTTAGTTGCTAAATCGAGCCCAGAACTGGAAGATTCTTGTTGCCCTTGATTGTACTGAACCAGGGCTGAATGGACCACTTCCATAGGTGTTACCGATGTCGGAAATCCAGACATGTAAGCTGGAATCTGTGTTGTTGAATTTGCTCAAGTTAGCTTGATATAATTAGACATTAAAACAAATGAAATCTATGAATGTATCTATATAATTTACCTCTTTTGCGAAGAAATTGTCAATGTTGAAGTCAAGACGTGGATTCAAAGCAGCCAATTTCATTGAAAGAAACTGCAAAATTGAGGATGAAGTTAGAAACACCAAACCAGAGAGTGGCGTTAATCATTCTAATCAAGTATAAATCTCAGTGATGATTTATTACCTCTACTTGTTTCTGAAGAGATTGGACATAGTTAATAATTTCATCGAGCATGCCAGCCTTTCCTGTAACCTTGTTGCATCCTGGAACTAAATCTTGTAAACATTTCATCTTCTTGCTAATCTTTTCCCTTCTGGCCTGAAAACAATTTTTTGATTCATCTAGTTAGAGGTACCCAAATCAATGTTTTATCTGATAAGTAACAAAAAGCGTCAATTTCTGGTGAAATTGGATCAGAGGTTTGATGGATGGATGGATGACTCACTCTTTCAGCTAAGCTATGACTATCAGTGGCCTGACCACGTCGAGCTCTGACATGAATGTATTCAGTCTTCTGAACTACATCTGATGTCGTCTTGGAATTTTCCCTGGAATTATTTCTCCCTGAATTTTCCTTCTCCATTTTCACAGTAATCCCTGATTCCACCTCTCCAGCCTCTCCTCCTTCAGCCCTTTTATCCTTGAAGTTACCTTCCTCTTCAAACTGCAACAAACAAATTGAGAAAAAGAACATGAATAAGTTGCGGAAAACACCAAACCGAAAAAAAACTCTGTTTCCAGAATTCCAAAATGTGGCTGGAAGAGGAATACTAAAAATTATCAATCAACCTGGGCTTTTCTTTTCTTGGTAGTGGAAATCTGTTGATGATGATGATCCCGGGAAGAATTAGCAGAAACATTCGTAGTAGTCGTAACTTCCGAGCAAGCGAACCCAAAATTCTGGGAATTGTCTTCAATGGAAGGGTGAATGGGGAGAGAAGAAGTCATGAAATTCTGGCAATGAAACAGAGGCATTAATGTGTTTCCCCCTGAAGGAGAAGAAGAAGAAGAAGGCGAATTCAGAAACTGTTGCTCTTGGTAAAGGCGCTGCAACAGGGCTCTCTGTCTTTCCAGGACACTCATATCAGCACCGATCATCTCGGCCGAGAAATTCTCCGGCGACGATGTGGGCACGCAGCGCAACATGATCGTTTTTATTGAATTTCCCTTCGTTTTCGCCTTTGAATAGAAGAAATTGTGTGAATTCTTGGATGCTAATAACAACAAGCCGCGGAGATAATGGCAATGTGGTCCGAGGTGATTTGTTGTGTTGTTTTTTGATGGAAAAAAAATGGAAAGAAGATGAAGAGATATATAAAGGGGCAGGGGAGGAAAGAAGATAAAAGGAGAGAGATGGGAGATGGGGTCCAACAAGCTTATTTCATGGAATATATATGGTGGGCAGGCGGTGGGGCCAGTGGCCATTGCGGCAGATGAGAGTGTGTAACTACCATGTGAGAATGTCCGGGCCGGCGGTGAGTCTTTTTTAAGGGACCAGCCGCCTGCGGCCATTGCCGGAGCTAAGAAGACTACTATTGATAAGGAAGAAGAAGTAACGGATGCAGCGGGTGGGAGAAAAAAAAACTACTAGTACTTAATACGCGCGGGATGAAGGACTAAAGGGTTCAAACCTTCAACCTCCTGAAATGTTATAGTTAAATGGCCAAAATGCTCTTACCATCCCAGCTGATTTATTTGGTTAATTTTGACTATATTTATAAATTTTTTCTCATCTAACCAAAATGATTGCACACTTAAGATTTTTATTTTTAGTATAAGTTATAAATATATATATATATAAAATCTCAAATTAGATAATCCTTTCAGAACGGAGGAAGTATATTACTAATTTTGCCTATGGAATCAAACATTACTTTCCAAGTAGTGTATATATAATTTTGGTATTGATCCCTGAGTCTTGCCCTGTTTGTGTTTTTTTTTTTCCTTAACAATTACAATCTTATTCATTTTAGTTTGAAAAAAATAAACACACTTGTGTCGTCGTGTCAACTTTTTTTTTCTTTCTAAAACATTCCACCCATTAAGATAAATCCATTTAACCGTAATAATTTTGTTAACAAAAATGATTACTTTGCTGGGACAGAGGATGGATATATTTACTTGTCACACCCCTCTAACAAATCATCCAACCAAGCTTCAATCACCATCAGTCAACATAAATTACATTAGGGTTTCATTCCAATTTAACAATGAGAAGTTGAAATAATTAATCAACAATAATGGCTGTTGTTACTCTTCCGCCACTTCCTCACCATACCTAACTACAAGAATCTACTTGGATTAAACCAACAGATGCAGATCTTTGATTGTTCTATATCACAACGGATATGAACATTCTTTCAAAATGATTGTGTGAGTTATATGAATAACAATAGCACCCGCGAAATGTATACATGTATACAAAACAAAAACGAAATAATAATAATAATAAAAAAAATCTGAGGTATTGTAAAATCTTGTGAAAAGAAAAGGATAAACAAAGATATCCATATCAATCAATATGGGAACAGGCCATTTACAATTTTATCTTACTAGCACAAATTGATTATATTAAAAAAAAAAAAAAAACTAAGGATGCCCCATTAGTCATAGGAGGCATCTTCTCTTTGTATTCGGGCAGGGCCCTACGACCCAAATCGGGAAAGTGGACTCCCCAATTTACTGTCAAGAGTCCCCAACAATCTATAATCTCTCCATTATCATTAGCTCCCAAATCTTGCTAATCCCACCTTTAACTTTAGCTAACAATAATTAGTGCTGTCTGTTTTGGGAAACTTTAATCACAACAATTCCTTCAGACTCAAATTCGTTACGTGTTTCGCTTTCATTTCTTTGTGTTTATATTTAAAAAAAAATTTCTGATTGAACCTCGTGATTGAATTTAGTTGTATTTAATTATCACAATTATTCAAAATCATGACACATCTGAGATTCTGAATATAAACGTGGCCATCTTGTATAGCCGCAAGTACAAGAGTGTACATAGTTATGATTCATTAAAATTATTACGTTTAGTAATTCTCTTCGGGCAGTCACGATGTAATTGAATGAGATCGAATATTGAGGATCCAATTTAAACCTAATCTGAAATTTAGGAATCACAACATAATTTACCCACCTGCTTTAAGGGCCATAAGTGATACTATGCCTTTCTAAGTCGATGTTCTTACCAACAATTTCTTAAAGTTTTCAAATTGCAAATAATCTAGTAATATCACCCTCTCCTCTCTAGTGTATTTTACGTGTCAATTGTTGTGATCGGGTGTTCAAACTTTACTAGCCGTAAAAATTCAGTGTTTTTCGCCCTTTTTTACCCTCAAACATGATATTGCTGGTTCCTCAAAACAAAGGGCTCCTTGCTCATCAAACATGTTTAATCAGTTTGTGTTCTACTAGTATGATTTCCCTTTTTCAGATGCCAAAATCCACAATTTCTTACAATTCCCTGTCTTACAAAAGACGAAATAAGTAAAAGAAATTATCAAGGACTCCAATTACTACTACAATGTGAAGTGAACTGTGTAATGCTGAAGCAAATGAATCAACGGCCTTTGCCAGCTATATCTTATATCTATCAGCATCTGCAATTCAGGATGGAGTAATTTACCTTCTCCCAAAATCAAAAAGAAAAAAATGTTAGTGAAAGGGCAAAGAAAAGGAAGGGAAGGAAGCTTAGAAGCAAAGGGTAGAAGTGTGGAGCAGGGTAGGTGTCAACTTCACCAGGATATACACCATTCATCTTTGTGTAAAACCTTCACATGCCATGTCCTGTGAGTTTGTGGAGAGGAGAGTTGTATGGGACTGTTCGTAGGGACCATTTTCAAGAGACAAAACCCACACCAATATATAGTATAAAATTTATGCAAAACAAAAGATTTCTTCTCTACTCTTTTCTTTTCTGTGTCTTCGTGAAACACAAAGAAGAGAGGATACATAAATCTATCTTTAGAGAAAGAAAGAAAGCCAAAAAAAAAAAAAAAAACATTTATATCCAGAACAGTTGCATTATGGATAAGGGCAGAGCAAAATTTATAGCTGGATTGATCCCTCTCCTCTCTAATTTGATCACATTTGCCTTTTGTGTTGACTGCATGCATGTCTTAATAATGCTGGCAATATATATGTTGTTGCTTTGTCTTTTTAGCTGCCCCTTCTTCCCACACACTCTCTTCGGTTTTAACTCATGATTTTGCAGTAGTTTTTTTTTTTTTTTTCCTCCAATGAAAGAATATGCCAAAACAAGAGGCTGCAGGGGACAAAAAGTATGCAAATTTCCAGTTCTTCATTTGGCTTTGACAACAATTACCCCAACTGGCCTATATCCATCATGACTCTGTCAATCATCCCTGTCAACCTTTCCAGTTAAATGTTTGGCTAGGAGGAGTTTTGTGTTTCTGATTCACCAAAATTGTGAATCACAAATACACTGTCAATTAATTAGAGCAACAGTATATTTTATAACTATCCCTATTAAGGGTCCTGATAAATGCTGCCATTCCCAATAATTTCTTTATCCATATTAGATAGATGATTTGCAGCAACAAGATATAAGGGCCCCCATCTAAGTTTTTGATAGAATGGATATGAATTTATTGAGGAATGATTTTTTAGAATGATTGATTTGAGGATAAGTAGTGGGTTGGAACCATCTCTTCTTGATTATCAGTTTTGATATGGGTGGTGGATCGTTTTATTGCTTCATTTTCTCAACTCTTCCATATACCTAACCTTCATGTCAAATACATAAAGCTTTTTTCTTTTTTTCTTTCCCCCGCTTGCAAAAATCCCAACCCCACAACAGAAAGGGGGCCATATTGTATGATTTCAAACTCATCATAACCATTTTTCCTTGCACCAAGCAAAACCTTGGAGAGACTTTGACCCATTTCAATCCAGTCTTGATGTGAATGGAATATTCATTCATTCATTCAGGGAAGAAATCTTACTCCCATGATTGGAGAAAATCCAGGATGATATGTGGCTCAGGAAGAGTGTCTGATGATATGGTTCTTATATTCTCTTCAACTAATGGTTACAATCATAAACTACAGGGTATTTGCTTCAAGTTTGAAGCTTTGACATCTACAAGTACCTAAAAGAGATCTTCTTGGATAGATGTGATTCTCAAGCTTTTCTGACAAAATGCAATTTGGCAACAGCTAGAAATTAAGCAGCAGTTCACCTTTTTCTCGAAAGTTGGTGAACAGACAAACGCGGTTCAATGGTTTGATTATTTCTTCAATTTTACCCCAAAGATTTGATATTTAAATACTATATACATTAAACAAAGAATGTCCCATACCACTGGAATCAATAAGCTGTAGAAAGGCTGAGTGAGCTTTATCTACAGACATGAAACATCAGTAATTAATAGGGCTTTAATGCAGATGATGATCTTGGACAGAATAAGGAAGCAAGGGACGAACATTGAAAACGAGTTCTGGTCCCATTATCATATAAGTTATGAGGAATATGGACAGGGCCCTCAAGTTCCTTCTCATCAAGAAATACACACTAAAGAAAGAAAAAAAGAAAGAAAGAAAGAAAAAATGGCTCAGTTTATATTTGACTATCTGAGTGGATGCAAGCTAGCTAAAGAGCACAGAAAAGCCATGCCACCTGAAGCATTATAATGAAGTATGTATGAATCAGACATAGAAATCCAAGAAATAATGTAAAATAAAAAATCAACTAGCAGTGAAATCAATGAATGTTGATGCCATTTGGCTTCATGAAAGTTATATACCAAGGGGAATGAATGCAGTAAAGTCGGTCCTACATGCAGGGGAGGTTTCAGGTCCTCAGCAAGGTCTATTTGAGCAATTTGAAGGGATCTGTATTCTGTAGGACAAGATCATTGACCTCAAACAGGAGCATCGGCCCTCAGATTATTGAAGATTGTGTTTTATAATTGGAGGTGGTCTACTCTACAGGATTCTATGTCCCAAAACAGCATAATGTTATGCCTGCAGAGAGAAGGCAAATGGGTCGCATTCAAAAATTATTGCTTGTATATCATTTCTGTTTACTGAGACCGGAGATTTAGTAAACTCTCGTCGTTGGAGACGTCCCAAAATGATTGTCTTGTTGTCTTTCAATCCAACTGGCAATCAGGGTTTTGAGATTAATATAAATTTAGAATCAACTAGGCCTAGGCTGTTTAAAGGCACATAGGAACCCAAACCAAAACTGTTTACCAGACGATGGAAATGCACCACTTGGTCTATCAGATCCCATATTGCCCAGAAAAGAGTTGTTTAAATTTTAAGACTAATATTATAACCAAAATTGCACATTGCGTCACTGCAACGATTGTTAGAGAAATTTCAAGTAATCCCCCATATACCATATATTATTTTAAGATTAATCATTAGAAGAAAACTGTACAATCCGATTTTAAGATCAATCCAATATAAGTATAGTCACTATACAGTTACCTAGCAAAACTGTACATCTGTATACAGATTTCATACCAGCAAAATCCCTGCAGACATGTTCACAGTCTAACATACACTAGTCCTATCCCTGATTCGAGAAGACACCAAAAAGTTGTCCCAATCTCATATCATTAGTATACAATTAACTACATTGGAAACCTCTTTGCCAAACCTCCGCTTCTACCTAAAAAATAGCCTCAAGCAAGAAGAGCAATATCAGTACTCTATCCAGGAAATCTAGTTCTGCAGAGTTGATTACGGACGTCTCCGGACAAACTAAAGCAAGTTCTATTATTTCAACTTTTAGGTATCACCTTTTCGAGAATCGTGGCAGTTTCCCAAAGAGTCCGGCCATCTTAAATGTTGATTTCTTCCCCTTGCTTGGAGGGCTCGGGTCTGTAGATGCTATGGGTTCTGGTTCTGAGTTGCCTGCTGAGTGCCTTACTTCGTCCCTCAATATTCGAAGTAATTCCAATGACTTCGCCTTCCCCTTGTCATTTCCATTAACGGATATTGCAACAAGGGAAGGAATTACACCTTCTTCCATGACCAGCTGACAAAATTGATTACGTTGAGAGCACAAAGAAAGAAGAATAGCCACGGCCTGTTCTTGGTCATCTTCATTGTCACTCTCCAGTAGTTTAATAATGGAGGCAATGCAACCATCACACTCAGCTACAACAGCTCTAGCATCTTCGTAATCACATAGATTTTTCAAGATTACTACGCAGTGTCTTGCTAGAGCAGTATCTTCAAATTGTGCAATCAGCTTAGGGATGACGTCAGAAGATATAATTAAGGACTTAACTTCACTCCTTTCTGACAAATTACACAGAATTCTGAGGGCTGGCTCCTTTAGATTAGAAGTCTCAGTGTCAAGCATTGTCAAAAGATGCTTGAGTGTGCCAGATGCTGCAATTTCTTTATGACAGGATGGGTAAGAAGATAAGAGCACTAGAATAGCAAGAGTTTCTTCAGCAACTTCAGTGTCCAGAAAGGAGACCAATAGTTGATATGCTTCTTCCCCCAAACATGGTATAATACTAATTCTGAAACAGGAAAAGACAGGATTAATTGATGAGACCTCATTACTGTCTACCCAAGGGCTTAAAAAATTTCACATAAATTTATCCCCACTCATCAGGCAAACTCTAAAACCCAGAGGAAGAAATTGTTCCCGCATGTGGACTCTTTACTGTAGTAGGACGTAAATACATCTTTTTCTGAGACACAAATCAAAACCTAAATCTTGACAACAAGAGGTAGCAGGTAGCCTAAGGCACAGAGGCACATCTAGACAGATCTTAATTTAATTGTCAGACGATAAGAATTGGTTGTTTTGAGTTGTAATAATCATGTTATTCTAGGAGACAGTCAAATGAGCTGATAATAGTCAAACCAAAACCACCCAAAAAAAATGAAGCTGAAAATATCATGAATTTGATTTCTTTCAAGCAGGAGCAGAAGAATACCTGCACATCTCAACAAAAGCTGAAAATAAGAGACACCCATTTCTGAGAGCTTCCACATCGTGAAGGTCGTATGCATCCTTCAAAAATTTCAGGAGTGGTTGGATCACTGTTTCAGATGACGCCAGGCGACTAGTTTGATGATCATGCTTCAAAAGGTTCATGATATCAATAATGACTTTGCACTTACATTCCCAAGAAAGTGCGTCAAGTTCAACCAGAATTCCCATATTAATTTCATTGGTGCGATGTTTATACTCAACCTTGAGAGAATCTTCTGAGTTCATTGAGAAGTTGGAGCCATCTATCAGAGTTTCATGGTATTCCGACCCCAGTCCATCATCTGAAGAACGAACAGAGAAGTTGAAATCTGTTGGCAGAGATAGATCATTTACAGAACTGCTCAAACTACGGATGGAAGAGAACGAAGAGTCCAACGGTTGAAGATCTGCTAGTGCACTCGGGTCAGTTAAAGTAACTCCAGTCCTTGCACACCATTCTGCAATAAGATCTTTCATTGTCATATTTGGAGTCAACAAAAAATGGTCCAACTTCTTTTTGGTCTTTGGACATACAACATGATTTTCATCAAACCATTTCTGTATCCACAATCTTTCAAATGTTATTCCTGAATCGATGACAACAGGGTCATACATCAATCTCGAAGACAAAGGGCACTTGAATTCCTCCGGGATTACGGGTGCATGCCACGTGTTAACTTGAGCATCATCAGTTCTTCCTCTCAGACGAGAACTATGTTCAACAGATAGGGCGTCGGAGCTAGACAATTGAAATGATTCCTCATGATGCAAGGCATTATTTTCTCTTTGCTCTTTCAAAGCCAATGTTCCATATTTTTTCAGAAGATGATGCAAGAATAGTAAGATCTTTTTCTTCATTGGATCACTTTCTGCAACTTTATCAAGTTGTTTCTTGATCGATCTTTTTTCTATCAAGAGATCTTTCTGGGAAATGATCTGAAGTCTTGATAGAGCAACTTGCAATGCCTTAAATGCAGTTTCATCCGAGGAATTTGTAGGAGATTTATATATTTGAAGCAACTGACGCAGAACCTCTCCAGCATCTTGTTCTGATGGTTCTAATCTCAATACAACTCCTCTCAGATCAATAATTGTTCTAGAAATCTGCCAAGAATGGTTACGAACGTGAAAAATTTCAGTTTTAAATGGACTTAATGAGCGTAAGAAACTAAATAAAGGAAGATGAAATCATGAAAATGAAGGGAAAAAACAGTATCTCAACTCATAAAAAAGGACTAAGTTAAAAAAAAAAAAAACTCAGGAAAGATGCCGCTACTACTGTTGTTCTTGCAGTTTAAAATATGAACAGTTCCAGAATAGACTTGTTTGTTCTTTCCTTGGAAATCTTGATCAAATCGATCGGAGAGAAGTTAATCTGGGCAAGGGTATGGATTTGTCCATAATCGAAAGGAATGTTCTCCAAAACCACCCCTATCTTTCCCTCTGAAAATTAAACCCAATAACAAAGTAAATGCTGACAATGAACCTTAGTAACCTATCCTGTCAGACAACTGCCAAAGAGAAGCTGGGAAATGCCCTCAAACTAAAAAGAAATCATATGTACCTCTGCAGCAAGCATGACTGGAACCATATGCTGCAGTTGGCTAAGACTTTGCTCCAGCAGATTCTTTGATTTTCGGCATCTTGCCAGTATGGTGTCTCCAGTAAGTGCCTGAAAGATTTCATATCAGGATGTATCATTATCCAGATGGAAATGCAGATTTTTGAAACTTCATAAGCATGTCAATTTATAAAAATTTTGCACTCTGCAATGTCAGTCTATTTCAGTTGGTATGCGCACCAATAAAACAAAGAAATAAACACAAATGTTGGGGCCTATACAACAAGCCTGTCTCCTTTTCCGCTGGTCTGAGAATGGAGAAAACCACTTGAAACTTCATAAAAATGTGATTAAGCCCAAAATGAACAGATTTTCCTAAATAAAAAATGGAGTATTGTGATATCTAATGTAAAGGGAGGAGGAACGAAAGGAGGGTGAGAGCGGATCCTGAAAGGTAGAAAAGTTATAAAATTTGGGTAGCATGAAATCCAGAATGCGGGAAAGAACATGAAGCTAAGCTGTAGGTGGAAAGAAGAAGAGTCACATTCTGCAATAGTTTTAAAGATCATGATTCAACACACAGAGCAACTGAACTTCAAAATTGGTTTGCCTAATATTGTCCTCAGTTCCTTTTGAGATCTCATTTAGTTCAGCATGTACGACAGAATATGGTAAATGAACAGTATACACTTTCATAAATTAAAGTGCTGGTCTAAAACTTACCAGGTAAAGCTTACTGGACTCGCTGCAATACTGAATCAGTAACTTAGCTTTACAAATTGCATTGTTCAGCAAGCAAAGAGACTTTATTCCATTTGAGCACCGAGGCTGTGCTGCTTCAGTCTCTTGAAGGATTTTCGAGACTTTGTTAACCAAGTTGATCAACTCAGTACACATGACACGATGCACCTGTGGAGATTTGGAATTTTAAATACACATCTAGTCAATTTCAATGGACAGTTAAGAGCATTATTTAAACATCTTGCCATAGGTAAAGAAATCCTTAGGGGAGGAGGAACTATACATCAAAGTACAGTTAAAGCTTTTGGACGACAATGATATTTTCACATTTCATTAGTTTCCAACATGATAACAAGCTCTACAAAAGAAAAGGAAACTAGATGTACAATTGAACAAAATGATCAAAGGATTAAAAAACGGCTCAAACTCTTGGAAATTAAAATATAGTTCGGCTGGCATATGAATCAAAAAACACATTTATACCTTTATATCATAAGGTAATATTGGAGCTTCAATAACTTCAGAAGAATCACTTCCCATATGTCAACAGAATCTCAAATGTCCAGATTAACTGTAAGGATGTAAAAGGGCCTTAGTATTCTTTCAATCATTAGTTTTATGTTTTGCAAAGGGAACAGAACTTGTAAAGGCCACTATTGGATACACATTCTGAAGTAACAACAGCAAATTAAAACAAATATCAGTGAGAACAGCAGTCTACAAAACCCCATATTCTGGAACTGGAGTAAAAAAAAAAAAAGAAAAAAGAAATCGACAATACAGTACAACTACTATTCTGCAGTTTGAGGTCAAAGCCTGAAATCACAAAAATCTTGCACCGGTACATCTCGTAGCAACTTTGCTGAACTTCACAAAGTTAGACAATCACAATTATGCACTGAAATTAAAGGGCTTGGTTTGAATGATGGAATTCCTTCTCCACAGCAGGTAGACATGATAAACAAATCACCATCACAAAAGACTATTGCCAGCCCACTAATGAAACCTTGAACCTCACCATCTATACTTAGAAAAGCAAACTAAGTTATCTAGTTGGGAGCTGGGACCATATTGTACTGTACTAGAAACATAGCATCAACAAATACAGTTATACAACATATACAGGTGTTGGTTCATTTGTTTTTTTGGGGGATGTAAGAGGGTCATGGAACTGGAAAATGATAGAGAATTACTAGCTAATAGCAAGAACAGACATAGTAAATTAGCAGAGAAGCTAGAAAATTCTCACCTTCTGTTAACAGGAACAGCAAATTCAATCTTACAGGAACTCTGTTCCTCCAAAAATACAATTCCAGACAAAGCACAAACCGAAATCCCACTTATTGAAACCCAAGAACCTCGAACGGTTCTCAGACCAGAAAAACCTCTAAAAAAATTATGTCCTTTCTCAAAGTTACCCTATCTCAGTTAAGAACACAAGGGTGAAGGAGTCTCATTTCCTTCTGATACAAGCATGGAATACCCAAAAACCGAGTCTTTACCAAAAAAGGAAGGCAGAGACCAGATCAGAGAATTAGATATTCTCCCTTGACACCAATTGAACGAACCAAACTAATTCACTGCTAAAACTTTCGACTTTTCCACAATTCAGCAAAATTTCAGATTGAAGGACAAAGAATCGTTCCACAGGTCCTGAAGCTTAAGAAATCCCGAGCTTCACCACAACCCACATGGAACCATAAAAAAGAAGACAAGCTTTGATTCATGGTTAAATATAAAGAAAAAAAAAAGTACGGTTGGTGACGAAGAATGATGAGGTGGGGTCTTCTCCTCACTTGTTATTGAAACGGAGAGGAAAAGAAAAGATTATGAAAATTAATGGTGGTTTTACGCAAAAAGGGGGATCACAGAGTCAGAAGCAGATGGCACTTCTTCCCAACAGCCAAATAGCCAAAATTCCCTTCTCGGTGAAAAAGAAATTTCTCAATGCTCTTCTTCCCTTTTATGAATTTTCAGAATAGTTTATCACTTTGAAACTGTTTTTTTCTCTTCCTTTAGAAGAGTAGAATAGTAGTAATACTGAAAAATCCAAACTAGCCACGGAAAATTCGACTACTTGTTTATCTGCAATCTCATTGGTTGGTTCCTCGAAAAAAAGAACTTTCCAACCAAAACGAAACCCAGAGCCAAGAAGGAGGGCCGATGAGGTCAGAATGCCCCAGAATAAACAAATACACAAAATGGTGGGTTAGCCAATGGTGGCGTGCTGAGTGCTAAATATCACTTTTTCAAGGAAAGATTGGGTCAATTTCAAACTCTTTTCTACAAATTGGGGAATTAGGTTCTTTAATCTCATCTCGGCTAAACACATCACGAGCATATATAGCTTCAAAGTTCCAATCTTTTCTGGTAATGGTGTGTGTGCTAATTAGTACTCCATTCGCGAGTATGAACTTAAGTCTGTTCTGATTCCTTTTTTTTCATTAAAAAAACTGGGACTAATACTACTTGGTTACCAATAGCATTCACACGTTGTTTTTTTAAATGTTTCTTTTGTTGATAGTAGTTAGCGCTGATTCATACGTGGAAACTAACGGATCATTGACAATATATTTTCCTAAATATTTAAAGGTAGGTATAAATTGGCACGGTGTGATGTACTGATGTGTGACAAATGACAGTAGAATATTTATCATTAGTAGTAGAAGTTACAAGCGTGTACACATATATATATATATATAACTCATAACCCCTTGTTCATCATGTCTTTTCGTAAATCAAGCTGCCCTTCGAGAGCCCTAACTTCTATAAAATGACACAAATTGTCTAAATTAGTACTCCCTCCGCCCATAATTATTGTTCAGTTTGGGTTTTTATTTCTAGTTTAAATTGTACTAGAGTGAAATCTCAAATTAGATAATAATTTTATGACAGAAGAAGTATAAGTTTGGTTCTGCAGTAGTAGTCGATCCAACCCACCATTTTAAACATATATAATTACATATAAGCTCAAATGCAGCTGAAATGCCTCGACCGAGAAATCTAAATTCTATAATCCATGGGACAAAGGAAGGGGGAAAGTGGTTGGTGTTTTTTGTTGTTTTTTTTTTTTTCAATATATTGTTTTTTAAAAGGATTTTTTAATATATTATATTAATAAATAAACCTCTCATCTCAATGCATTTTTACATTTTCAATAGAAAAAAAACACTTAAAAAGCACAACAAAAAAAGTAAAAAATGATTCAAACATACTTAAATTCTCAGCTTATAGGTGTTTCATATGCTCTTGAAAATATTAAGTATTTCCTACGTCCTAAATAATTGTCCAGTTTGAATTCTCATTTTTAGTACAAATTAGATTCTCAGCTTATAGGTGTAGGTGTTTCATGCGTTTTAGAGCATAATAAGTATCGAGTCTTTGTACAAAAGCTAGCTTGTCAATTATACGGGATTGCAACATTTTCGCGTAGGATGATGATAAACAACTAATGGTGGTACAAAATGTATCTGAAGTATCAGACAGCACCACAAATTTTCACTTTTTCTTTTTTGGCCTTTCTTAACGGGAAAAGTAGCAAGTGAATTATGAATCTTCAAAACCGTGAAGGTGATGTTGGTCCTGGTAGGGTTTTTCAGTTTATATATTTTGCAGAGAGATAATTGATGATTGGCTCAGACGGCGGCCCACTCGAAAAGTTTGAACCAAAAAGGGATGATGACCCAAAAAATGTTTCTTCATCCTTTCAGGTCGACGACCGTCATTTAAGTCAGTCGTTCCCTATTATTTTTTCTACGTATTATTCGTTTTTTGGGGTGTTACTACTACTGGGTCAACCACACTGTTTGACCGGTTTAATTGGTTCTCAGATATCATCAGCTCAGGCATGAGGGTCTGACGATTTCTTGGATGATGAGTGATGACAAAAAAAAAAAAAATGGAGAAAATATCTCAAAAGTTTTCTTCATTATTCAACTTTAGGTGAAATTTGAGTGCTTTTACTTACCTCTTTTAACCCGTTCTTTTGACTTCCTTCACGATTAGAAAGCGCCCATACGAGTAGGTCTAATTCGAAGAATAACGATAATTTTACCAGAATTGTGCATATATGCTGATGTAGTATTTCAGACATTAACCACCTCTATTACATAGTGTGCATATTGTCAATACTGATTATCCAACTGTGTATAACTAATTATCTATATTGCCAACACTGGTTATCCACATAGTGTGTAGCTGGTTATCCATAGTGTGCACACTGGTTATCTAACTATGTTTAACTAGTTATCCATAGTGTGCACACTGGTTATCCATAGTGTCAATACTGGCACAGTAAGTTTTCAAAATTTGAATGAATTCGGTAATTTATATATGCCACGTTTAAAAAAAAAAAGAAAAAGAAAGCTGAATTATCTAGCGAATTTACACTATTCTAAAATAATAAAGTACACGCGCAGGGAGTACACGGTGCCCCAAGTATATCAGATAATTTGCCAAAATATTGTACCTGATGGAACCAATCGGGAAACACACATATTGTGACCAAAACTCCATAGCGTACATATTCATGCATCATTTCGACTAGCTTCGAATAGGGGCAGGCAAACATATCGTACGAAATATTCTTCATATCAATATTAGTATTAATATTGATTTTGTCCAATAAACCAAAAATTCTTTGACTTCTTTCATAAGAACCATGCCCTCCGAGTTGGTCAAACAAGCGGTTTTTCTATCTTCCTCGATACGACCCCCTCAAAAAATCATTTAAAGAAAAAGGACCAAATTATGACGTTATTTTCCCTTCCATTTGGTGTTTTAAGTTATCTGTGACCTGTTATCTGTGACCGTTTCTTGTTTGACCAACTCTCTAGGTTTTTCTCTAGAATACCACTTTTTTTTATTTTATTTTGGGGCTTAATTTACTACAACTTTCAATGCCGATATATATATACTAGGCTACAAGTATTAAATTAATTTCATTTGGATGTCATGCAAGTCCCGATCCAGGCGTTAAACTTTTGTGCCGTGGCAATCATCGCGAGAACTCGGGCTCGCCCATATTGTTCTTTTTTTTTTCAGGAAGTTCAAACTGCTTATCTAATTATTGTCCCCCATATGTTTAATCAAATTTCATTTTATACTAATAACAACGATAAATTTAAAATTAAAATGCATATTTGTTGACAATGTGGTATCTATATATATATATAAAACTAGTTAATGCGGTTTATGTACATTGTGTGCAAAGCTTTTTAATTAGCCACTGAAATAATCACACGTATGTGTAATAATGATGCAAAATGTAGCTATCTTTAAATTAAAAGTATACTATTGGAGAATGATACAGATTATTATTACACGTTTACTTGCTGCTACTAGTATAGATTTGTTTAGTACATCAGTCCGGATTCTTACGGCAACATTCAAAAAATTCTTCTGTGACGTGATCGAAGCTAATTATCGTATTCAATTAGAACATCTTTAGTAGTGGTGATAAATAATAAGTTAATTATTATCAATTATATCTTTACCATTATACAAAGCGTAATAATATCAAATGGTGTAGCATAATGTAATTTAATGTATTTTGATATATTCTATTTTATCATGATTTCATGGGTGAAAACCAAATCAAGAATATATAATTAAATGTAATAATGAAAATATTGACGTAATAACTATATTATTAAACCTCCAATGGCATAAACTATGGTGGATACTCTAAGAATTGTGAGAGTAATTAATTAACCCATCGAGTCATGTCGTGTTACTTTCTGAATTCATCACGACATGGTAAAAGTCGCTTATCACGAAAATATGAGAAACTTGAGACTCAATATATAATCAGCTAGGTCAATTGCTTAATTCAAATTGTGTGGGGGGAAATTAAAGAGATTTGCACGATCGCATATATACAATTAAGGGTCGCTAGCTGCTCTACCTTTCTCGTATTTATTTATTTCAGCCCATTCAAAAACATTTCCCCTTCTCAAAAATACATAGATTTGAGAAAGACTCGGTAATTTTTTATGGCTAGTTTATTTTTAATTTCCCCGAAGGGATATGTAATTTTATTAGGACCTCACAAAGCTTAAACCCGCCAGTCAAACACATATGTTCCTTTTCACGTTCACATTTGCAGTCAACTCCGTGGATCAGTCCCACTTTCTTTCATTTCAAGTTTTCTTGTTTTTCTTCTGATCTTATTTGGTTCAGACTTACGATGCCTTTTTAGAACTATGCATGGATGGTTGTTTTACCTACCGATATCACCGTGCTTTTGTTGATAGTATTTCATATCTGGCATTTTAATTTATTGTCATGGTCTGCGTGATTCACAGTAGACTCTGATAAATCCCTTTTCAAGTATATGTATAATTTTAATATCATATGTGTATAAAAAAGGACTTTGCCTTTGGTTCCCAAGTTGGAAGGGCATCCTATTTTCGCCTCTATTATGTATAGTTTGGCTTTCCTTTTGGTTCCCCTTCTGGGAAGGGCACATGATCATTCTGTGTCTATTTTGGCTTTTCCATATCAAGTAGTATGTTTGAGACTCATCATACTTCGCTCGATTCTAGTCCAGTCAATTCCCAAATTCGAACAAAACTCTTAATTAATTTATTTATTGGGCCTCTCTCAGCGCTTACTTTTAATTGTTAAAATGGACTCAGAATAACGATCAGTAGATGTCAAGTGTGAATGTTACATTTTGAGATGTTTGTATCTGACAAGTTGGTGGAATAGGCCAAATGAACTGAATACATCATAAATAAAGTATAAAGTGGGGGAAATTAAAGGGAACTATTAGTGTCACATATACATACAGACACGATGGTCCAAATTGTTCATTTGTATATGTGAATGACAAAATTAAGCTACTAAACTGAATACATAATAAAGCATAATTTTTTTATTCAATTTTCTCAAATCGTGTCTTATAAATAAGATGTTGAGTACTCTATCTGTTCCATAATTATTATTCAGTTTGGATTTGCATTTTTTGTTCAAATTGTACTAAAATGAATTTTAAAATTAGAGAATAATTTTGAGACAGAGGGAGTACTAAATTTATTACGACTCAAGTATTCAACCTCATAAGAAACGGTGCTAGCTAGCCGATACCAAATTAAAGGGAGATATAGATCAATCGGAGGTTTCCACGCACTTGCCAAAAATAAGTAAATCCAAAATCAGTAAAGCTTCTTCTTTCTTTCTTTTTTTTTTTTTCCGTCCATTTTCATAATTACCTCAAAGAAGTGAATTTCATACATTCAATAGCTTGATTTGATTTGATTTGATCAGCGTCCTTATAACACTGCTAGCTCATCATCATCATCACCATCTCCGTACCATCATCAATTTGATGTGATTCATGCCTGTTTTGGATTTTTCTCATACCCAATGAATAAAAGGGTAGAAAGGAATTACAAAATATTTATCATCCATCAGCCTTAAAAAAAAAAAAAAAAGGTGACAGTATGACATTTAGGTTGTTGAAC